ACAAACTTCAAAGCGATGGCTACAGCATGTTTTTTCCATTTTTTTTATACCCAACATTTAAAACAAAAATGTAACCCATTTTACTTGCTGTCTTTTTCGTGTCAACAATTGTTTTGCAAAAAAAAAAAGAAGAAGACATGTACATTGTAAGTAAGTCTGTATTTCTGTTACTGTACTCAGTATTGTTACATGATTATACCGTTGGAAAGATCTTATTCTGCAGAATCCAGAAAAACAAATTAATAAATTCTCCCCCCCCCCCAAAAAAAATTGACTTTCAGTTTATTTTGTGAAGACACGTCACACATTTTCAGATTGTCTGATAAGTTCCTTAAAACTCAAAGAAACTATTTCATAGATTTGCTGTTGCAATGGAGTTGTGTGTGTGTGTTTTTTTTTTCATTTCTAACAAAATTTTTCAAATCGCTCCACCCTGGCCTTGAAAAGGAGAGTTAAAAAAGTTTACCCCCAAAAGGTCATTTTGAGGTGAGCTTTGTTTGATGTAAGCAGAACATGTGTATGGTCTGCTGGTATGTGCATGTGTATGTATGCAGCCTTGCCCTTGGAACACAGTGTTTGCCTACATATTTTGTATGTAGGGGAAAAAAAAGGCGTGGAAATGATTTATTTGCTTGATCCCAATGCTTCTAGATACATGAAGAACAACTGTTTGTGAATTGCGCTGGGATGTGTCACTTTGTCTGGTGTTCCAGTCTATCGGTGGGTGAACTCCCTAACCCCCTAGCTTTCAGGAGAATTCAATTTCATATCAGATTACCTAAAGCCGACAGAAAAGAGTACATTGCGCACAGGAAATGTTGTAAGTAATTGTGTTTACTAAGTATCACATCTTTTAGCTGCATTCTGTTAAGCACAAAACATGCTACATTGTAAGCGTGGAAAATATTTGCTCAGCAAACACCGGTTACCAACCAAAATGTCATGTCATGTATACCGGTGTTGACTGGTACTCTGCAATTTTTGGCTGAGCGTGAGCAATATTTTATGGTTTAAAAGGAACAAGTTGCTTTTGCTGTAATTTTCAGAAATGGATGGATTGGGGGGGGGGGGGGTTAGTTTTTTATAGCAAATATTGTTTCACTGACCTGTTTAAAGTTTTTGTGTTTGTAGATGCTGGAAAAACCAATGATGTTGGGTAATTATAAGGTCAGGGAACCAGTCTAGCTGGCTTGTACTTGTTCGCTGATGTGTAACCATTTTTAAAAAAAAAGGTGGACTAACTAAATTTGGTAATTTTTTTTTTTGGGGGGGGGTGCAGTATTTGAAAAAAGCCAGTTTTGCCATCGTTGGAAATTGATATAAAACTTCCACCTTTTTTGAAAATGACAGCACACCAGATTTCATGATTTTACAGGATGCTTTAGACTGCCAAACAGTCCAGTAAGGTATTTCATAATAATTTAGTAGTTTTTTTTTTTTTGATGTTTGCGAATGTTGGATATTGTCTTTAACCATGAAGCATTAATAATTTTACTCCCATAAAATTGCCATGTTCGCATGAAACATAGAGTATAATGTATATGTACATGACTGTACATGTACATGTGCATTTGTGCATTGAGCAGTAAGATTTTAGTCATTTTTATCAATTTTTTTTTCTTTTCTTTTTTCTGCCTGTAGCCTTTGGACCGCAGGCTACAATGTATAGTGACGTCAGCAAGTTCAACAAATTTATAGAGGGTCAGCAACTGTGTGATAGTGCATCAGTGGTGCATTGGTTGTTTTGTATGATTCATATTGGCCTTGTGTATAGGAATAGGCCTACAGGGAAAACATGTGACATGTACGGAGGTACATGTACGTACATGTATGAAGACAGTCCATGTACATACATGTAACTGTTTCCAGTGTTTCTGCATGTAATGTACATGTACATGTACATGTACTGGTACATGTACTGGTACTGTATAATGTACTAATACTACATTGTAGCTAGGCCTACTGTATCTGTTCATGTGTTGCACAATAGCTGCTAGTTTGGACATTTCTTTGTACACAGTACAGTAAGTACATTTGTACATGTGCATTTGCTGTAAACATGTATCGCTAGTTGTAATATCAGTATTTGGGTCGGAATTTACATTGTATTTTCACTACTCAGGTTGCCCAATAACTGACAAAATTCCACAAACCCACATTGTATCTGTATCATTTTTTTCCCTCAAACAGTCTTCCGTAACCCTATACAAACTCCATCAAAATCCATCCCCCATTTTTGAGGATTTTGGCAGATAAGCCATGTGTACCTAGTCTATCAAAATCCACCAGCACCAGTGGTTAATTTGAACGGATTTGGTCCTGAAGCATTATGTGAAGCAGAGTCAGTGATGGATTTTGACGGACATGGTCTTTTGCTTAGTAAAACTACATTAGTAAGTCAGAAGTTTGGGTGAAAGATGAGAGCGATGTTTTTACACGAGAATTATTATTAAGTTGAAAAGTGTTTTTTAAAGGTTAAATGCTATACTATCGAAATGAAAAACTGTCAGTACTTTTGTTGGAAGGGCCCTATAGCCAAAATATCCCACAGGAGATGGGTTAACAGTTTACTGTACCCCCATTATCTATCAGTACTTTTGTTGGAAGGGCCCTATAGCCAAAATATCCCACAGGAGATGGGTTAATAGTTTACTGTACCCCCATTATCTATCAGTACTTTTGTTGGAAGGGCCCTATAGCCAAAATATCCCACAGGAGATGGGTTAATAGTTTACTATACCCCCATTATCACACTGTAACAATGTTTGCATTCTTCATCAGTGTGTTGTTTGCCTGGAGTAACACGCACACACAATCCCGGCAGAAATATCGAATGTGTTCATGACATGCCGTGGCACACGCCCGTGGTGTGTGTGTGCGTAAGCGTGCATCCATGTACGCTCTACGCCTCACTGGGGTGCACCTATCGAGTGGGCTATCCGTTCCTGTTCCAATTACCGCGTATCCGCCCGACCAATTTGTCACCGCAATTCTAAACCCTTAACTCACTCTTTGCCCCCCGTGCACGCAGTGTATACATTGGCCCACAGAGAAAGAACAGCTAACGGGTTTAGTTTTGCTTGTAATGGGGCTATTAAAATGAGCGAGGTCTAAAGTACACATGTGTGTGTTAGCTTGTGGGGGTGGAAGTTGCCTACAAAACAGCCTAAATGAAATTGCTTTGGTGCTGATGAATTGCTTTGAAGATGGCCTATGAAGGCCTTTTCACACTAGGGCCTCTCAACCTGGGTTCAAATCAACCCGGGTTCAAATTAACCCGGGTTGAACCCAACCCTGGGCGAACCCAGTGCCGCTTTGGGTTGAGTTTTTGATTTTTCGACCCCGCGTTAAACCCCGCATCGTTTAACGCTTGTATTCGTGGAAAGCGGGCCCATTTGGCTCGGTTTCTACTGTTTTGAACCCTGGCAAGATTTCAACCCGGCTTGAAAATCTCAACCCTGGTCTGGAGCAGGGTTGAGTTCAACCCGGGGTGAAATTAATCTCAGGGTTGACGCAGGGTTGGCTCAGGATTGGAAAATATGTCAAGTGTGAAACGCTGCATGTTTTCAACCCTGCTTTTACCCCGCGTCAATCCCGAGATTTGTCTAATGTGTTCAAAAAGGCTTAGTGTTACGCTAAGGCCAAAAAAAAAAAAAGTCTCCGGTTTCTGGTATGCGCGCGCGTCGCCGCAGCCATGCGCGTCGGCAAAATGAAAAAGTTTTTTTTTTCAATACAAGATGATGTCTGAAAACCGCCAAACTCACTGGTTTGACTGGAATACTGCTACTGCACAATTTTAACGTGTTTTTAGATGGGGTTATGATCGAGAATAAGCTTTATGTGGCCTCTCTGGACTCCCATATATTTGCACTAAGTTTAGTCGGGCACCATTTGCAGTCATCAGCCGATCGGCATTTGTAGCAAAAAAGTCAGGTAAAAAAAAAAAAAAAAACACTTTTTGGACAAGCTCCATACCAGAAACCGGAGACTTATTTTTGTTTGGCCTTATGCTTAGTGTAGAGAAGGGAATCTATTGGATGTTTGCTTGATTGCTTGAGGGCGCTATTTAACTGTCCTGCCTTGCAACAGAAGCTGCCTACAAAACAATGAACGAAATTGCTTTGGGGATGAAGAATTGCGTTGAGGTGGTCGACGGTGAACTATTGTAGAGAAAGGGAGTCTATTGGATGTGTGCCTGATTGCTTGAGGGCGCTATATATCTGCCCTGCCTTGCTGTGGAAGCTTCCTACAAAACAATGAATGAAATTGTTTTAGTGCCGAAGAACTGCTTTAATTAAAGTAGCTCAGACATCCGCGAACAGATTATTGAGAAGGGAGTCTATTGGATGTGTTCCTGATCACTTGAGGGCGCTATAACTGTCACTTCTCTCTAGTGACGTTAATGTACTTTTGTCATGTTTCAGATAAAGTGATGTAGTTCAGTTGAAACAAATTATTTGCAACGAGCAGCCTATTTTTTTTTCCAAGCAATTTTGCTATAATAATTGTGCCAGTATACATGTACTACATCCGCATACATACGTGTACGTGTGACCCCATAACACAATAAAGAAATTGAAAGTTTCTGTAGCTGTGCAAAGAAAACAACAGAACATGCACATGAAGAACGATATTTCCTCATGTCTCTGTTTCCTGTTTCCGAAACAGTAATCCTTCCTTTCTGTTACGTCAGCACCGATGACAATGTTGAATAATTTCCTCCACATCTGTGCGGACATTTTACTGATCCCAGCGGGCCGGTCTGGTGTCCTGTTCGTACATAGAACTGACTGGCTGACTGTCATTTGTGACTTGCACTAGTTGTAGACTGGTGAAGAGAGCCGGGCAGTGCTATTGTATAGGATTACCCTAAATGGGCTAAATCCAGCCCATTGGGTAGACCAGATGACGAGAATTGTGTGCTCTCTCGGACCAGCGTTACTCAGCTTGTCTTGTCTTGTTCTCAATTTTGTTTTGTTTTCTGTCCTCCCCTTTTCCAGGTTTCTTCTAGTCCCCGCCCCCTCCCCCTATCCATGTTGATGTAGGCGCTACGCTTTCTTTCTTTCGTCACTGTCAAGCATGAGTGCAGGGGGCGCTATGAACAACCAGAACCCGCGACGACGGAAGAGGCCGGAGAAGGGACCAGGGTAAGTCTAATCCGAAGATTAAGTATTAATCGCAAATTTTTAAATTATTTATCAGAGCAGAGTGGTATTAATTTGTAACTAACTTAGTTCATTACGTTCATTTCTATTTGCAAGCTCCAAAAATGAAGACTTTACCTCGCCTTCAATTCGGGCGATTCACAATGCAGTGAGCCACCAAGAGTTTGCCACGGAGAGTTCATTTTTCCCATTGCATTGTGGGAGATGGTCGACAAATTCGCAGCGCGTGACATTTGAAATTGTTAGGTTTTCCGGTCAGTGGTTTCGTAATCGTATGATTCGAGGCTCTGTTTGCCCATTTCTTTTCTTGTTATCAATATGGTGTTTTTTGTAAGGCGGCAGAACGCTATGCCCCAATCTATGACATATTAGCTCAAGTTGTCTACCGACACTCATTCAAATGGGCCATGTTTTGTGGACCGTAAACTTGAAAAATGGACTCTCCGTTGCAAACTCTTGGTGGCGCACTGCATTGTGAATCGCTCGAATTTAATATGGCCGACTCGTGAATGAAGCCTTTTGTCCCAAGTTCAGTCGGAGGTCTAGTATCCTGACTGCCTAACTGGGAGCTGACAGTTTTAGAGCTACATGGTGCAATTCCGATTCAAGCCTAAAACTGTGTATACATGCATATTCGCACGGCCTAGCGTACACAAAAACTTGGCGGACGTTATCCTATCCCAGACTATAATGCGTTCATCCATTTCCTCCGCTAATCCTATTGGCCGGTGAGTAACGGAGCAATGGGTCTCGCCTTAATAACAAATCCATCCCGATTAGCAAGAAAGAAGTCGTAAAAAGAAAATAGAGAGGGGGGGTGGGGGAAAAGGGAAATATAAAATGGAGTCATGGTATGGCAAAGGGTTGCGATTTAATTGCAAGCACATGCCCGCCACTTACCCGTAAGCCCTCCGTTTCCGTTGATTCACAGGGAAAAACTGAAAAAGCTGACACCCTGCATGTTGCGACACAACAAAAAGTGGCGAGTGTCCGTTGCGTAGAAACACAGAGGGAAATTCCCGTTTATCAATTTAAACTCAGAAGTTCCGGGGATTAGACAAAATCCGACAAAGAGATTGTTCCGGATTTGGTCATAAACCCCGCCCACCTTTGGTTATTGAGTGCATCTCTCGAAGTGCTTTTCGTCAGGTTTGACCGAGCGACTGTGGTCACCTGACCAAATGCTGTCATCTATATCAGGGTTTGACTTTAGCGGTAGCCCGCTAGCCAAATGCTAGTCAAAACAGCGGCGGGCTAGTCAAACTATGCCTTAAGTAGCCCGGCTGGCGAGTCAAAAATTATTGGGCTACAACAAAGATGAAAGGACAGGAAGAAAGTAACCTGTATCACTTTGTGTCTCATTTTAACCATTTGAGCTAAATTGTGAGATCTGTTTATTAAAACGCTGACAAGACAAACTCTATAAGAAAAACAGGCTAGTGAAAATGCCTGCGGGCTAGTTAAGAGTCTGTTTCAGCAGCCCGGCTGAATAAAAAAGTGAAAGTCGAACCCTGTATATGCGCCGTTTGAAAGATTGGAAGGGCCAAGGTGATAGGCCCTATACGTTGGAACAATGTTTTTCTAATGTTGTCTATCCGCCTGGGTGAACAGTCGTGTTGAATTGACACGGATTGACCCCAGAGGCAAAATCCTGTTACACCCTCAATCCTACAAAATCTTCCAATGCTTCGATTTTCAAAGGCCCTCAATCCTTTGAAATCCTCCGTTATGCAAAAATAGGATTTTGGAGGAATTTGGAAGGTCAGGGTCAAGCACAATATTTCGGGTCTGAATATTGGGACCTATCTGTATTTTATGTAATATGGTACCGGTATGCAAGTTCTAAAAACATGGGAGTATGTACTTTTTAGCAGTACAGTGTATACACACGCGTGAGTACAGACATGTTTACATTACATACCCCTGTGTGGACATTCCTTTGTTTTCACACAGTTAAGGAAAACCGAAGAAAAAAATGTTTTACTCACACTGTGAAAACTCTCTCAACCCAAATATTTTATCCCGATTTCCTTGATTGTTCCTCTTCATTTTGCGACAGATGACCCTAAACCAAAAATGCCTCTAAACCTGTTTTCCAGAGAGGGCGAAACCTTATGTGGACCTGGCTTAGTCCACATAACGTTCACACAACCTGCGTTATGTGGACCTGTTTTGTTGTCAGGTCCACATATTGATGGTAAGGTTGGCACATAATGATTCATTGTGTACAGTCAATGAACCCACTGAAAAAAAAAGAAAGAAAAAAAAAAAAAAAAAACACGCCAAATTTCCTACGATCACTACTTGCATCTTTATTGTGTAAAGCTGGGCCCGGTCATGGTTTAACCGTTGCATGCCCGTTGTTCCGGCAACCAGCGTTCCATTCATGAATCATCCCTCCCCCCCTAAACCGACAACCGCTAGTTTCCTGCGTTTACCACAACTGTTTGGTCACTATTTTATTTCGTGCTACCATTTAATACAGTAAGGTGCCCTAACTGCTATGAGTCTAAAATACAAAGAATTTATAATTAAAAAATAAACTTAACGAAAAATTCTTGAAGGGAATATTCATCATTTGCTTTTGCCGTAATTTTCAGAAATGGATGGTTTTTGGGGGGTTAGTATTTTATAGCCAATAATATTGAAAGAAAGCCTTTCCAACAGTGCATCTTAAGAAGCACCTATACTATAATTCGTCGGATCAGTGCGCGACATCGCGTAGCTGCAATCGGCTCAGTAAGAACGTGTCTCAGACGCTGAATTGAGGTCAAATTCAAAACATGATTCAGCAACTTTTGATTTGAAATCGAGATCCTAGAATGTTGTTTTTCTCGAAATATACAGCTGAAGCTGAGCTGAAACTTCATCCGGTTAGTTGTTCAGCACCCTTCTTTAGATTTTGAGCACGTTTGTTGTTTCAAACAAACAAAATGCACAAATTACAAATGATGGACTATACCTTTAAATGGTATGGTGGTAATTGGAGAATTTTGCAGGATTGAGGATGGTTCCTAGCCAAAAGGGCCTAGGGGGTTAGGGTTAATTAAGAGCGAGAATTCCTTGCAGAGGTTTGTAACAGCCAGAAAGTGATACGCTTTCCCAAGGGGGAAACGAAAGGCCAAACATTGCTGTAGGGTATTCCTGCCTCATTACATGCAACACAGCTGTACATGGCCACCGAACTTGAACTCGCTTGCATGCAAAAAGGTTATTGTACGTGTTCATTGTACAAATTACTGACAAATAGACGCTAACGTTTGATATCTCTTCCGCAAAGTTAAAGTCACTGATAGATATTACACTGCACTTACAATCGAAAAATCTTCCCCATTATTTCTTTCTCCTGATGGGATGTGACTCGGTGTGTCACATGAAATTTCTCTATTTTCGGTGATTTTGTTTTAACTTAAACTACATTGTAAAGGAGTTAAGGTTCTAGATATCTGGTTACCGGTTCCTTACTACCCTGTCGATGCACATAATATCGGAGTTTTATATAGCGCACGTACATGTATCTACCAACAATTAGGTACTCAAGGCGCTGGAAATTATGTCTGTTGTTAAAGAAAGGTAAATAAAGTTTATCAGAAATATGAGACCCATTATGTAGCACCTTATAAGGGTTTACAAGGTGCTGCGGCGCATATTGCAGCCACTGCCAGAAACACCGGGGCAAACCCCTTCTCTTAGCGATAAGTGTTACTGGGTTCTTTAGCGTGCATTACACAACACACAGGACCTACAGCTTTACGTCCCATCCGAAGGACGAAGCAATAATGGTAAAGTGCCTTGCTCAAGAGCACAAGCACCATGTTCCCATGGTCAAGATTGGAACCCATGTACCACAGCACACGAGTCGAACACCGTAACCATTGGACCACAGCACCTCACATTGCACACCCCTATCCTGTGCTCACGTAGCGAGATGATCTAACAGTTTTTTTTGTTTCACCTTCCCCTTCTCTAGGTCCAAGTTCCTTGGCGAGAAGCGCCGACGGGAGCAAGAGACCTACCTGGAAGAGCTGGCGGAGTTGATCAGCGCCAGCCTGAACAACCCAGAGTCCCTGAACATGATGCCTGACAAACGGGCCTTCCTGCAGGACACCGTCAACAAGATCAAACGCATCCGCTTGCAGCAACAGCAGCAAGGTGAAGAGCCCGTCTCTATTGACCTATCGCCGTTTGCGCGTTAGCCACGCACATTTAACCCTAACCACCCCGAATCCTTCAGAATCCTCTCTGCCAAAGTGGAGGAATTTGGAGGATTGAGGTTACATGGCAAAATTAAAAAATGTCTGTGCTGGATAAGTAGGACATTAACACCACATGTACCGGTAAAGGCTGGTTTATGACATCATTAAACACTTTTTTGCAAAATTTGCAAAAAATTGTCACATATACGCGTCTGCGTTTTGTTTTCGCACCAAGTTTGATTCAGCCTTAAAAGCTCATTGTAAAGATGCCTAGCAACCAATAATATATCGGGATCATAAACAGTCTTTAGTCTAATTGAGTCCTACCCCCCCCCACCCCACCCCCCCCCCAATTCACCCCTCCCAGAGTCAGTCCCCACCCCCCAGAGTCAGCCCCCACCCCCTAAATCATGCCCCCACCCCAACTCAGCCCCCGCCCACAGTCAGGAACCCAAAATCTTCAACAGAAGGCACCGATGGATCCCAGTTTTATCGCCTGTTTTATACTGACCTGTGTGACCTGACCCCAAGTTAATCTCTGACCCTGTGACCTTTTGTACAGATCTGGAGCAAGGTAGCGAGGTTCAGCATAGCCATGTCTCTTCTAGCAAGCCCGGAATGCTGTCCAGCGATTCGCTGGGCAACGTTCTCTTGGAGGTGAGAATGGGGCAAAAACCCCGAAAAGCCGTATTTATTTTCGTTCTTCAAATCTTAGATATGCCTAACTGATTCTCATAAATGCAATTATGCTATTAGAGGCATTCCTGCTGATTAGCATTTTTTTAATTTCAATTAATTTTCATTGAAAAGTGCACTTTAAACATTTACAATTATCCTTGCATTTTCGGACAACTGAGGTTGCTGTTGCTGTGATGTCATTTCAGGAACACACTGTTCAGTATAGGGGTTTTCTGTTAAAATTGCGAACCCAAAAATTGCACAAAAGTCTTTCTGCATCTTTAACCTACTGAAAGAAATTTGAGAGTTTGGTTCGGAACTACTATGAATTTTTTTAAATGCGCGCTACATATATTAGGCCAAACAGATGCACGCGCATTGGCACAACCAATAGCAAGTCATCTAGACGTTGTTCTGACAGGTTTGTGGGTGATACTGGTTGGTCGTGATAGCGCCCTCGCGTGGTGGCCGGTTATCGCGGCGGGTTATCGCATACAAACAATAACAACATCTAGCCTCTAGACTAGCTGATTGCAAGCATTTTGATTTTAAAGTTTTTGCCCCATGACATCCCCATTAGGAATGTTTACAGTTTTTATCTGCAGTTTGATGAACTACAGGCATGCAACTTTTCCTCGGATCAGCTGATTTCCTCTTTTTTTTTACTTCCCATGTGAGCCATTAAAAATAGAAAAACACTGTACAAAGTCTTTGAAAGATTTTAAGTTCCTTCTTTTTTTGTGACTTCCCAGTTGCATGCCTGGAACTAGGTCATGGATTTTTCATAATATGGTCATGGAATTTTATTGTCCTAAAGGTACGGAAACATGTGTTCAGTTTTGGGTGACGGCCTGGCCTGTTGCTATAGAGATCTTCTCATAATGTCCTGCGAAGAATTAGGGGGAGGTCAGGGTCAAAATGGTGGGTGTGGGGTGGGACTTGAGATAGCTGCCAGAGTACATGGAGGAATGGACTTACCATGTATCCCTCCTAGAAAGGCAAAGAACAATCAATGATAGCCCTATTTTTTGGCAGAGTTATCTGGTTGGAGGTGTGATCCACATTTGTTTTTTAGAAAAAATAAGATAGTGGCTAGGAATTTGCACGTCGGGTCTGGTGCTTTCGTGGGAACTTGCCTCAGTTTTTTTCCTGTCGCTGTCGGAAGGGAGGCAACGTTGGGCAGATCCTCACCGATGGCACTGTTTCACGCGCAGGTTGAGAGTCTACGCAGAGGGAGTGGCGAGCAGCGCCCCCTAGCTGCAGGATTATTAAAGTTTAACAGCTGTTTGAGCTGTTTTTTTTTTTAAGACGAATATTGGACAACACGGAGCTTGTTTACCAGTTGTTTTTTTTAAAGGCGAATTAACATGAAATTGCTTTCAACGATTGCCTCATGCACCTTGGCATTTCAGTTTCAGACTCTATCCAACCAATTGACGAAACACATGTTTCTGATTACTTGTCTTCCTTAACCAATGTTAAAATCATAAATCAAGAATGTCGAAATTAGTCTAAATCACTCTCACCCACTCACACTTAGCAGGTCGACCGACTAAATGTAAACACAGATAATGGGCAAGAGCTTTGTGCACGTGGGCGGTTCGTACCCGTGGTTGTTACTGTCAACACACGGGACGGTGACAGACTGTAGCTGTAGCGCCCTCCATTGTTGATCTCGTGAAAGGGCCACCTCGTTTCGCTCTGCTGTGTCAAGTCGGTCGACGTGGCCCCATTCCTGTTTGTGGGCGTTGCTCATTTTAGATATCTTGTAATTGATAATTTCAAAGCGGGATCCTAAATTTCTCAGTTGTGCTAGTGTCATTAGAATAATTTTAACTGGTCTGATTTTTGTTGTCTTCTTTTTTTCCGCCCACAGGCACTTGATGGGTTCTTGTTTGTTGTCAACAGTTCGGGAGAAATTGAATTTGTGACCGAAAACGTGAAGATGTACCTCAACTTTAAGCAGGTCAGTTCAGTTATACTTTTTAAAGTGTTTTTTTTGTGTGGAAATTTTGTTTGAGTCAGGAAAACACAAGTAGTTGATGTAAGAAGAAACTGATTAGGCCAAACAAAAAAAGTCTCCGGTTTCTGGTATACGCGCGCGTCGCTTTAGCCATGTGTGTCGGAAAAATTAAAAAAAAGAATTTCAATGTAAGATGATGTCTCAAAACCGCCAAACTCACTGGTTTGAGTGGAATCCTGCTGCTGCACAATTTTAACATGTTTTTAGATGGGGTTACGATTGAGTATAAGCTTTATGTGGCCTCTCTGGGCTCCCATATATTTTACATTAAACTTAGTCGGGCACCATTTGCAGAAGGTGTTGTAATTTTGTAATTCTGTTCACTTCAGGAAATCGTAGAAAATGCAGAAATATTTTAATAATATTCAATACAAAGTCTGCAAATTTGTATATAAACTTCAAAATTGGTCCACTTTTAATCACTTTTTACATTTTTTTAATCACTCTATATTAGATTTTTGAAGTCACTTGCTTTTTGCCTTTAGTCACTTTTTACATTTTTTTAAACACTCTTTATTAGATTATTAAAGTCACTTGCTTTTTGCCTCTGAAGAAGTCCATGCTAAGGGTGAAATATCAGGCCACTCTAATTTTGTTTTGTTTTTTTGTTTTTTGTTTTGGTTGAATTCTCAGGAGGATCTTATCGGATCGAGCATCAAAAATTTCATCCACGTCGGAGACCACAATCAGTTTATCAACTGCTTGCTGCCAACCTCCACTCGTGAGTCTTACCTCCGTGGACCACCGCCTTTCCCGGCTGCAAGTTTTGCTTTATATCCTCATGAGCAACTAAAGCTCAGTGATGGAAATAAAAGCCACTTACCTGCATTGAAGATGCATTGAGGCGCATCGCGTTTTTGTTTTTTTCCCAACAATTATTGACAAAAATAAATTGACAAAATTGGAGGAAAAAAAAGGAGGTTTTTGTAGATAGGGGTTCGCTGAAAACACGCACAAAAGGAAACAGCCCTTCACATTTTGGCTCTGTTCCACTGCACCCCAACGTGGCAATTTGTCAATTTCGGCTATTTTTAGTGGCGGCAGGTCACAGATCAGACTTGAAGACCTCTGGAAGACCCTAGTTCCATGTCAGGCCTCTTGAATGTCATCAGAGATACTACTCAGCAATTCTGCAAACTGATACTGATATCTTTGCTATTTCTGATTTCTCTTGTTCTCTTTCCCTAACCCTCTTCTGTCCTTAACCCTCTTCTTTCCTCTTTTTTCCCGTACACTTTTCTTTCCACTTCTATTTTTCCTTTTCTTTTCTTATCCCTCTTTCCTCGTTTTTCCCGTACACTTTTCTTTCCACTCCTATTTTTACTTTCTTTTCTTATCCCTCTTTCCTTTTCTTTCCACTCCTATTTTTCATTTCTTTTTTTATTCCTCTTTCCTTTTCTTTCCCATACACTTTGCTTTCCACTCCTATTTTTCCTTTCTTTTCTTATCCCTCTTTCCTTTTCTTTCCCATACACTTTGCTTTCCACTCCTATTTTTCCTTTCTTTTCTTATCCCTCTTTCCTTTTCTTCCCATACACTTTTCTTTCCACTCCTATTTTCCCTTTCTTTCCCTAACTCGCTTCTTTCCTTTCTTTCCCTTACACTTTTCTTTCCACTCTTTTTTCCCCTGTCTTTCCCAATCCTCTTTCCCTTTTTCCAATACACTTTCTTCCCACTCCTATATTTCCTTTCTTTCCCTAACTCTCTTCTTCCCATTTCTTTCCCATACACTTTTCTTTCCACTTCTATTTTTTTTCCTTTCTTTCCCTAACCCTCTTTTTTCCCATACACTTTTTTCCCACTCTTATTTTTCCTTCCTTTCCCCTTACCCTCTTTTTTCCCATACACATTTTTTCCACTCCTATTTTTCCTTTCTGTTCCTCACCCTCTTTTTTTTCCCATACATTTTTTTCCCACTCCTGTTTTTCCTTTCTTTTCCTTACCCTTTTCTCTCCTTTTTTTCCCAATACACTTTTTTTCCCACTCCTCTTTTTCTTTTCCCTAACCATCTTCTGTCCTTTTCTTGCCCTTTCCCTCTTTTATCCACTCCTACCGGTATTTCTTATTTTTCCACCCTATTAACCCGTTTGTTTCCCGTCCACTTTTCTTTCCATTTTTATGTTCCCTTTCTTTTCTCAACCGTCCTTCCCTTTTTCCCCATACACTTTTCTTTCCACTCCTATTTTTCCTTTCTTTCCCCTTTCCCTAACCCTCTTCTTTCCTTTTCTTTCCCATACACTTTTCTTTCCACTTCTATTTTTCCTTTCTTTCCCTAACCTTCTTTTTTTCCGGTACTCCTAATTTCCTTTCTTTTCCTTACCCTCATGTCTCCTTTTTTTCCCAACACACATTTCTTTCCACTCCTATTTTTTTCCTTTCTTTGCCCTTGGCTCTTATCTCTTCTCTCCTTTTCTTTGATTAACCCTCTCTCTTTGCCCTTGGCTCTTATCTCTTCTCTCCTTTTCTACGATTAACCCTCTCCTTTCCTCTTCTTGTGTTTCCCCCGTTTCTCGTTAATCTCTCCCCTTCTCATATCCTCTTCTCCTTTTTGTCTCACCGCAGCCGGAATGTGGTCCCAGGACTCCAACTCCCCGACCAGCCGCAACCGGTCGTTCGCCTGCCGCATGCTGACCAAACCAGTTGACGAAGAAGACCCAGCGACCGCCACCCAAGCAGAGCAGCACTACCAGAACCTCAAGTGTTCGGCCATCCTCAAGCCCAAAGAAGACGGCCAGTCTTCCAACTCTACCGAGAGTGGTGAGCGTCGCCATCCAGTTACTCCATACATCATCATTGGGTCGATCAGTCATTGGTCACCATCCAGAGATGAAACTTTTCAGATTTTAATCTGAAATCAGATTTTTTTTTTTTTACTTTTCCAATGAAATTTCAGATTTTTTAACGATCCCACATAAATCATTATTTAACGATTTTTCCACAAAATGGTTTTTTTTTTTCATTATAATTTCCAAAAAAGTTCCATGAAAATGCGATGAAAACGGCACGTAAAAATTTGCACAAGTGTAAAACGCCTAGACAATCAGATCCTTTTCCGGCTGGAGAAAAGGTTAAATACTGACCTATGACACAGAAAAATTCACTGGGTCCCACGTTGATGCGCTGTGCTGCACTGCACTGCGTGATGCTGTGGCAGCTCGGATCCAAGGTCCAATTTCAGATTTTTTTTGCCAAGGCCAGTTTCATCTCTGACCATCTCCGATTTTGTCAAAAATCGACTAATCACACCTCCAGAAGCAAAAAGACCAATTTTCAAAGGGCAACCGTCAACTCTTTGTTTTTTTGTTTCTGAAAAAGGTCCTCTTGAAGACTGGGCCTGACCCTTGTTTGCTCACGCAAGTGGCGTCAAATTTGTCTGCATTTCCAGAAGCTGATATTTTGGCATGTGCATGCAAGACATGGCTGCAAATTGCCGCTAAGGGTGTCTTTCAGCCAAATATTCAGATTATGGCTTAAAATCAGGTTTCCCGTTGCAGTTTCAATTTTTTTTTTACTCTTCGACTGAAGAATTGATTGCCTTATTTAAATACAACACAGAAACTGACCTGTGGCATCTCTGTTGAATGTGAAATCCAATGATAATTGCAGTTGTTCAAAGAGACACTACGGCCTGGAATTCGCCCAATTAGGCTACAAAACGCATTTTGAATGAAGTGATGTTAAACTGAAAGAACGTTTAAAAGTAGGATATAAACATCCACGTAACTATCCTTTGGAAACTGGACGTTTTTGTGTTATTTTTGTGTTATTTGTGCAAGAACGGATTTCGGGGTCCACTTTTTGCAACCCCCCAAAATTTGGCTGTTCAGTGCTAGTTCTGATTCCAAACGTAAACTGTTCGCGTTCTGCGGACGTGTAAGAAACCACATTTGTGCATTGGTGCTGTGTGTAGCTTATTTGACACACACAACATGTATCGTACATTGAATGAAAACGACAGGAAAAAGGACGCGTACTCCGTCGTGTCCGATGAAACAACCAGGGTTTTTTCCGTCTTGGGAACGGTAAGACATTAGGTTAGGCCCCCCAAAAAAGTCTCCGGTTTCTGGTATGGAGCTTGCCCAAAAAGTGGTGCGGCGACGCGGCTTCTTTTTTTTTTTTTACCTAATTTTTTTGCTTCAAATGTCGGCTGATGACTGCAAATGGTGCCCGACTAAACTTACTGCAAATATATGGGAGTCCAGAGAGGCCACATGAAGCTTATTCTCGACCATAACCCAATCTAAAAACATGTTAAAATTGTACAGCAGCAGGATTCCAATCAAACCAGTGAGTTTGGCGGTTTTGAGACATCATCTTTCATTGAAAAAAAAACGTTTTCATTTTGCCGACGCGCATGGCTACGGCGACACGTGCGCATACCAGAAACCGGAGACTTTTTTTTTTTGCCTTGGTTTCCTTTCAACTAGACCGTTTAAATAGTGTAAGTAAACAATCCAAGACAAGACATTTTACGGGGATTTCAGGTCCTAATGCCCGTTTAATTGTTTCCCCTGCTTAGACCCACCCTCCCACCTCTTCTGCATCGCACGCCGCGCAGCCATGGACGACAACCCGGCCGCCAACGCCGGCGCCGGCAGCAACCCTAATCCCACCATGATGCTCGGCGGCGGGGAGGAGTTCACAACCCGCTTAGACCTGAAGGCTACCATCATATCGGTGGACCTGTCTCGTCTCAAACCACCACACTACTCCAAGGAGGACCTGGTGGGACAGACGATCTACAAGTTCTGCCACGCTAACGACCGGACTGAACTGAGGAAACATTTTGATGAAGGTAAAAAAAAAACTGTAAGACTTAAAGCTTGAATATCATTTCTGCACACCTATACCCCAGTGCAATGGATACACCTCGGGCGACACACTTAATCATTCTAGGCTTTTGATATGACCGGTACCCTGTAACGTTTGACTTTGTTGTGCCACAGCCTTGGAGAAGGGAACCAGCTCCAGCCTGATGTTCCGGTTCCTGATCTACACCGATACGTGGGTTTACGTTCAGACGACCAGCAGAGTCTACCGCAATCATCATAGTGGGAAGCCGGAGTGGCTGGTTGCTGTTCACTCTGTCATGAGGTGAGTCCCTCCTCCCCCCCCTCCAATTACCACCCCATCCTCCATCCACTCTACCTTTCACCCTCCACCCTCCCAACTTGCCACTCGACCTTAATTTGCCATCCATCCATCCCCTCTCCACCCTATTCCCATATTCCACCCAGCAATCCCCACACCCTGCCCACTCAACCTCTATATCTCACCCACTCCACAACCCCACCCCTTACCCTCCCCACTGGCACCATACAATCCAGACAATACATCACGATGATAGAAAGTCAAGTCTTCAAAGTTAGCCTTGCCTCAACATTTTTGAAATTGCAGAGATGATGCATCATCAGGGCAACTGATGAAGCAGGCCAACGTGCCAGGCATGGCATCCACCAGCAGCGGCAGCAACAACACCAACCGCCTCCTGGAGGCCCTGTCCAACAACGGCAGCATCGACCTGAACCGCATCCGTTCCCTCATGCTGAAGCGCCGTCAGCAGAATGAACAGCAACAACAGCAGCAGCATCTCCAACAGCAGCAGCAGCAGCAGCAGCAGCAGCAGCAGGGGATGGGGTTCAGCGGCAATAGCAAAGCCAGCACCAGCGGGATGGGCAACCCCAATAGCTCCCCAAACAGTGCCAATGCGCAGGAGGTCTTGGACTCATTAAAGAGATCCTCTCTGTCCACCATACTTCAGGACACCCCTGTCAGGAGCCGCAACAGCAACATGGAGACCTCCAGCGTCTATCCAGTCTCTTACAGCAGTGGCAGCGGTGGCAGCAACGACCGCCACCCAGTCCCGGAGAAAATCCAGCGCATGGAGCGCAGCCCGTCAGACTCTAACATAGCATCCTCCACGGAGCACACGAGCCGGATGCTTACCGAGCAAAGTGACGACGGGGACGTCTTCCTCCCCGACCACCAGAGCCACAAAAATGGACGATTTCAGGACAAAGGCCGCCCTAAGGGGAGCGGAGCAAGTGGGGGTAGCAGGGAGGGGGTTGGAGGAGGTCCAGTCGGCAGGGACAGCCCCAATCTGAGTCCTGACACCAACGCAGAGGAGAAAGACACAACCACCACTACTAGCAGCACCTTGGCAAAAAACACGCTCCTGCAGAAGCTTCTTCAGGATGACCCTGATGACGGTAGGCAATTTTTATAGGAGTTATGCATCTACTAGGGATAGAGAAGGTGCTGTAAGCCGAGTATTCATTTTTTTTTTACCATTAACCCTTTCCTTACCATGGGCGACTTTTGTCGACAAGAAGAATCCCCCTGCTAGTTCCCATGGGCGACTTTAGTCGACCAGGAAACCACACACAGAACACCCTCAACACAGATATATTCACTACTTTGCAGAAAGGCGGCATTTTGATATGTTTGGCCGTCCATACATCAACCATATACCAGCTGAAAGAGTGTTTTTGGATCGTGTAGTTTATTTAAAGTGTTGCCATTACAAAAAAATGAGAAAAGTGCTTGGAGTGCCATTTGGTCATGTGGTGAAATGGCTTGCAGTTTGAGAAATGGAACCAGATGAACAAACAGGCATAACTTTCTTATATTTACACATATGGACTTCATTTTTACATCACATACAAGAGTAGGGTTCAAGGAACAAACTTCACACACAACACCTATGATTTAAATCACTCCTTGGCAGTGAAAATTTGGGTTGAAAAAAGTGAGTTTTGGACTTGTGGTCATTTTGTTCACGCTCTAGTGATTTCCGCATGACTGAGCAAACAATTTGGTCCTGGAGAGAGCAAAGTCAATAAACAATGTGGTCATGAAAGGGTTAAGAAAAAATTCCATCGACACTGGGCTGAATAATAAGTGGAAAAAAATGATGTTATCAGTCTTGGCAGATGCATCCACTGTGATATCATTTCGTAAATATATATTATCTACATGTTATTTCTTACAGATAAGAGTGACATGAGCAGTCCAAGCCACTCACCGATGTTCACCGGGCACAAAAACACCTCGGACGATGAAAAGCTGGACGAGAAGACCTTTAGCCAACTTCTAAAATCCGATGGCAACACTAGTGGCACCAGTGGTAGTGGCCCAGAGAAGCCATCCAACACTCCAGAGGATGACACCGAGGGGCCGGAGGACGACAACGAACCCTTGCTGGACTCCGAGGGCAAGCCCCGAACCCGGCGGAAATCCATCGAGCGCGAGAATACCATCCTCAGCAAGCTCCTAGACGGCGACACCCAGTCAATGTTTGGCAGCGGCAAGCTCCCCCGGGAGCAGCCAGGCTTTGTTTGCAGCAATGTGGTCTCCACAACCACCGTGCTCCAAAAATGTGACATGGACTCAGACAAGAACACCTGCAGCAAGAGTGAGAAGAACGCTGATGGCGGCAGCTCTAACAACAGCAGCGGCGGCGGTGGTGGCAACAGTAAGAAACGCAAGAACGTTTTGTTACAGCAACTCCTGATGGAGGATGTGCCTGCACTCGACAAGTGCCGCAGTGACAGTGAGAGCACCTGTCAGGAAAGCACCACATCCCCAACAGTCACCACCACCAAACCAGGCATGCCTGGCAACCAACAAATCAACCTTGAGGATAGCAGTGCCGACGGCTTTGGACACGATGATGAAGCCGTAGTGCAGCAGCTCTTGCAGAACACCCCCAACCTTCCCGATGATGGCGACGGCAGCCAACCCAACATGATCATGGACTTCTTGAAGGAGTTCGACAACATCCCTGACACACAAGACCCCTTCTTGCATCATCTCCTTAACGCCCCGGACAGCAGTGTCCAGACCACCTCTCGATACCCACCACAGAGCTCCTCTACCATGGGGGTTCCGACATCCCAGACCAAGGTGCCAATGGGACCTGAGACTATCCCTGGACCAGGACCCCACCAGAGACCTGACAGTAGCGGCGGGCTCACCAACCCTGCCCTGATGGGCCAAGGTACCGGGCATGAGCCCACAAACTCCATGCACTCTAGGAAGTCCCCCGGTATGAACTCACAACACCGCCAGCCTGTCAAACGCACCAACTCCAGGGATTCCTATAATAACGGTGGCAGCGGTGGGATGCACCCTAACGCCGGCAACTTTGGCCGGTTTGCCTCCCCTCAGCCAGACTGTTTCAGCATGGATGGCATTCAGAATGTCATGCCACCGAACCAAACGGCGCCCATGCAGACATCCATGTCACAGATTCCACTACCAGGAGCCGGCCAACACAACATATATGACCAAGATCACATGCAGGTACGGGTAAGTCAGAAGCTTCTTAAGCCCAAAAGCCGTGTCCAACAGTATCAAACAGCTAAAATGAAAGAGTATTTCTGTGTTGACTCCCTGCTCTTTACATCCAGCTCAGATTTAAAATATTGTAACACGAAAATTTCTCACTTTTTGACTCCACAGGTTTAGCTTGATAAAGCTGCCTTTCTGGGTAATGCTAAAACAAGGGGCGGGTATTGGTGAAAGGAAGGTCTAATGAGATATTTTGTGGAGGCCAATTTTAAATTACCAGTTCTGCTTTTTTTTTCAGGACATCCTGCCTGGAAATAACGGCGACGAGCAGATACTTTCTGAAGAGGATGCAGACCTCCTGCAGCAGCTGCAGCAGGTCCTGAACAGCACCACGTTTGATCTGGAAGGCAACTTTGATGTGGACCAGCACACCAGCATAAACGGGCTCACAGGACTGGACCCATCGCAGCCGGACAACGGCAACAACATGCTGCAGAGCATGCTGAGCACCCAGACGTCGCAAGCCCCGCACTCCGGAAGCTACCCGACTCCGTCATCGACGAGCATGAGAATGCAGCAGCAGCAACAACAGCACCCCCAACATCAACAACAACAACAACACCCTCAACAACAACAACAACAACAACAGCCACAACAACAACAGCAACAACAACAACAACATCCTCAACAGCAACAACCACCACAACCACCACCACCACCACAACAACCACCACAACAACATCAACAGCAACAGCAGCGGAACCGACAGCAACATCAGAAACAGCAACAACAGCAGCAGCATTCGATGTTGGGTATGGGTGGGGCAGGAGGTGGGACTAGGATGGGACAGGGCGGGATGCCAGATATGCAAATGATGGGGGCGGGGCCTAATGCGTCCTCGGGTCCTGGACAGCCACGCTTCCCACAACAGGTTCATCCACAGCAGCAACAACAGGTCCCGCAACCAATGGTAAGCTATTTGGAAATTGACCAGATTGTGAAGCTCTGCTTAAAAGTCTGGATTGCATGGATTTCAAAATTTTCTCTGGTATTGATCTCAAAGAATCAACAAATTTGATGTTATACACACACAGTAAGTTACCCAACCTCTTATGTTTATCCTCACAGCAGTATAACCAGATGAGCGCCATGCAGCAGCAGCTGCAGCACCAGTTCCAACAGCAGCAACAGCCGCAGCAGCAACACGGTCCTCTCCCGCCCCACTCCAACCCGCTGCAGCAACAGCAGCAGCAGCAACAACAGATGGCGTCAGGCCCGGGCAAACCTTCCCAGGGTCCGCCCCAGATGAGCAGCACCACGGCTGGTCCCGGCGTATTCAACCGTCCGCCAGCTAAACTGCGGCAGGCGATACTCATGAGGTCACGGCTGAAGGAACAGCAGTTGCAGCAGCAGCAACAGCAGCTGCAGCATCAGCAGCAACAAAGGTAGGCATCACTGTCATTTTATAACCCTGTTGGCATTGTAACACCCAGGTCAAATACTCTTCTGAGTCCCCAAGTGTACTGAAATATAGACGTGTCGTCTGAACAGACACCCCCACGTGAAGTAATAAGAGCTGGACTCTACCTTCCTCAATCCTGAACAATACTCAAAAACTACCAAGTGAAATTTGAAAGACCAGGTAGAGTTTGAATCAATGGCTTCATTTTTCTTCTTCTGCAATGTTCTTCCAGGCAATGGCAACTCCAGCAACAACAGCAACAGGCAATGCGGCAGCAGCAGCACATGAACGCAGCCAGCGCCGTCGCAGCCAACCAGCAACTCATGACTGCAAACCAACAGCAGCAACAGCAAGCGCCGTCGATGGGTCCCGGTATACCCGTGGGTGCGGGGAGCCCCGTGGGAATGAATCCCATGCAGCAGACGCAGCAGCGCATGCTGCAACAGAAGCAGCGCATGTTGCTGCATCAGCAGCAACAGCAACAGACTTTCACTGGACCGCAGGTTAGTTGCGACACCTTCTGGTCTAAGAATTTTCTCCTGACACCACTTCTGAATTACCTGGTTACATCTGGCAGTAACATGTGTCTACGGGAAGTGGATTCAGCCACTTCCATTGGTGCATGTGTTCTTGCTGGTCAATTAACAATTTAATTTTGTCCCTTGACCAACATGACCACAACTTCGGTCAGGTCACAACAGTAGCTTGGTAACTTTGAGAAATGTACATAAGGTGGGCGGGGCTTATGGCCAAATCCTGAATTATTCATTGGTTGTTTATGTTGTTTTTGGTACCTCAGGTTGAGGGCGGAGTCTTCCCCCCACTGGACACTCAAGCCTTCCAGGACAAACTGAGCGATGTGCTGAATCCGGCAGCTGGGGTACTCGCTCCTAATGTTAGTATACAGGTAGGGAGAATTAAACAAATGATCACCAGTGGTTTGCTTAGAAAGCATTGCCTGAGGTTTCCCCTGTTACTATTTTTCTCCTAATGTTGCACCCGTTTTTATTTTGCAGAAATCTCCAGGGCCTTACGGACCACAGATGCCAGGAATGGGCAACCGTCCCATGCCTGGTGGCAACCAAATGATGGGCGGTGACAGCCGACATCCGATGGGCATGACCCAACCCTTTCCAGGCCAAACTGGTGCCAACCGGGGCGGACCGGAGTTCATGTTTGGCAACCAGATGATGCCTCAGGGGCGGGGCCCAGGTGGGAGTGGATATCAAGGGATGGTTCATGGAGGTGGCAGCAGTGGGACAAACCAGAACGTCTTCACCTTCCAGGACTTTAACAGCCCAGGAGGGATGGGCGGCGGTGGGAGCGTGGGTGGTGGGAATCCGCAACATATGATGCCCAATTCGGGAATGATGGGACCAGGGCAGCACCAGCAAGTCATGGGGATGAACCCCAATATGCCAGGTGGGCACAATAACGTCGGTTTGAACCCAAACATACCACGTCCTAATCTAGCGTCGGTTGGGAACCCGCGGCAGCAGACTCCCGCCCTGACGCGCTCCCTGAGCCTTCCGACAACAAACTTAGCCGCCGGCGGGAACGGAAACAACCTCAGCCCTGCTAACCGCCACAACCAGTACATGCACCCGCAGCAGCAGCAGCAGCAGCAGCAGCAAAACAATTTCCAAGGGAACAACGCTAACATGAGGGGGAATCAATTTGGTGGCAGCGGTGGGATGCAGCCCCACTTCCCTGGAAACTCTATGACCATGCAGCCGGGACAGATGGGCGGCAGTGCCCCCATGTTCTCCTCCCCGTCCTCTGGGACCCAGATGCGCTGGAGTGGCCCCAACGGTGGGGGGATGCAGAGGGGGGCCATGCCCCCACACCAGGGGCAGATGTTCCCCGGTTCGGCTGGGGGTGGGGCAGGTGGGATGCCCCAGTCTGCGGAGATGATGCGAGGGATGGGCAATACGGGAAGCAGCGGGACGCAGGATTTGCAGAGCATGATGAATAGAAGGCTTAGGAGAGGGGACAGTCTGCCAGCTAACCCAAACATGATGGCGGTGAGTTATAAGTCTAGGAACTTTTAGCATGGACATGCTAACCTGACTTACTCCTCTTTTCAATAGAATGTCAAAGATAAAAAAAAACCTTTTTGAGAGTTCGTTTTAATATTACAGTTCAGTTAATCTGCCTCATTTAAAAAAAGTTTCTGTGCTTAATAGCAATGAACACCGCATGGATGACTACTAAGTATTGAAAGTCCTAACATATTACAAACCAATCACAAGTCAGTCATAAGTCAATCACAGGTCAGACGCTAGTCACCCACTCCCAAGTCAATTCAAGCGAACTTTGACGAAGGCAGTTCTTGGTCACTGTTACTTGCGACTGATTCGTGACTAGATTTGTTGTGAACTCACTTGCAACTCTGATAATAAAAAACACGAAAAAAATTTACTCAAATATTTTTTCTCACCCACAACCCCTTCTAGACCCCGCCAAAGTACCCTCTCCAGGGCTCCCTCAACTCTAACATCCCCGTCCCGTCCAACCTTGCCGGCCAGAACACAATGCCCATGACCCAACAACAACAACAACAGCAGCAGCAGCAACAGCAGCAGCAAGCATCGGGAGATGCCGCCAATGCTACCAACTCCTACCTGACCCAACCCAGTAGCACTAGCAACAGTGGGGGTAGTGGCAGTAACACCAACAGCAGTGGCAGCGGCGGCGGCAACACCAACAAGAACAGGTCGACGCCGGGTGGCAACCCGTCCAACTTAGACATGTTGAGCCTGTCGATGGATATGTTTGAACCAGGTATGGACTTTCAGCGAATGCTTGATAGAGGGCACTTAGGACCGCTTTTATATTATTTCTTTCTGGTAATTGAACCAAGGATTTTCCCAAAGTACCCCAGGCACTGTAGCTCGAAAGCCTGAAGAAACCTGTAGAGAGAAGACAGTGAGACGAATTTACAGTTTTAGAGGTTGGAGGAAAAGCCCAGAGGAAAATTCTGAGGATTCTGCTTTATTTTATTTATTTCTGGTTATTGAACCAAGGATTCCTCAAAAGTACCCCAGGCACTGTAGCTCGAAAGCCTGAAGAAACCTGTAGAGAGAAGACAATGAGACAAAATTACAGTTTTAGAGGTGGGAGGAAAAGCCAGAGGAATATTCTGAGGAAAACCCACGGAATCAGGCAGGGACTGAAAACCTAATCCACATATTGGCCTGTGCGGGATTCAAACCCGGGTCACAGCGGTGGAAGGCGAGGAAAGTACCGCTACGTCAACCGGACTCCTCTTTGAGCGGTCCCTGTGGGAGCCACACTGCGTGGCACACCATCTTCGCATGAGCACCAGGTGTACAGTGGCTTTCAAGACTGTTTCTAACTGTAGAGGGGGTACCTTGAATAATTACTGGTTAGCAAATTGGTGGGTTCAGCAAAAATCAGCGGAGTACCAGTCATGGGCCATAAGTATGACTTTTAGGCTGGCTACCTGTTTTCCCTAAGCAAAAGTTTTCCGTGCTTAGCAAACTTTCCGTATGCAGCAGCTCTTTGAAATTGTTCCCAGGGGGGACCTACCAACCAGTACGTCAAATTTGATTATTTTTTCTTGCCAGAATTCTTCAAGCCTGACAATCCGAACCCCATCGCCAGCTCCACCACCAACCCGACCAGCCAGCCGGACAGCACCAGTACGACGACGTCCCGCAGCAACGGCGGCAATCCTCCTGTTAATGTTCCCGACCCCCTGAAACCTTACGCCGAGATGCAGTCCAATGAAGAGGCTAAGCTAAGATACCAGGTACAACCAGGGTTGCATGATGGACTCGTCTGGCTGCCCGCAATAAGCGGGGTTCGACTTAACGGTGGTCCGCTCGAGTAAAAACAGGGGCGGACTAGTCAAATTCTCTAATAAGTCAGCCTAGCTAGGCTTATTGTGGGTGTGGCTTATTGTAGATATGGTTGATTGTGGGTGTGGTTTATCACTGTGATCAAACAGTAAACACCTCATGGGAAGAGTACAATTGCTGAAAGCTGCATTTTTTTTGTTGACAGGAATTTTACAAGATTTCCGGCGCACAGACCGCGCCCGATGCCAACACCCGAGTGACCAACCTTTTCCGGAATCAGCTGACAGGACAGCCCCTAACCCCAGGGGCTGGTGGGAGAGGAGGGGGAGGGGCTCCAGGGATGGGCGGACAGCAGATGCAACAGTCAGGCGGTGGCAGCGGTGGGATGGTCCCGCCCCAGCAGCAACAGCAGCAGTATGGAAATGAAGACCAGGTGGGTGTGGCTTACTTTGGGCATGGCTAATAGTGGGTGTGGGTAATTGTGGGCATGGCTTATTGTGGGTGCGGCCTATTGTGGGTGTGGTTTATTGTGGGTGTGGTTTATCATGACTTGTCTTTGACTGTGGATGTGGTTTATTGTGGGTGTGGCTTATTGCAGGTGTGGTTTATCATGACTTGTCTCTTATTGTGGGTGTGGCTTATTGTGGATGACACTTATTGTGGATGCCACTTGTGGGTGTGGTTTATCATGACTTGTCGCTGATTGTGGATGTGGCTTATTGGGGGTGTGGTTAAATGTGGGTGTGGCTTATTGTGGGTGTAGTTTATCATTACTTTTCTCTTATTGTGGGCGTGGCTTATTGTGGATGTCACTTATTGTGGATGTGGTTTGTTGTGGGCGTGGCTTATTGTGACTCGGTGTGACTTATTGTGGGTGTGGCTTATTGTGGGTGTGGCTTATTGTGGGTGTGGCTTATTGAGGGTGTGGCTTGTTGTCTGTGGCTGAATTTGGGTGAGGCTCGCATTTAGATGTGGTGATAGGGTGTGGCTTTGGCAAACATTTCTTAAATAATAACTCCACCTTTTTTCATCTAACAGAACCAGCAGGAAGGAGGAGACGGCGATGGTAAATCCAACAGCCTCCTGCAGAAGCTGCTACTCGAGTAAACAAAGTTAGTCATTCAAATTAGTTTTTTTCTTCAACAAGGCTTTGAAAAAAATTTAAAGATAAAGATTTTTGTAGTTTGGCCTGACTAATGTGTCATCGAGTATGGATAACATAATTTTTCGAAAAAGAATTGTACAACTGGCTTTTCGTTCAATATGCTTCCTTTGTTTCGCCCACTGTGTACATAATCATTTCGTCGTACTCTAGGCAGACGATAGTTTAAAAAGCGTTTACGTTAACACAGAATTTAAAATTAAAAATCTACTTTGATTGTGTTCTATTAATACCGAGATGTATATTATTGTTTGTTAAATAATGGTATATATGAAGTGTGGTAGATTGTGCCAACTGAATCCTATTTCCGATACGTTGTCCACTCACTAAATATTAACTGCTGTATAGTGTACAGAAGGAATTAAAAAACAAAAAACAAGAACAGACGAGACATGAAACGGAACGATTTGTACATAAATGTGGAATAAATGTTGATTTTAAGGGAGTTTGGGTTATGTTTTTGGAGGAAATACCATCTCGGCAAATCTAGTGTTGTTTTCTATATGTACACATGTAGATTAAAACCGGAACCGTCTGGTTAAGTCCAGTCCGAGACTTTAATAGTTCAGCACTAAAAGCACATTCAGTTTTGTATGTAGGACACTTGGTAGTCTGTTTTGTTCTGAGAACCGGTTTGAACTGGTCCTATTAACCAGTTGACTCTTGTCACATCCAGTAAGAACCGGTTCTGATACAACCAGTTCAAACTGGACTCAACCGGGTTCCGTTCAGCATGCTATGTATATAAATATAAATATACATACATCTATTATGGTTTCATGGAATGTGGATCAATTTAAAAAGAATTTGAGAAATGCGGGGAAAAAACCAACATTTTCTTGCTGATTTGCGGGGTTTAGAATTTGAAAATTTATAAAAATCTGTTTCCAGCACAAAAAAATGTTAAGAGGGCTGACAAGACATGATATGTGCCTTGCACTTTTAGACGAGTACATTTAACATGTTTTAAGGAGCAAAAAAAGTCGTAAGTGTTAAAAAAAAAAGAAGACTTTTTTGATAACCCAATCAAAGGTTTATGTATTTTTATGACCAAGTGAGCAAAGCTCATTCCGTGATCAAAACATATTTTCCATTCTTCTCTTTCAGCTTTTAGACATTTTCTTTCCCCTTTTTGGGTTTTGTTTTCCATTTAAAATCTCCCATAAGTTCACCAGTCCTATATTTTGTAAATCTTTTGGGACGAAAAGTGAAAATCACATTTGCTTTATTTGAAAAATAATTACGAAGTGTTAATCTTTTTTCAGATTTCTTTTCTTTTGCCTTTATTCTTCAATTCTGAACCCACGAAATCCGCCAAATCAACTTGAAATTCCCCATTTCGAAGAAAATTACAATCAGACAAGCTGACGAATCTTAAATGTTATGAGCATTTTGTCCCAAATTTTAGATGCCGTTTATTGTTTTTGACATTAAATCAAATACATTGTCACAGTGCCTGAAGAAGACATGAAAATAGAAAAAAAAAACATGAAAATTTAACCGGTGTTTAAAATTTAAAAAACGTTTAATTGAGAAAATCTATTTATACTTTTCTGATACAACTCGATTGTAATTTATTATTTGAAACAGTTTTTTTTTAAAGTGTTTAGAAATATGATGAGTCTTTGTTAGAATGTTTTTATGTACAACTATTGAAATTGTGTGGTTAGGTTGTGTTATTGACATGACAACCGATTTTAATTATCAGTTTTTCCCAGCGATTTTGAGATAAAATATTACCCAGATGAAAGAAAAGTGACCAAAAATAAGGCTTTTTGAAATTTGTCGTGTTGTTTTTGGTTCTGGAAATAAAATTTTAGCTAATATGTTTTTAGGACGTCCAAATGAATGTCCTTTGAATTTGTTTAACTGTGGGAAGAACAGAGATAAATCGTGGTATTTCAGTCTATTTTAGTCACAATGACACAAATCAAAACAAAATTTGAGTTTACTATCTTTCACAGACATTATGAATTGATCTTTTCCATTGTTAAATCCTAGCAGTGTGCATGGACAATTGGATCGGCTGGCTTGACATGCTGTTAAGCGCCCTCTATTGGCCATGATGAAAATCAGGTCATGCGACCTTAAAATTCATCTTAAGAAGTAAATCATACTTTGTTTCACCGCAGAAGTCTCATTTAAACTTTCACCGCCATATTTCTCGGTAAAGACAAAAAAATTATGTTGCCCTAAATTTACACATGTACATGTACATGTACACTGAAAAATGGCATACCAGTCAGGATTTTTCAGAAGTTCGGAGAAATTATGTTAAACTTTGTTTTGTTTTTTTAGTTCTAAAATTTGTTCATGTCTGTTTTTATTTGTTTACACGTTATTAAACTGACCTGTAATTTGTGTGGTGAGATTTTACGGAAAATGGAGAGACGTACATTTGTATTTTGGTGCCAACTTTAAATGAGCGATTTTTGATGGACGAAATTATAGCAAGGCATATCTTGAATCCAGTCTGTAAATATAAAAAAAGGGCATACATTAAGTGTGCCACAATTATTGTGATTGGTTTAAATGTATGTAAGAAACTGTTAATTTTTTCTTCGAAGATTGGGAAAAAAAATACTTGGGTTATTCTTTTGAAGAGTATTTTGTGGTTTTTGGGTTTCAAATGAAAAATCATTTTTTTTTTCTCCAGACCTGTAGTGAATTAGAAACTATAGTGGATTTTAAAGGAGGGAGCGTCAGCAATAAGAATTTCAGGGATTGGTCAGTAGAGGGCGCTGTTGATGAAGCCTGTGGTGCAGAAAACTTGCCAAGAAAAAAAATCTCAAAGTTTTGACCAATCACCACAATTTCCAAACAGCGCCCTCTATTGACCACATTTGGGAAAAGGCTATAGTGTGTATAAAATTATTAAATAAGTTGTCAACAGTGGAGTGACTTGAATGGTTATTTTAAAGTGAAATCAACATTTGTTATTTTTTTTGTCCGCGTCATTGTAAAATATAAACAACAAAAATGAGTCGAAGACGAAATACAGAAATGACGTTTTAAAATATCGGGATCACTGTATTGATAGTTAATAAATCTGAGATGCGACTGATGTCTATTTCTGATCATTAAAAACGCCACTCAGTTTGGAATTGAAGTTGTCGTGTCTTTGTTTCTTTCACTGCTGTTTAAGTTAACCCTTTCTCTTCCATTGGCGACTTGGGAAGTACCCCCCCCCCCCCTTTCCCTATAACCCCCCCCCCTTTCCCTATAACCCCCCCCCCCTTTCATTCAGACACATCACACATAGAATAACTGTACTGACTTTATACAATTCATTTATTAAATCTTGCAAAAACACACGTTCTGATCAAAACAAAAGTTGCGGGCGGAATTTTATCTCAAAAGGCGACGCGACGTGGGACGGAAAGTTACTTCATCTTTACAAAGTATGAAAAATAATTTTGACAGTTTAAAGTTCATAGAATAAGTTTCCAAGTTTTTTTATCAGTTTTTTTACTGAATATTTTTTTGACACTCCTGACATTGCCTAAGGTTTGAAAAAAAAAAATTAACATACATAAATTTATTTACAGACTATAAACAGAGTAACAGCAAATAATATCATTTTTTTCTCTGAATCCCCATGTTTACTTCTTGCTAATTTTATAGAAGTTCTATTGCCAAAACTTGAAGCAAATTGCATTTTTTGTGTGAATTTTTACAGCTTTCTGAAATGAAAAATGTATATGCATTCCGGTATAGAGATTTTGCAGATTGATTTTTTTAAAAACTTATTCCCCCTTTTGATGGAGTCGGCCATGTCAACCCCATTGCAAAAACATATTCCTCGTTTTGATGGAGCAAGTCATGTACATGTACAAATTCAAAACCTAGTGAAATATAGAGTGGGCTTATCTGCAATGTCACTTTTCCCGAAAGGATATGCAATATTGTCCAAGACTCATTCTATCTCCCACGAACTGAGTTTTAGTTTGGCCTTCTGCATGCATTATGATGGTGACTTTGTCATAAATGGCTCTTCCCAATCCAGTAAGTGTATTAATTAGCCGTTCTAATCCCAGGTGAGGAATCGCATAAACTCGGCATGTTTTATTCTCCCTTGCTCATCGCCGCCACATTCTGAAATCAACTGTAGAAAAACAAGAAAGGAAAAAAAAAATTAATAAAATTTTTGTTGCAAATTTTGATATCCCATTTGCTACCAAAGATTGTAAATCAACCAACATTGACAACGGTTTATGAAAAATGATGCAGTTTGAAAAGGTTGACAATGTTACACTGCCCGAAACGAATGGCAGGGACTATCTATTGCACAGTGCTTGCATGCATGGGAGCATGCGAATTGAATTAGCCGCACTTTGTTCATCTGTGCAGTCGATAGGTGCCAATAACAGGCATGTGTGTTTGTGCTTAGCACTTTCTTCTCACATAATCTCTGAATTTGCAACTTTTCAACCTGCATCATTTTTCATAAACCGTTGCCAATCTTGGACGATTTACAGTCTTTGGTAGCAAACAGGGTATCAAAATGTAGCGAACAAAATTCCCCAAAGGTCTATATAAATGACGTCATCAGAAGACGATCAGATTTAAAATTATGACCCCTCCAATGAGTGTGGACTTTCTTTTTTTTGCGATGTTTATATCACCACTCTTGCAGCCATGCAAAATATTTTGTCAAAGTTTCATCTTCCAGGGTTCACCCTGTAAAAAGGTCTAGCAGTTACCACCTTTATTTTTGAGGAGAAAAAGAAGAATACTTACGGCTGCCATCAGATCATCGTCCAGGGGAAGATTCTGTTTCTGGCAGATCTTTTTCACTTCGCCGATGTCCACGTAGCCCGACCGATCCCGGTCGTACTGCAGGAAAGCCTCCGTCAGCGAGTTGAAGTTGATGTAGTTGTCCTTCCTCAGCTGGGCCTTGACTTCCTGGATCAGGTTCTTGAGGTCACCGGGGCTGTGGGAGGTAGAGAAGAGGTCATAGGTCAGGGGTCATGTGTGGTTTTTATCCCCCTGGCTTTCAAGCTAGACAGGGGGAAATTCCGATTGCGTATTTCTTCTGTGTGTCAATGTGTATGCATTCCAGTTCACTGTAAGTTTATCAATCTCAACCAAACTTGAAAGATGGTCTGTGGAGAGAAGGCTGATGTCAAAAAATCCTTTCCAATATGGATATTTACGAGGTCTCTAACCCAGCCCCACCAGAACTTGAAGCATTCTGACCTAGCCAAAAAAGCACTTTCCACTTTCGCTGCACTGCAAGAGTTCTGCAATAAAAATGTGAAAACGTGAAGAAAGCAATCAACCTCACCTTCGTTTGATCTTCATGGGGGCGCCCTTCACTGAAGACCTCATCGCCGGCTCCCCGAACGATCGTTTTTGGCGGATGGACTCGATGGTCTTCTCGCTTCCGGGGAAGTCTCCCTGGTTCGCCTCCAAGTACGTCAGGACGTAGTTATCAGCGTCCGTGATCACGAAGCGGTGACTGAAGACCTGGACGACCGCGCCGATGTACATGTCCTGCGGACCGTAGAACTGCGGGCTCTCGGGGATGGACCCGGGCTTGGTCACGCGGGTCGGTTCGAGGAACTTGCCGCTGATGATGCCGGAGTTGCGGACCGGCGGTTCGAAGATGGTGACCATGTCGTCGGAGAGGCGGTAGCAGATGATGAAACGGCGACCACGATCTTCAGGCTTGACAGAGTCCTAGAATAAGGATTGAGGACAGTGAGTCAGTGGGATGACACAGTTTTGATTTCGAAAACTGCTGGCAATTTCACTTTTTTTTAAAGGATTGAGATGGTTCATACTACAAGTAAGTATGGGTGAATTTGGACAACAAACTAGCGAACAAAAGTCTCACCAGTACAGCTTCAAATCGCAGTTGCTTGTGGTCATTCTCCAGCATCTTAATGAAGTCTTTCTTGGGCGGTTGAGGTACCAGAGACAAGCAGGACTGTAGAGAGTCTTCCAGGGAACCGAAGCCATTGTATGGAGGCAGATTCTGTTGCAGGAAAAAAAGAAAGAAGAACAAATAAATAATCTGAACAAAGATTCTAGTTGTTCCAAAAGTTGTGGAATGTCATTGAAACAGGGTTTTTGAAAATGAGTAGAAACTATACAGTTTTTATTTTAATTTAAAAAAACTTGGAACATAAAAAAATTAACTGAGAAAAATACTGGGATGTGAAATGATGTAGGAATAAAAGAAAGAAATTAAACAAATATCCTCAACAAAATGAAAAATAGTCACATTTTTGTTTACAAATTATTAATCTAATAAAAACAATCGGTATTTTTTGCCCATATAATGTCTGTACATGTTTATATATTAAAAAGTCAAAACAAGTGACAAATCTGAATGAAGTGCCTTCTCATGCACTTGAAAAATAAATTTTGTTGGAGAAAAAAGGCCTTACAACTTATTTTATGGCATCTAGACACAAGTAGGTTAAAAATGTGGCCATTAAAAATAAGAAATATCTCTCACCCTTGATGGTAACTCCCTAGCAGGGCCCGTCACTTCAACCGGCGTGAAGTCGCGTACGCCGTACTTGTCGCATATCCAGGCCCGAGTGAATTCATCCATGTCGTAGATCAGGAACGGTCGGTTGTAGATGAAGACGGTCTTGCCGATCATGAAGTCTTCGGGAGAACACCACTGCTTGATCTCGTGGTTCGACAGCTCCATGACGACGGCGGGGAAAGAGGCTGTAGAAGGGGGGGGGGGGAGAATGGTTTTTAAAATTTAACCAGTTTTAAAAAAATATACGAGTAGATGTGCCTCGTCAAGCTTGACCAGAATAGTGTAGGCATTAGTTGTTCTCAGTGGCCCAGTCAGTGACTCAGTCAGTGACTCAGTCAGTAACGATATGCTGACCTATCAAAAAACTTCTTTCTACTTACATTCAACATTGTAACGGTCCTTGGGCAGCTTTTGACGCTTAAGCAGAAGCGGGAAGGGATCGCGACCGTCGTTGGATTCGTGGACTTCGCGCACCTCGACCGTGTCGTTGACGAGATAGTACTGGATGATGTACGGTCGCATCTCGCCAAACATGCTGTCGCGGTCGTCCCAAACACTGTAGAAACGCAGCACCTGATTGGTTTCACAGAGATTAAGGTTGATTGTGATTGGTCAGTTATTATGGATGGTCTGGAACAATCAGAAGAAACAAGGTGTCTGATTGGTTGAAGTTTTGGCTGAATAAAGTAAGGTATTTTCTGATTGGCCAGATTATGGTGGTCCTAAAGACTTGTAAAACTAAATCTCATTGTTTCAAGAGAAGAGAAATACGCTAGTGGAAGAATTTTAAAAATATGTCAGGAAAAATTGATAGATAACTCTGAAGTTTATAACTCATAAATTTTAGACTTGTTTTTAATATCATGTGATGTTGAAATTATTACAATGGATCTTCACAAATTTCATCAAAGTTTTAAAATTAAGTACCTTTCAAAGGTGGTATTTTATATATCAATTACGGAAAAAAAATCAGACTAAGAAACTCCAACCATACGTGAGTGAGACAACACAATTTGCAGAGTTTTAAAATCCTAAACCATTTTTATCCAAGTTTTTTTACCTTTCGGTCCAGATCCAGGAACTGCTTCAACTTGTCAAACGTGGACTTGGTCTGGTAGGTACGCAGGGCTGCAGATTCCTTGCGCGATTCGATGTAAGGATCCGTCAGCATTCCCTGGGGTAGGTTCAGCTCGATTCCCTCACTGGCCATGTATTCCTGAAGGAGGAAAAAATGGAATAACCATACCGAATCAATTGAATAGAACTTGGTGTCCATCCGCTGAGACCAGTTTTCAGAGGTTTTCGCCTTGATCTTTTTTTCTGAATTAGAACTTTTAGTTTGGTTTTACGGACCTGCGTCCACTTGTCGCAGTGCGTGATGTGGAAGACCTTTCCGTAGAACGTCACGTTGATGTCTATGTTGAGGTCCTTCCAGTGCCAGTAGTCTCCCTGGTCATTCTTGGGAAGACGCTGCCGCTTGATCAGCTTGCCCTGGGGCATACCTAACCGAAGAACAAAAATCAAAAGGAAAAAATTGAAGGTACAGGTTTAGAGAGTAAGATAAGAATCAGGCCTGATTTTAAAAAGATGCCGAGCTGAAAATAGTTCCAAGCAGACCTTTGAACGATGGGGCGTGGTTCGAACCCTGCTAGAAGCATGATGTTTGTGCCCTTGGGCAAGACACTTTACTACAATTGCCTCTCTCCACCCAGGAGTATGAATGGGTACCTGTGAGGGTAGAGGACCGAATGTGCACTGATATCGGCTGCTGCATGGTCTCGTGGCCTGACGAACGAGGGAAGAATTGTAAAGCGCTCTGAGATTGTTGATACCATGGAAAACATTACAATTTATGTTCTACCTGCTTAGCACGATAAAAAGCCGAGTGCCAGTCATTTATAAGCCATAAACATTGCTTGGCTGCATGGTAATCACTTTTGCTAAACCTATATTTGTATTGACCGCGAGGGGTAAATTTCCGCTTTTTGTGGCCCCAAGCAAATTTACTTCTGGTTTTTGAGTAACATTCAATGCAATATTTAACCTGATCCCAACGTTTTTATGCCACAAATTAAAACAAATATCTCAAAATGTTGAAGTACTAAAAGTGTAAACATGTCAAAAGACACTAAAACTTGCAAGAGCAACTTTTGCCATAAAAAAATTATGAACTTGAATGATTTTATTGTAATTCTAACTTTATAATAACTTGTGAAAAATACTCAAGCCCTTTATACATTATTACCCCTGTTCGGCAAGCTTATAGTGCTTTCCAGGACCATTTCAAATCTTGCGAAAAGAACGCGTAGACAAATGAGCGGCATATTGTCACTCTGGACTTTTACACAAAGATGCACACCAAAGTACAACATTTTCAAGTTTCGGACACAAACTTTCTGAAGATTTTCACTTCTTTTTGAGAGCTTACCGCTGTTCTCAACGTGTGGTTCCACCACAGAGATGCTGTCGTCCTCCAGATAGTAATAAATTACGACCGGTCGGACGCGGTAATACTCGTCTCTGGATTCATGGACGGTCTGCTGGAAGTAGGCATCGAATTTCAGCACCTGTAAAATACAGAGAGATTGTTTTCTTGGTGATTGTCTCAATTTTTACCTATTTTTACTGCAATTGGCCCCGCCCACTTCCCTCTTTTCCAGCCACCTCCTTTTTTTTATTTTTTATTTTTTTATTCATACATTTGCAATATATTTTGCAAATGTATTGCCAATATTTTGTGTTTTCTTTTGTTTCCAATACATTGGTTATGGCTTTTTAGGACACAATTTTGTATCAGCAAAATTGTCCAGAAAATTTGGACAAATATATAACATTGTAAAAAATATATAAAAATAATAATAACCCCGCCTTCTTCATTAAAAAAAACAAGGCCTGACGAAAAACTACTTATATGTTTTACTCAGCCTAAGAAGCAGGCTTATTTAAGAAAAACTGTGTATAAAAAATAATCTTTTTACAGGATTATAATTTAACAATATCAAGTAAAATTCACAAATCAGATAAATAACAGAAAATATTTTCAAAACTGCCCAAACCAAAAAAAAAAATTCACTCTGTTGCCAGCATTGTTCAAAACAACTTTGAAAATGACCAATGTAATATTCAGTTTTTAAAGTTTTTTTTTTCCAAATTTCCAATTTTACCAATTTCTCACTGAAAATAGGAAAGTCATTTGCACTCACATCCAAAGCCAATTTTTTTTTTTTTCATTTTTAAATATCCAAATATTAAATTGAGACCATTGCATACAGTCTCAGCTCAAATTTGTGAGTATAGAAAATGTTGATCATTTCTTGCGTAATGAACCTATCACGGTGGCATCGCGTCAACGCAACTTGTGAAATATTGTCCAATTACTTGATATACAAATTGACGCACAACGCGCAATATCTGAGACAAACAAAACTTTATGTACAAAATTCCATAGAGTTGTCTAAATGGGCGTGGCTAACTCGCAAACGACGAACCTTCTTGTCAAATGCAACGTGGGCGGGGATGAAATCCTCGGGCGGGGCCTGCTTGGCCTGGCCGTAGGTCAGCGTCGGTCGTTTGTTGTTTAGTTCCTCCAGTTCGGCCAGCGAGAGTTGGTTGACCTCCAGGGGTTCTCCCCCTATGCCTACCTCGGGTCGGTTGGCCAAGGAATAGCCATTCTTGTAGCCAAGGGATTGGGATCTGTGATAGCGTCTCTTCTGCAGAAAAGAAAGAAAGAAATTGAAAAAAATAATATAGACAAAGTCATGTGTTTGTCAATTGAATTTTTAAATGGCAGTGTTAAATTCGGTAGTACCAGCATGGCATTGAATGTGCGCATTGACTGGTTTTTTTTTTTGGAAATTAAAATTTTTCATCGTGTTGAATCCGAGCTTACAATAACCGGTTTGACTTCATATTCACAAAGATGGGAATAAGACCTATTGTAATTTCGGACTTTATTTCCCTTTAAAAAAATACCAGTGATGACTCTGGAAAAAAAATAAGCCAATCTGAAATTAAATGGAGGATTCGATGTGAAAAAATGAAAGAAGTCACTTTTTGGGAATCACAAAAATTAATTTTTAAAAATAACGGCACTGCTGGGACTCCAACTCGAGTAGTGTGCTACGATCTACCGGCTTAAGAACAGAACAAAATGCAGGACCAGATCACAGCTATTTATACATTTCAGGAAAAACAAATAAAAGAAATCCGGATTCAGAAGCCATTGACATTGTAATCGATCGCATATTTAAATGTTTTCAGTTTCAAATTTTTAAAAGACATCATTTGCAGTTTTTAAAACCACATTAATTTTTATTTTGAAGTTTTTATTATTTAAAACATTTAAACCCCTAAAAGTTACTCCATATTTTCTTAGTTCAGGTTCCAACCTTTTCATCAATATCAGACTTATCTTTATAGTAAATATAAATGTGAAATTTGAAATTCATAATACGGATAACATGTCTTGAAAAATTAAAATGACAAATGATTTGCACACAGAAAAACCGTACGAACTTCACTCCCACCATTCACATGCACAACACACAAAAAATGAAAAAATCAGAACTCATCAAAAAATCACATTCATCCTTCCGAAGTATCCAAGATCTATAGTTAACATAATTTACTGAATATTCTTACCGTGGGATCTGTGAAGGTATTTCCCGGTAAAAACGGGAGAGCCATTTTGTCGGCTTTCGCTGTCCTAAACGCACTGCACGCAAAATGAATGGGGCAAAAACTAAACGCGTATTCGTTGTGTACATGGTTTCCAATGGATGACGTCACGTTGCTAGGAAATAATAACTAGTCTCCACCGCAGGCGCGCGACGGAAGTCTTGAAAAAAGAGAACACGCTGTTGGCTTATGTCGCCCTCTACGGTGAGTTTGCAGGGCGGGGGGTACGAGCGAAGGTTTAAAAAAGTTCATAAAAACGAATGAAATTGTTCAATACAGGCTTACATTAATGTTTTTTTACCACAATTCACATGAAACGCTGGTTGGAATCTTTTATTCATAAATTTATGCAGCAAAATTCAATTTCAAGTACATAATTGCCTTAAAGGTGTTTTTAAAATAAATTATTAATTATTTGAAATACCTTTATTGTTATAATATTATTGATAATAATGATTACTGATAATGTGTCATTTTGGAGCCAATTTACCGTAGACTTGCGCACAAACCTTTTCCAACTTTAATAACCCCTTATTTAACCCCATTAAGGTCAAATGTCTCCTTAGTGTACCATTAAACATGTGTTTGTAACTTGCAAAAATTATTACCCTCGATTATTGTTTATTCCTCGATTATTGTTTATTCATATCACTTTGAACCGGTGTCTGATTTTGGGCAATGAAATTCATTAATTTAACCAAAAAAACAAACAACCCCAAGTAAATTGATAAAGTAATTACTAAAGTTGACAATAAACTTTTATTTGATGACGTCTTCCTAATTAGCATTGACGTCACCGTTCACTGGGCGACTCAATACAATATGGCGGCCGTGGGGTCGACGTGAAACTTTTACTGCGTAAGTTCTTTGCTTTTTTTTAACCCAGTAAATTCCGACTTGTGCAGTTAAAACGTAAGAGCTTGTGGTGTAAAATGTGAGCTTAGACATGCAAGGAATATTTCTGTTGTTTTTTAGGGAGTTCTTATTAAGATTCTGTAAAGTTATAGAGAAGTTTTCTTGCCAGGTTGTGGGGTTCGACTTCGAGAATCAAAGTTCCTGAAGAGCCGACAACAAAAGTGTGCAATTGAGTGACTTTACGTGTGTTGACATCGAAATGGGAAAAATTGTAGTGCGCTAAAATTAAAAGTCGGTGTTATATTACAGAATTCGGAAAGAATGTAGTATCCTGATTCGTGACGCCGCTTCTTTGGTTGTGTTAAGTCTAGGAAGTATAGGAGTCAGTACATTTTCGAAGTAATTTCTAGCAAAATTGGCAATGTTTCTCAGTCCCTGATTCATGTCTTTTAAATTTTAAACATTTTTGCAATGACTGACCCTCATTGAGATATTATATCTGATGAAAAAGTGGCGTCAGGATGCAATACTCTTTCCACCAAGGAGTCATTATAAAGCCATTCATTTTTTAACATTATCGACATGATCAAGAAATGTTGATGTTCTGTTGTTTTTTTGTGGGATATTAAATAATATGGAGCATTTTTCTTTCAAATTAAACTTTAAATTTAATTTGGCTTTGTGCGGTTGCCCTTGGCATAACTAAAAACTTAATGTGCTTAGGCCTATCTCATTTTATTTTTTTAGGTTTGCATGTAGTTTTTAAACACTGAACATTTCAACAGAGACGTTTAAGACAACATGGCGGACAGGGCGGAAGAGCCGGCTCCGAGGAAAAAAGGGAAGAAGGGAAAGGGGAAGAAGAAAAGGTCTACAGTCACGGAGCCAACTACAGAAGAAATAGAGCGTGGACAAGGTGACGGAGCAGACATTGAAAACCCAGGTAAGTGGGAAAAAGTATTCTTTTGTTCTTAAATATTTCCCCAGAATTCATACTGAAAAAGTAGCTGGAGTTACCCAGCCCTGAGTTTTATCATTGGGTTGTCTATAAGGGCTGGAGCGAATTTTTCTCGTAACTTGTAGTATTTGCAAAAAAGTTTGGAAAATGTTCAATTTTGTCCCCGTTACACACTAATTGCAACTGCAACTCACCCCAAACTTGCCTGGAATAACCATTACACAGGTCCTTGAAGTAAAAAACGATCCACGATGAAGATTCAGCCTACAATTGCAGTGAAAACAGGAGGAATAACCGCTAACTTGACAACCTTGCTGGATTGGCCAGGACCGCCATTGGTTTGTGCACAAAAAAATTGTGTACAATGAATGGCGGTCGATTAACAGGCACAGAGAGAGCGATCGCTGTCAACTACTCGTTTTGCCGGCTGCGCTGGCTGTTGGCGCATGACGTCACGCGGAAGCGTAACACCCGATGACTGTTTCATGCACTAATATGAGGTTTACCACTCGCATCACAGCTTTGGTACTGGAACCGCAACCAATAGTGCATGAAACAGTCATCGGGTGTTACGCTTCCGCGTGACGTCATGCGCCAACAGCCAGCGCAGCCGGCAAAACGAGTAGTTGACAGCGATCGCTCTCTCTGTGCCTGTTAATCGACCGCCATTCATTGTACACAATTTTTTTGTGCACAAACCAATGGCGGTCCTGGCCAATCCAGCAAGGTTGTCAAGTTAGCGGTTATTCCTCCTGTTTTCACTGCAATTGTAGGCTGAATCTTCATCGTGGATCGTTTTTTACTTCAAGGACCTGTGTAATGGTTATTCCAGGCAAGTTTGGGGTGAGTTGCAGTTGCAATTAGTGTGTAACGGGGACAAAATTGAACATTTTCCAAAATTTTTTGCAAATACTACAAGTTACGAGAAAAATTCGCTCCAGCCCTTATAGACAACCCAATGATAAAACTCAGGGCTGGGTAACTCCAGCTACTGAAAAAGCTGCTCTTGAGAAACTCCAGCTCCAATGCTCATCGGAAATTCGACATGTGGAGCTTGAGGTCGATGTAGCAGTCTAAAAAATGGCGGAGGTCGTGAAACTTGGCCTCAACCCGCCTTTTCTCATCACACTTTGCTCATGAATATGAAATTTTGCATTAGCATAAAAAACAAAAGGACACCAAAATACCCTTTGAAATGGCAAAATGGAAATTGAAAATAAGGTTAAATGGAACACAAAGGTGCGTTTTCAAGGATTGCATTAAAAAGATTACATACATTTGTAGTATTGCCCTTTATTTTATAGGGAAAATACAACATTTGCAAACAACGAAAAATAAAATGACCAAGTTTTTACGAAATACCTTACAGGATGTTGGTAAATGACAGTCTAAAGCATCCTGTAAAATTATGGCACCTGGTGTGAAGTCATTTTCAAGAAAATTGTATTTTTGTTTACATGTCCAACGGTGGTCGGCCGACCACCGTAGGAAAAACCTAACTATTTTTCACTACTGCTCCAAATTTACCATTTTTTCAGTCCGATGTTGTTTGCTAATTATGTTCATGAATGGGTGCAGGTCAGCTAGACTGGTTCCCTTAGCGTACAATTTTCCGGCATCTGTAAATTGATCCATTTCATCTTCAGTGGAGTCAGGGAACCAGACTACTTGAACATTGTTGTTTTTCTTGGTTTTTCCAGCATTTTCGAAAACAAAACTTCAAACATGTCAGTGTAACAATAATTTGATTTATTATACTAACCCCTCAAATAGTTCATTTCTGAAAATTAAAGCATAAGCCAATGATGTACATTCCCTTTAATATTTACAGGCGTGCATGCAGTTCTAAACACTGAAAACGACAACACAAAAGACAACAAAGCAGAGCCAGCTCCTAGGAAGAAAGGAAAAAAGAAAAAAGCTAAAGTAACAGAGCCTCCCACGGAAGACATAGAGCGAGGACAAGAGGACGCAGCAGACGTTGATATGCAAGGTAAGTGCGGGGGAAAAAAATTAAAAGGTTTCAAAGATTTTATGCTGTAGTCCTAGTTCCGATGAAGAATTCATTCATCCAATGGTATTCAGCCATTGATGAGTTGGTAGAGCACCGGTTATGCTGGTACTTTGTTCTGGAGGTCGCGAGTTCGAATCCGAATTTTCGTGAATTTACTTTGTTCAACTGGAAATTGATTTCAAGTGAACCTGGTCTAAAATATAGTTTATTCTAGCCCGAATATTTGGGACTCTCAATACTGTGTATGAGAGTCCCAAAACTTAAGATAGTAAAAGCATGCAGTACAAGAAAATAGACTGGCACCTGAAACAACCAGTCCAACACTTTAGTACTGCATCAATAAACGGTGTCAAAAGAAGCATCTAGTACCCAGTCTCTATTTCTACACATTTCCATAGTCATGCCACCAGACTACTGAAGAGTCAATCTTCTAAAACAAAAAGTTGGACATGTACCAGTCTAGTCCTAGGCTTCAAATTGAAATCACCTGGCTTCACTCTCAGGTGCAAAACGTTGAAGGAAATTTTTTCCTTTAAAAAATGAATTGAGATTTCAAACTTGGCTGGTGAAATACTGAGGACCTTGTCTTTGCCTCATGACAATTTTTGAGAATTTTTGTCAGTTAAAAGAGTGAGTAAAAATTGGCCTGATTTTGGTGTGCATGTTTTTCAGCACTCAATGTCCCAGTCTGGGTTTGTTCAGTAGTTGAAAATATTAAACTGTGTTTTCTTGGTGATCCTTCACCGCAAGTTCCAATTGGTTGTAGATTCCAGATTGGAAAGTGAATTAGATGAGTTTATTCCCAACGCAGGTGACATTGAGCAGGGCCTGTCAGTGACAGAGACCAAGTTAGAACCAGGGACCAATTTAGAATCAGAGCCCGATTTGAAACTCCAGGCCGACTCCGAACCAACTCAACTGCTTGAAGAGTCTTTCCCAGATGCAGAAACCGATCGGCCAGGGGCCTCGGAGACACAGACCGTATTAGATGCCGAGGCCAGTTTGGCAACAGGGCCCAAATCGGAACCAGAACCCAAATTGGAATTGGAGCCCAAATCAAAACAAGACGCAGCAGCCATTCTGTCTCCAGTGACACAGGCCCAAGTCAAAATTGAGGGTATTTGAAAAAAATTGCCAATAAAAATTTGCCAATTTGGTAAAATTCACGAAAAGCACAACATGACGCTGTGCATGTAGGCTGCACGCTTCAAAAGATCGGACACGTTGTAGATCACCCTTCTGTAGATGTGCAGAGAATATCGAAACCCTGTAATTAGTCACATTGCTGGCCTCAATTGGGAAGCCTTTCTCAATCAGGCTTAATGAAGTCTCATCATGCTGGGTTGAACGCTGATCATGTTTTCATTTTCAACTTTGATTTCTTTCTTTTCAGCAGGTTGGTTTTTTTTTAGAAAATTCTCCCTTTTTTTTAAATTGCACTTATGTGTAAGCGTAGATAGTGAATTTTCAATGCAACACCTCATGTTCTTGACTCTTCAAATCCTTTCCATCGTTACTTTTCCTCAAAATACTGCTCCACAGACAGTGTTTTATAAATTGTGAGGCATTCTAGCAAAATGAGACAGAACTGGGCACTGGCCGAAGTGCAGAAAAATGCCAAAAACCAAATGGAGGTGATTTTCTTCTTATCGATTTTCAGATTTAGTGAAATTTGTATTCGTTGATATGTCTACTACATGCATTTTAAAGAAAGAGTATACAAATCGTGGAATAAAAGCGTTTTTAAGGTAAAACAATTGTCATCTTTCATTTTCACAACTACGGAACTTGAAACTTCAAAGACCTTTTCTCGGTATTTTACTTTTTTTGCATGTTGATAAATACGAAATTTAAACAGCCATACCTTGTCAACGGAATGTCTAATTGAATGCAACAAACAGTATTGTAAGGGGAATGTTATTCTCTTTCCTAATACCTGCAAACCCTCATTTCGACCTCTGCCCAGTTCTGTCTGGTTTTGCCAAAACGCCTCACAATTTTCCATAAGATTTCTATTTTCTGACTTACCAATTTAGTTGGCGACCGACCCAGTAGAGTGAACTGGAATTTAGACCACTTTTGCAATTCATCGAAATTCTAAACCCCTTTAATTTGCTCCTTTTTATTAAGTAAAAAACAAGGACTCCCCTAAATTCACAAAATATCTCAAATAATTCTTCCAGCAGCACCCTGCACCGCTCCACCCAACTCACATTTTAAAATACAAACAGTTTTATAATTTTGTCCACGGATCACAATAAAGATGAAGTGGTATTTCAGCAAAACGAAAACAATTCACATGTTAAAAAAACCACATCAGAACACTCTCATAACCATGATAACTGGCACTTATCTGACCTTTATTTAAACACCTTCTGCTTCCAATGTTAAAACAAAATGCTTTATAATGTCAAGAGTTTATAGTCTTGCCCTGCCTTCTACTTGGCTACCCCGGACACTTATGGGATTATTCTGATATCGTTTTCAAACTTTTCATGATACAACATGGTTTAATTTTACTGAAATATGACATACCTTAAATGTAACCCGTGGACAAAATTTCGAAACTGCGTTCGTGTTCAAAATTCCATAACTTAAAAAAGTACATGAGTGATTGAATGATTTTTATACTAAAAGAAAGCTTATAAACTGGGCTTTCATATCCTAGATCTGGAAAGCGCTACATGCAGAGCTTCTTCACAAAATAAGGGGCGCCATTTTGGTTTCTTTTTTTTTACTCGCCCTGCAGTTGGGTTTATAGTTCCACATTTTGATTACAAAATATTTTCTTTAATTTCCCAGTTCCGGAGGCAAAAGCAAAGTCTCCCTCTCCAGAACCAGCTAAGGATCTCCTGGATGATCCCTTAGAAACTGCACCCACGGATAGCCCATTGACTGAAGAGCAGCCTGCGTTGGAGGCTAAGGCCGATACTGTCATAATGATGGAGGACCAGCCTGGAGAGGAGGCTACACCGACGGATGGGGACGTACCACTTGGGGACGGGGATGTGGAAAGGGTTGCATCACCAGTTAAAGGTATTTTTTCATAAACAGATAAACAGACTCACGCAACGGGTAATGACCTCCAGGGTTACTCTACAGGTCTTGGTCCTAGGTAGCTCATGATTTATGTCATTTTGTTTCGCTAGTGTCGTTAAAGTCATTGTTTTGCAAGTAAAAGTCCCCTTTACAGCTTCACATTTGTGGACTGTACAGGGTAGATAAAAAAACCGAAACCGAGATATTATTGCTAATTGGAACAGAAGTAGGGCACATGTGAATCAAAGGAAGATATCCTCTGTTAGGGTTGAATCTCCTCTTTAAAATGACACCCTGATCATGTTACTACAGTCACGGTTGACTGAGCAGTGACCAGTTTTATGAAAGGGTCTATTTAGAGACTTGCGCCACTTTTCATGGTGAAATATCTTTTTTTCCTACCTGCCTTGATTGGCAACCATGGCCTTTCACTCTGTGACAATTGACACAACAAAAACCACAATTGAAAAGTGGCGCAAGTCTCTAAATAGACCCTTTCATAAAATTGGTCACTGCTCAGTCAACCGTGAATGTAATGACATGACCAGGGTGTCATTTCAGAGAGGAGATTCAACCCTAACAGAGGATACCTCCCTTTGATTCACATGTGCCCTACTTCTGTTTCAATTAGCAATAATATCTTGGTTTCATTTTTTTTGGATCCACCCTGTATAGGGATCTAGGGGTATTCACTTTCACTTAGCCTACCTTCAGATAGGCACACACAAGTGACACAACACTGCCGACTAACACGGCTGCCCACGCACTTCATTGCTAATCCCTGTTGCTAGTTATGACCATTCCATTTTAGTGAGGTACACTGAAAATTGTCCTTACCAACTCCCCGTACATGTATACAAACTGCCAACATGCCGGGGGATCGCGCAAGTTTTACTTGCAATATTTTTTGTGTCATGTCTAGATGATGACACCCCAGCCCGAGCTCGAACCCCAGCCCAGTACCCTGAAATGGTAGATGAAGAAGAGCCGGTCTTCAAACCGACCCCTCGCACCATGGACCTAGGCAGCCGGGATTTCGACAACATCGACCCACGAGAGATGGGCATAGATTACCTGTCCGACGAAGAATATCAATACGGTAAGTTTTTGAAGGAAATCCTCTTCATCATATGTGGAAGTAATTACATGAGAAAAAAACAAAAGCCCAAAATTGGTTACAGTTGTAAAACAATTGTGATGCGATCAAGCTAAATGAGTCATTTGTTGAACCCTGGTCAATTTTTTTTTTAACAGATTTGAAAAGAGCACAATCTCAGCATTACTGCTGTGTAAACCGCATGCTGGTGCCATCTTTAGTTCAAAAATTATGGAAGTCGGAACACCAAGAGATGTGATGAAGTGATGTGATGAAGTGGCCCTATTTTGGCCTGAATCTCCAAATGAAAGTCCCCGACAAACGACTCATTTAGCTTGATCGCATCACAATTTTCAAAATTCAAATCTCTTTTTCTGTAGAACCACCCGAGCGTGACGACCTGCCCGATCTCTACAAGCTCATGAATACCTTAGATGGCGGGGAATCAGACTTGGAGGCGGAGGCCCCGCCCCCTTCGTTCTTCCAACGCCCCGAGCACGAGCCCAACTACAAGAAGATCTCGGTGCTCCGGCAAGAAATGGAAGAAGAGGAAATCGATCCTTACATTAGTCAGTTTGACGACACCATCAAGGACGACGTGCTGATGATAGGCAACATCTCGCTGGAAGAAGTCCAGGTACCATTCTCAAAAGAAAAAAATTTGTTCAGTCTGTATGTGCTAAACAATAATCAGCTGAACCCAATCTCACTGAAAGAAGTTCAGGTACCATACTCTAACAGAGAACACTGCTTAAAGGGAATGTACGACAATTGCTTTTGCTGTAATTTTCAGAAATAAATGGATTTGGAGGATTAGTATGTTATAGAAAATATTGTTGAAATGACTTGCTGCACGTTTTGGGTTCATACATGCTGGAAAAACCAAGAAAATCAATCATGTTCTTGTACTGTAGTCTGGTTGCCTGACCCCACTTTAGATTAAAAGGAGTAATTTATAGACGTTGGGGAATTGTTAGTTCAGATAATCAGTCTAGCTGGCTTGTACCCTTTCACAGATGTGTAATCAATTGCAAAGAAAATGCTGAATAACTTAATATGAAAAATAAGGAGCAGTTTTTGAAAAAAAGCCAGTTTTCTCCAACGATTGTCGGCTGACCAGTGTTGGAAATTGATATAAAAATACCACTTTACTTTAAACTTCAGCACACCAGGAGCCATGTTTTTACAAGATGTTGTCTGTCATTCCCTAACAGTCCGGTAAAGTATTTCGTGATAATGTGATAATTTTGCTTTTTGATGTTCGCAAATGTTGTATCTTCCCTTTAACAAAATATATGTGCTAAGCGACAATCAGCCTGTAACCGGTTCTCAGCTATGTACATTACATAGCCTTTTGGCTGGTGATCTAATTTTGCAAAGCAAATATTTTTTTCCGTGCTTAGCTCATCAGCATCATCTTATTTTTGTGTTATTCTCAGGATGAAGAGCGACGTCTTAGGGATGAACACATCGCCTTCCAGCAGCAGGAAGCCGTCTTGGCCCGCAGACGCCAAGAAGACATCTTGCTCCGAGAGGAGCATGCCAAAGGTCACGTGACCAAACTCATGAAGGAGAAACGCAAGGCGCTGTCCCGCCGAGAGGTAAAGGAATCAAAATATTGCTTAGAGAAAATTCAAAATATTGCTAAGTACATTATATTGCATAATCAGCGGAAAAGCAATTGATGGGAAATTAAGAACAAGGTGTTGTGCTGAAGGAAAGTATAGCAATCCATTAGTGCTTACAATGTTGTGCAAATCCGACCTGAAACCAACCTGATCTAATACCAACTTCGGGTTGCGTTGGGTTGGTTTTTTAATTATTTCAGTCGGGTCGGGTCGGTTTCGGTTTTGCGTTTGTTATTTTCGGGTCGGGTTGGGTCGGTTGTAAGCCATCTTGTGAAAAACCCGAAATAAACCGAAACAGTTGGGAATTTCATGCAGTGCAATATTATTGCAGAGTTTCTGTGCCTAGTACGACCAACGTTAACCAACCGCACAAATGTGCATGTGGTTTGCGGTCTATCATGCGCAGTCTATAACGTGTAGGCCCACTAGTAGGTCACGTTATGAGTCTTCACTGTATACAGTACGGTATGATTCTGTTACTAAGAGATGGCGATATTCATGCATCGTGGGTAAGTTCAGGCACAAAAAGCGGACACAGTTGCCCAAGCCAGATATTCAGGTTTTTTTCGAGATGGTTCGTTTTCAGGTGGCTTTTGCTTAAACATTTTTAGGGTTGGGTCGAGTTCAGATCGGATCGGTTTTGGATTCGGTTTCTATTTTTAATGTTTCAGGTCAGTTTGGTCTGGTCAACCCGACCCGATGCACAACATTAATTGCTGAGCAATTTTCCTGTGCTTTCTTTTCTCAATACACGTTGTCCATGGGCTTGACACTTTACCGCAATAATTTCTGTGTTTCCGTTCTCTTACAGCAACTCAACTTGCAGAAGGAGCGACTTCTTCAGGATCAGCTTCACAAGACTTTTAGGAAGTCGGAAAACCAACTCCTGCGATCGCTGGAAATCAGAAAGGGGGAAGTCAAGGTAGGACAAAATGTTCTCGAGAAAGTAATGGCGGGCGAACAATATTATTTGGGAAAATACTTCAACAGTTTCAAATTTGTATAGCAAAGGCCGTCTCAAGCCTAAATGGCTCATCAGACCAGCATTAATCTGGTTTCCTTGGCGTGAAACGACTGAGAATATTTCTATTCCCCCTGGATGGGATGCTAGTCCATCGCAGGTTACTTTGCAGCTATTGGCATCACCCATTTATCTCGAAGTTAGGGGGGGGGGGCAATTGCGGTAAAGTAGCTTGCCTGAGGACACAACATACGGCTCGCAGCCGGATTATGGCTTCAGTCATTTATCCCTCAAGTTGAGAGGGGCAAGTAGGGTAAAGTAGCTTGCCCGAGGACACAACATATGGCCAGCAGCCGGAGTATAGCTTCAGTCATTTATCCCTCAAGTTGAGAGGGGCAATTTGGGTAAAGTAGCTTGCCTGAGGACACAACATATGGTTTATGCTGGATTATGGCTCCTGCCATTTATCCCTCAAGTTGACTGAGAGGGGCAATTGGGGTAAAATAGCTTGCCCAAGGACACAACATATCGTCAGCAGCTGGAGTATAGCTTCAGCCATTTATCCCTCAAGTTGAGAGGGGCAATTTGGGTAAAGTAGCTTGCCCAAGGACACAACATACAGCCATCAGCTGGATTCGAACCCCTAAGCCTCTGATCATGAGTAAAAAAACCCTTACCACTAGGCTACACTTCCCAGACTTGGGACTGTGAAAGTCGTATTTTATTGTCATCTAGTAACTGTATAAACTCCGTCAAGTTTTGGGAGTAAATATGAATTTTTGTCCTTTAAACTATTTGATTTTTTTTAGACTATGTATGGGGATCTCATGATGGCCGACGGGCAGTACGGAGGTTCTAAAGGTCGTCGTTGGAAAGTGGATTGGAACCGCGCACCACAGCCGATTCAGATCAAGCTGAAATGTTTGAGGGGCGTTAAAGATAAGCTGCCTTGTAAGTAATTTAAACAAAACAACAACAAAAACCTGCAACCGTTTCATGAACAAATCCACGGAACCTGCTAAGCAGAAAAATATTGCTTAGTGTATGAAAGTGCTAAGCAAAAAGCATGTGAATACCAGGCAGACGCTGTGGAATACCATGACATTTTGGCTGGTGACCTATTTCTGCTAAGCAAATAGTTTGTGTGCTTAGCAGATTTCTTGGCTGAGCACCTCCTCGAAATTTGGCCAAATAGTCTGGTGCCTTAGAGGTAATATACCACATTTGCAAACATCGAACAACAAAACTACCAAATTATTATGAAATACCGTTCTTGACTGTAAGTGAATAATAGTCTCAAGCATCCTGTGAAATCATGGCACCCGGTGTGCTGTCATTTTCAAGCAAAGTGGAATGTTTGTATCAATTTCCAATGATGATCGGCCAACCATCGTTGGAAAAAAATTATTAAAAAATGCCAAATCTCCATATAAGGAGTTGTTAACGCTACTCCCGAGAGACACATACCATAACATAGCTAGAGGGGTGTTAAAAAACATGAGGTAAACTTGTTGAACACAATTATTGGACATTTATAATTTTTGACTTGTTTTGATTTTTTGTCCGAAAAAGTATTCATGAATGGGAATAAATATGTGCTTGGCCAGTATTAAACAAGTCCGTTAAAGACTGGCTGGAGGCCTGGGGCCAATTTCACGGCGCTGCTAAGCACAGAAATTTGCTTAGCAGAAAAAAAGTCTGGCTTACGAAACTTTACCAGCCAAAACTCCATGTGATGTGTATTGCTCGTGATTAGTATTCTGCTGTTGTTTGCTATAGCATAAAAATCACGTGGAGTTTTGGCAGGTGAAGTGCTTCTATAAGCCAGGCTTTTTTTGTGCTAAGCATTTTTTCTTTTATATCTCTCCCCTTCGGCTTGGGTTATTGTCAGCGTCCATTACTCCATCCAGTCCTAAACGGACTTGTTTAAAACCAGCCAAGCAAAGATTTATTCCCTTAATATTTGATTTCACCCAGCTGGACGTTATATCTTGATGGTCTCTCTCTACGATCGTATCGGTGGTCACGTCCTGCGCTGGTCCAGCTTACGTGGCCAGGAATGGGGCGGGGCTACCCTCCCCATGAATCACGAAGGCCGCTTCCATAACGTGGAGATCAAGGTACTGAATCAAAAACCTCTCGCTGAAAATTTAATTTAATTTGTTTGTAATTATCAATCAGTTAATAATAATGATATGGTGCTCTGTTGTGGTTTTTACTGAAGTCTCAAAGTGCTTTGCAGTTATTACCCCTGTTCATCAGGCCATGAGACCAGTTTTTGCAACAGATCTAGATCAGTGCATTCTGGTCTCTACCTTCACGGGTACCCATTTATACTCCTGGGTGGAGAGAGGCAATTGAAGTAAAGTGTCTTGCCCAAGAACACTAGCACCATGTTTCCTCGTCAGAGTTCAAACCCATTTACTGTCCCATATGACTGGAAAACATCGTGAACCATTTTTTAAAGTAGATCAAGATTCACCATTTATACTCCTGGGCGGAGAGAGGCAATTGTAGTAAAGCGTCTTGCCCAAGAACACGAGCACGATGTTTCCTCATCAGAGTTCAAACCCATTTACTGCCCCATATATGAGTGGAACGCAGTGAACCATTTTCTAAAACAGCTCAAGATTCACCATTTATACTCTGGGCAGAGAGAGGCAATTGTAGTAAAGTGTCATGCCCAAGAACACAAGCACCATGTTTCCCCGTCAAAATTCAAACCCATTTACTGCCCCATATATGAGTGGACAACCTTAAACCATTTTCTGAAATAGCTCAAGATTCGCTGTTTATTCTCTGGGCGGAGAGAGGCAATTGTAGTGAAGTGTCTTGCCCAAGAACACAAGCATAATGCAGACCTGGTGCATATGAAGTTTGCCCTGACGCTAACAAATTTTCCTTTCATTCTCGTCATAGATTGATCAGAGTCTGTTCACCGTCTGCCCGTCCAAGCCCAGCATCCGTCCAGGCATGATGCTCCAGTTCGAACTCTTCCTAGCCCGCGGGTCCCTCCTCCCTGTCGACAAGGTGGTCGCGTGGGGGGTGTTCCCGATCTGCGACGGCCAGTTCAACATCATCCAGGGAAAGTAAGCAATGGGAAAACTGCAAATTCAATTACACGCTAAGCACGGTTCAGCAGAGAACCGGTCATGGGCAATAGACATTGCATGATATTTTAGCCGGTATTCTGTTTTCGCTAAGCCAATAAAACTTTTGCTGTGGTAAGCAGGTCCATGTAATTTGCTCTTACTGAGCACAAATATGCTAAGCGCGGAAAAGTTACGCTAAGCATAAATAGGTTACCAGCCATAATGTCGTTTGATGTGCACACTTGCGACTGGTCCCCGGCTGATTATTGCTAAGCATGAGAATTTGCACAAATATGCTAAGCGTGGAGGAGTTTCGCTAAGCAAAAATAGGTTACCAGCCAGAATGTCATTTGATGTACACCACTTGCAACTGGTCCCCGGCTGATTATTGCTAAGCATAAGAATTTTGTAAGCAGAATCTCTTGCTCACTACATTAAATTAGGCTCATAGTTTACGGTTACTGTGTCGTTGACCGGTCATTTAAAACTCCATAGTTTTTTCCACGGAAGGTTGCTCACAAGTCACGTACTGTCAAATAACAAGTTTGTTTTTCCTCAACTATTAAAATCACCCCCAAATTAACCTATCGCGGTAGAATCGCAACAACGCAGCTTGACAACGCAACTTGTGAAATATTGTCCAATGACATACACAAATGGAAATTGTCTTAATCTGAAACAAACAAAACTTAACGTACATAATTCCACAGGGTTGTCTAAGGGGCGTGGCTAACTTGCAAACGGCGTTAGGTCAATTGGGAGTCCACCAGCATAGGGCTAGATAGCTCAGATAGTATCATGCCGGTACTGTCTGTATTCCGGAGGTCGCACGTTCAACTCCCCCACAGTCAATTTTTGTGTTCAACTTTAAAATTAGAAATGTAACCTCTTAAAATATTGAGGGTGTAAATATTCACTTTTTTGTTCAAGTTAAATTCATTATTGTTTTTGTCAGGCTAAAAAATATGGAATCAAGCCAGTTTACTTACTTTTTATGAATTATTTATTTTTGGTTATTTTTTTGTTGGCAGGTACGTTACCCCTATGTTACGGGGTGAAGCTGACCCGCAGATGGACCGTCACGAAACCATAGAAAAACTGATGGCGTCCGACATTGACCACTGGCTCAGCAACTTGTACTTTGAAGTGGTCAAGCTACCGAGGTGAGCCCGAAAGATTCAGCTTATTAAAAAATAATTATTAGCCAAAATGTCATATAATATATTGCTTTTATCTTTTTTCCCCCCAACTTTCACTCAGGAGGTAACACACCGAGTATACAGTGTTTATTCGTCGGTGAAGGGCAAAACCTAATTTGATTTACATCCCCCGACGCAAAATTCCATCTTACGAATAGTTAATGCAGTACCCGCTGCTATGTACATATTTGAACCAGCCAACCGATCCCATTAGCTCCTCGGTCAAGTGGTAAGACATCTGCACTAGAAAGCAGGAGGTCGTGGGTTCGAGTCCCACCCGAATGATTTTTTCCAACTTTCACTCGGGAGGTAACACACTGAGTATACAGTGTTTACACGTCGGTGAAGGGCAAAACCTTATTTGATTTACATCACCCCGACGCAAAATTCCATCTTATGAATTGCTTTTACCTTGCCATGTTTTCTGTTTAACAGCACATTTAAATCGGCCTCCAGAACATCCAAGTTAACTTACAAAATAAATCTGCTCAATTATTTTTTTTGTATCTGCGTTTCAGATACATCGCCGGGCACAAGGAGTACGAAGTGGAGCTTCAGTTTTCCTCCAATCTGCTGAGCTACCCCGATCGCACCAGGACCGCTGAGGAGGCTGTGGACGGCGACGAACCGATCATGGGATCCACGGCCGACGTGGTCTCGGCCTCAGGTTGGTGTTTTGTGGACAAGCGAGGGGGCTGTTGCATCTCGCAATGGTATCCCGTTGCGAACATAGACATCTTAAAAAACCTAGACTGGCCATTGACCTGAAATTTCCGTTAGCGAAACACTGCGTCCTGTAACCGTCATTTACGTGAACGCTCATCGAAAGGTGCAAGGAAAAATCCGCACGACACGCGCACGTTATTTACGAGCAGAATGAGCTTTCGCGTATTCACAGCTTTTACGAGATGCAACAGTTTGCTAAAGGAAACACGCAACGTGAAAGTATATAAAAGGCCGGTCTAGGCCGGAAACACGCATCGGTATATAAATAGCCAGTCTAGGTAGTTTAAAATGTCCGTGGCTGCAAAAGATGTTACCGTTGAAGGAAATTGTAAATAAACTAACAGTGACAACTAAATTACCTTTGTAATTAACAGAATTAATTTTAAAAACGTGAAAATTGTTCGTTGACTCTTCAGGAGATTTGAGCAACTCGATCGGGAAAGGCTCGCAGGCCAGCTTGCAAGCAGGCAGCTCTGACAAGACTGGTGACTCTGCCGAGAAAGCAAGCATCGAGCGCACCAATGAGACTGGGTCCCAGACCGGAAGCCGAGCAAGCCTGAACAACAACGAAGACATCAAACAGGTAGGCTTACTGCAATACTGCGTATTTTACGGCTGAGCATATATTAACGGGGAGCCAGTCACTAGCAACAGTCATCAAATGAGAATTTGGTTGGTAACCCATATTTGCTAAGTGAGTACAATCTGTTCTAAGCAAAATTTAGTGTTAATAACTCAATTTCTCACTTCTTACAGAAACTACCGACTGTTGACGACAAGCTGTCGGACCTGCGGTACCGTGGTGGGGGGCGGGGCCCAGACCAGCCTCCGCCCACCGTCATCGGATCTCGTAAGCTCATCAGCAAGGATGCCAAGATGCATCTTGACTCGGACGACGAGAACTCCGAGGACGAGGACTACCTGCAGAAAATGGACGGGTTTGAGGCGGTCAAGGGAGAGACGGGCTTGTTCTACAAGGTAAACCGAATAAGTCATATGCGAATTAAATTTGAATAAAATTTGGAACGCTGACTGAAACCAATGCTTTGCACGTTTTAACTTTGCATTCTCCCGACTAAAGAGACTGTTACTATATCACGTGATTCGGGGCAAGCCTTATGCTAGCCACCCCCAGCTCCGGCATGGTCTGGTGTCTTTGTGCCATTCTCACCCATTGGGAACAATGTATTGGTGCTGAGCGTCTCTTACGCAACTATGCAAAAGCTTGCCCCGAATCATGTGATTAGCAACAGTGTCTTTGGTCTGGAGAATTAAAAGTTAAAAGGTGCCAAGCATTCTGAGCAAGTCAGTGTACCAGATGTTTTTCAAATTTAAATCCCAAAGGGTATCACTCGCAATTGATTTGGATAATTATTGGCTTTTCCATAGAGTTGCGGAAAAGCCTTTGTTTTTGTTCAGATTTTTTTCCCTTTTTTTCTTTCTCTTTTTTTTTCTATCCTAAATCCCATAGACTTTGTACATGTTTTTTGAGCCAGGCACTTTTAACTAGGCACAGACAAAGACCCAAGGTTAAGGTAGTACTATACAAATGACATCATGCTAACGTCATCAAAGGTCATGTGACGTCATCTTAAAGGTGCATAATTTAAAGTCTTATATCTAGAGAACTACAGTTCCGCACGGGTTGAAACTTGGTATGTACTTGGCCAGGGGTGTGTTATAGGTAAAAATTATTTATGTCATCATTGGGATATTTTTTTTATTCTTAGCACCACATGAACCCGCCAGCGACTGACTACATGCGGCGTCTGTACACCATGCTGCCTAAGACAGGATTGCTCAGCCCGCTGCGGAAGAAGAAAAAACTGACTTATCTTGAAGAGCTGGACACTCACACCTTTGCTGTTCAGTAAGTCAAAATCCGATTTTGTTTAAAAAACAATGCAACAATCAAAAATTCAGCAATATTTTTCTGGCGGCAGTACTAGAATGAGAAACCTTACCACATATCGTCGCGTCAGTGCAACAAGGTCGTATCTCCTAAAATGGCATGAACGACGCAAAACGCCAGTTTTAGAATGTCAAAAGGTATCTCGCTTAAAATAACCCGGATGTACACGCAAAGTCAATGGACCTCGAGATACGACCTTGTTGCACGGAGGGTATTCGCGCGAGATACGACTTTGTTGCAGAATGGAGTTACGACCTTGTTGCACTGACGCGACGATATCGTCACCGTTTTCACGAACCGACACTGGGAGCAGTGGGTGTCAAAACATTTCGGTTTCACAAACTGTTACCCCTGCGTGCTAGCACATTGTACACTGACGCGAAAAAAAATGTTTTTCATTTTCACAAACTGATACGTTATCTTTGATATGTCTGCTACATATTTTTTTTAAATAATCGTGAAATTAAAGTGTTTTTAAGGGAAAAACAATTGGCATCTTTCATTTTCACGACTATAAAACAGTCAAAGTTTACAAAGGCCTGTTTTTCCTCAGTAATTTAATTTTTTGACATGACATTAAATGCAAACTTTTAACAGTCATAACTTGTCCACAGGAATGTCGGATTGAAAGGAGAATTTTGATATTGTAAGGAGAATTTTATTCTCTTTCCTAATAGACCATGATTATGTTGCGGCCATCTTGATTTTTCCCATTCAAATCAACGAAACCAAAGCGAAGCTGAAAGGAAAAATAGTCTGGTTCTTTTTTGCATAAAAACTTTACCATTCAGTACTGTTATTGGATACAGGGAACATGACTGAAATGGTGGCAGCATGATAAAAGTGTATACCCGCAAACCCTCATTTCGACCCCTACCCAATTCTGTCTCAACTTGCCAGAACGCCTCGAATTCTGCATGTTATTAAGAGCAACGGCCAAGTTTAAATAAAACTCATTTTACAACCTCCTCTTTTCCAAAGGAAACCGTTCTCCACCAAGGGTCGTCTGGCCCGGGCCGGCCACGAGAAGGTGCAGTACATCTCTCGTCAGCTCATGTCGGAGCTGGGCCTATCCCAATGGCGTTCCAGGGAGTTCTGGACCCTCATCGTGCTGTTCTGCCTGCTCTTCTTCGTCCGTGTCTACATGCACTACCTGGGCCAGTGGGGATACCTCAACATCATCGGGATTCCCATCAGCAAGTGAGTTGTGATCCTCGCAATAGCCTTGCGTGTGAACGAAAGAGGGCGCTCTTTGATGGAGGGCACATATGAAGAGTTTATTTTCCAAAACGTGATATGCACCATTTTGTTCCATTTTGGGATCCCGCCCTCTCCCGGCTGCCCGAAGTCAATTTCGACGGCTGTTTTATTGTTAAACACAATTTAGAATACAGTAAAGTAAAAAAACTGAAATTTATAGACAGCTGTTTTGTTGTTTTTATTCTTTAAAGGGAATGTACATCATTTGCCTTTGCTGTAATTTTCAGAAATAAATGGATTTGGAGGATTAGTTTGTTATAGAAAATATTGTTAAACTGACTTGTTTCACGTTTTGGGCTTGTAGACGCTGGAAAAACCAAGAAAACCTATCATGTTCTTGTAGTCTGGTTCCCTGACCCCACTTAAAATGAAACAGAGCAATTAATACACTTGGGGAATTGTAGGCTCAGAGAATCAGTCTAGCAGGCTTGTACCCCTTCACAGGTGTGTAATCAATTGCAAAGAAAAGTCAGAATAACTAAATATGTAACAGTTTTTGAAAAAAGCCAGTTTTCTCCAATGCTGGTCGGCGGACCAGCGTTGGAAAAATACATTTTTTCTTGAAAATGTCAGCACACCAGGAGCCACGATTTTAAAGGATGATTTGGACTGTCAGTCCCTAACAATTCAGTAAGGTATTTCGTGATAATTTGATCATTTCGTTTTTTGATGTTTGCAAATGTTGTATCTTCCCTTTAAAGTTTCATACCCGCGCAAATTGTTAATTTTTTTCAAACGGATAGATTTTTGGAAATGGAGCCAGTGCCCACCAGTAAGTGGGTTGTGATTCTTGTATTGTCCTTGCGCATGGACCACAGATGGCGCCCTTTGCTTGAGCAAGAACAAGTGAAAGAAGTACATTCGGGATTACAAATTGCCAATACCAGAAAATCTGCCGTACCAAAGCCCTGCTCATTAGGTTATGCGATCAGTTTCCTTTGGCTGTTCAAGATCATGCATCTGTTCTCTACAAGAGCTACCTATTTATACTACTGGTAGGAGAGAGGCAATTGAAGTAAAGTGTCTTGCCCAGGAACAGAAGCTGAACCCCGTCAGTGTTTAAAGATATTTTATATCATTTTTTTTAGGTTTGAGCTTCTGCCATACAGTGTCAATCTCAACTACCAATCATCTCTCCTGCACACTCGCGAGCTGGTAGCCGTGGTCATCCTAGGCCCGCTCACCAACATCACCATCCTGGTCCTGATGGTCTTCGCGGCTTGGCTGTGCCAGAAAGCCGCGGGTAGCTTCCCCACGCTGCTCTGCAAACTCGTCATCGTCTACAGCATCCATGCCGTCTTGGACCCGATCCTGATCGCGATCGTGGATGCGCCACTCGGGGTAAGTGTACGCTAAAATTAGTGATCACGATAAAGTGTCAGTCGTGATCAAAGATCGAATTCCGATTTTGTTCCCTTATAACAACCGGTCCGTGGCAAGAGTGATCAAGCCGCTGGGTTGTTAGAGGGCGCTACAAACAAGATGAATCAAGTCTTGGGAACATTGGCAACCCAGACCCAAGAATTTCCTAGCATACTTCTGATGCACACAGTCGTACTTTACACAACTCTCGAGGACAAGGCATTGTGTTTCCCTTTGTCCCTGTATAACACTCTCCCGTTACTAAGCACATAAACGCACGATTGAGGACCATTTTCAACAAAAGATGAATGATCCAGGTCAACAAAGAATCTGTTGTTCTCCCGTTGTCTGTTGGTCCTCGGGGTGTATGTAGTGCATGTATACACTAGCATGAATACAGATCATAATAATCACTTTTTTGTTCAGTTTAAGTTCAATTAACTGAAAAAAAACTGATCTATTTTTGCATCAGTGGGCAATTTGAAATGAGGAAATATTTTTGTTCAATTTTTTTTATTTGCAGCGTTACAACTACGAAGCTGGCGACGAGCCAATAGCAGATGCGGCCAAGTTGTACTACCTCTTCCAACAGACGCATGGCACCGGTCTGATGGGCATCCTCATGACTGTCCCCATCTACCTGTTCCTAATGTTCTTTGCAGCCGTCGTTTTCTACATGTACTTCCTGAGGTAAGCGTTTTTGTTCCGTTCGCTAGTTTTACCGTACCACTCTGTCTGTGAGGTTGACAGGCTTGAAAACAGAAAATATACGGCATTTTTTCGCCCCCTTTTTTTCATCGTTTGCATTTTTCTTTTGCAGGCTGCATAACAACGGCCGGATGCTGGACATCTTCCACCGTCTCCACGCCAAGCAGGAGGAGTTTTTCCTGCCGTACGATCTGGAGATCAGCAACCAGGAGCTGGCCTACATCTGCAAGAAAGCCGAGCAGTGGCGGGGCGAGGAAGGGGAGAGGCGCAAAGTGGGCGTGTACGACTACATCTGGGAGGAGGAAGATGTGAGTTTGGTGGGTGGGGTGGGAGAGGGGAGAGGCGTAAAGTAGGCGTGTCCGACTACATCTGGGAGGAGTAAGATGTGAGTTTGGTGGGTGGGGTGGGAGAGGGGAGAGGCGTAAAGTAGGCGTGTCCGACTACATCTGGGAGGAGGAAGATGTGAGTTTGGTGGGTGGGGTGGGAGAGGGGAGAGGCGCAAAGTGGGCGTGTCCGACTACATCTGGGAGGAGGAAGATGTGAGTTTGGTGGGTGGGGTGGGAGAGGGGAGAGGCGTAAAGTAGGCGTGTCCGACTACATCTGGGAGGAGGAAGATGTGAGTTTGGTGGGTGGGGTGGGAGAGGGGAGAGGCGTAAAGTAGGCGTGTCCGACTACATCTGGGAGGAGTAAGATGTGAGTTTGGTGGGTCGGGTGGGTTGGGAGAGGCGTAAAGAAGGCGTGCCAGACAACATCTGGGAGGAGGAAGATGTGAGTTTTGGGTGGGGTGGGGTGGGAGAGAGGAAAGGCGCAAAGTGGGTGCATACAATTACATCTGGGAGGAGGGAGATGGAGTGGGATGGGATAAGGGAGGGGCACAAAGTGGGTGTGTACGACTACATTAGGGAGGGGGAAAGTGGAGTGGGATGGGACAAGGGAGGGGCACAAAGTGGGCGTGTCTGACTACATCTGGAAGGAGGAAAATAAAATGGGATGGGATAGGGGAGGGGCACAAAGTGGGCGTGTCTGACTACATCTGGGAGGAGGAAAAAGGAGTGGATGGGACAGGGGAGGGGCACAAAGTGGGCGTGAACGACTACATCCGGGAGGGGGAAGATGGAGTGGGATGGGACAGGGGAGGGGCACAAAGTGGGCGTGTCTGACTACATCTGGGAGGAGGAAAATGGAGTGGGTGGGACAGGGGAGGGGCACAAAGTGGGCGTGTCTGTCTACATCTGGAAGGAGGAAAATGGAGTGGGATGGGACAAGGGAGGGGCTCAAAGTGGGCGTGTACGACTACATCTGGGAGGAGGAAGATGGAGTGGGATGGGATAGGGGAGGGGCACAAAGTGGGCGTGTACAACTATGATCAGGGAGGAGGAAAATGGAGTGGGATGGGATAGGGGAGGGGCACAAAGTGGGCGTGTATGACTACATCTGGGAGGAGGAAGATGTAAGTTTGGTGGGTGGGTTGGGTGGGGGCTTCGGCGAAGGGGGTGGGGTAGGTTGAGCAGAATTGGGGTGGGGCTGGGGAAAGGCGCAGAGTGGGCATGTACGACTTCATCTGGTCGGATGAAGATGCAATTTGGGGGGTGGAGTGGGTTTGGGTGGGGAGAAAGATGTAATTTTAGGGCGGGCTTAGGCTGGAGAGGATTTGGGTGTGTTCCCAAAGGAGGATGGAGGGGTGGGTTTGGATAAAAGGAAGATTCAAAGAGTGGGGTGCAGAGTGGGCATGTAGAATAACATCTTGGAGGAATAAATTATATTTTAGTCTCACGGCACAATTTTGGCAAACAAGATGAACTTAACACCTTAAGTGGTGCACCCAAGATTTTCCATTGAAGTAGCTGATGCTAGTTTTGACCACGGCTAAGTTGGAACATGATGATATTTTATATATTTTGGACAGGTTGATGAGGACACGTTGGATGGGGAGAAGGGAGGCAAGAGCAAGCAGGAGATCACGACCCACGTGTCCATCCACACGCTGCACCTGGACGGACTGCGTGAACTACACCGTCACTTCCTGCGCCTGCCTGACGGGGCCATAGTGGAGGTATGTATAGCGCCCTCTGTTGTCCATAAATGGCAGGCAAAATGTATCATTGGGTTTTTGATTGGTTGTGTGAACTAGGCCTTCACTTCTTGTACCTCACGAACAGAGCCATAGTGGATGTTCATATAGCGCCCTCTGTTGTCCATAAATGGCAGGCAAATTGTAAATTATTATCATTGACTTTATTGATGGGTTGTGTGAACTACACCTTCACTTTTTGTACCTCATGAACAGAGCCATAGTGGATGTTCATGTAGCGCCCTCTGTTGTTGATAAATGGCAGGCAAATTGTAAATTATTATCATTGACTTTTTTAATGGGTTGGGCACCTTCACTTCTTGTACCTCACGGATGACAGAGCCATAGTGGATGTTCGTATAGCGCCCTCTGTTGTCCACAAATCGTCACGTCAGTGCAAAAAGGTCATTACTATTCTGCAACAAAGTCGTATACTCTGCAATCGTATCTCACGAATCGCGACGTCCATTGACTTTGTGTGCACATCCGGGTTATTTTAAGCAAATACGACCTTTGGACATTGAAAACTTGCATTTCACGTACATGACGTCACGCGCCATTTTAGGAGATAAAATCTTGTTGTATGGACACGACGAAATGACAGGCAACAAATTTTGAACTAAACTTCTTTTTTTTTCTTCAAAAATCTAGGTGTTTGGGGAAATGGGAGTGGTGGGTCTCGACAAGGATCTCCGAGCGGCCTTACAGAAGGGCCCCACGGCGCAAACAAACTCGGGCTGGGACCGGATGGGCTCGACGGACACCCTGCGCACCCGCCAACGGCCCAAGACCATGGGGGGATTCGGGTCGCAGGATTTCCTGGACATACCGCCCTCGCCGGGGGCCGGGGCCAGGCGGTTTGCGTCGCGCGAGTCGCTGCGGTCGGGAGGTAGCGGGGGATCGCGGTTGAGTGTCGGGAAGGGACTCGGGCAAGAATCCAAGGCTTAAGTACACTCGTATAAACGGACCATCCCTGTCTGTTAATCAGAGTGTACATTGACCAATCAGATCACAAGTTTTTGGTCAGGTGACCTCTGTAACTCAGTCATACTGAGTTACAAGCACTGTGAGATAAGGCTAAGTCCAGAACAGTCCATAAAATAAAGATAATATAACAAAAAGCCTTTAAAACAAAAAAACCCTTAGTCCTTTGAAAACTGAAGGTGCGGATACGATGCACTCAAAATAAATTCAATAATTGTACATGTGTGATTCGTTTGTCCCCATCTCTTTGAAAGATGATTTTTGTTTTGAAGTTCTTGATATTTTATTTAGATTATTGTGTGCATATTACTCAAGAGTCTAGATTCATCAGAGGCAAAATTGTACTTTTTTAGTTTAGAAGTTTAAGAGTTCCTTTGTGCGGTTTGATTTTTGTTTTACTTTTTGTATTTGAAAATCCAAAGGGAGGCTGTGAATCTAAATTGAACCAAATTTGGGACCAAATTTCGCACTAATGGAATAATTTATGTTTTCATCCCTTTTTTTTATTAAGTTGACAATTTACTTTCTTACATGTGAGCTGTTATCACAAAATGAGTCTAAAGTCAGACTTTTGAACAATTGAGATGTTTATTTATATTCTGCAGAACAAGAGTTTTCCAATGGTATAAAATGTTTAGGGTTGCTGAGTTCAGTAACAGAAATATAGACCACTAACTTGAACTTGTAAAACTGAATCTTCAGAAAATCTTCTTGAAAATCCTTTGGTTGTGTTACAGTGAATGAACAGTAAATAAAACGGTATGAAAATAAGTTTAAAAGATGTTTGGCAGAACAAAATATTGGAAAAGGCAAAACAGGACTTACAGACTGAGATTCGCCTGAAAACAAAAAATTGACCACCCCGTCAAATTCTGGCTTTGCCCCACTACAGCAAAATGGAAATTTCCAACTTCAAGCTCACTATGCGAAGACAGATCACATAACGTCAAGTAGAAAACTTTTTAGAAACATGTCACATTCAAATTACAGAATGTTGTACAAAATTAGATTTTTCAATCAGTGTGCAAATTTGTTTAGGATATTTTTTACAAGAGTATTTAACATCTCATTTCTTATTTTTTTATACGAAGCGTGAACTGAATGTATATTTAGGCTAAATCTATGAGTTGAATTGTACATTTTTTTGATCCGTCCACCAGATTTAAAACATTTTCTGAATTTTTTGTGCAAAAGCTTGATTACATTCGTCTTTCCACAGACATGTTTTCTGTCCACTTATGTTCCATTACGTAGTTAGGTCAAAAGAGATACCTGGGTATGTGATCACTGTACACTGACGTGGCCCCTTTCAATGGAGAAACCATTGTGTTAGCTATTGTACAAAGCAACTGCCCCGTGACCGATTATCTGAACAATAGCTAGCACAATGCTTTCGCCATTGAAGGGGGCCTTTGCGTTTGAAAGCATGCCTGATTGGTCTATTGGTTGTATAAACACTGCGCATAGTAAAGAATGCCGACACTCACTGAAGGGGTCATGATTTTGAATCTGATCATCTTATGATGACGTCATTTATATAGACCGTTGGGAATGTTGTTAGCTACATTTTGATACCCCGTTTGCTACCAAAGACTGTAAATCGTCCAAGATTGACAATGGTTTATGAAAAATGATGCAGTTTGAAAAGTTGCAAATTTAAAGAACCACGAGGAGAAATTGCTAAGCACAAACACGCATGCCCTTAATTGCCCTTATCAACTGCACACTGCCTGAACAAAGCACGGGTAATTCAATTTCGCGTGCTCCCAAGCATGCAAGCACTGTGCGATCGATATCCCTGCCGTTCCTTTCAGGCAGTGTAACATTGTCATGCAGCAATTTCCACTCGCGTACTCTTTAAATTTGATACTTTTCAAACTGCATCATATTTTATAAACCGTTGTCAATGTTGAACGATTTACAGTCTTTGGTAGCAAACGGGGTATTGAAATGTAGCTAACAAAATTCTTCAAAGGTCTATATAAATGATGTCATCATAAGACGATCAGATTCAAAATTATGACCCCTCCAATGAGTGTGGACTTCTTCTTTTTGCGGTGTTTATTACAAACAACAGACCCAAAAAAATGTAGGAGAAATGCATTTTAGGTAAAGACAGATTTTGTATTGATTTTTGTTTGGGTTTGATTTTTTTACACAGAGTCAAAGTTCTGTTTGTGATGTGTTAATATTGAGTGACTTACATAGAAAACTGATATATTTTTGACAGATTTGTTTAAAAGCCGTCCTTTTGAGTTTATACTGGAAAATATCGTGCCTTCTGAATTCTAAGTAGTAACCGTCCATGCATGATCAAATAAACTCAAATTATGAAAATATTTATAAAAATATTTAGTTAGCTAAATAAGTGACAACACTTTGGTCAAATTTTGGTCAAATTAAAATGTACCTTATTTGGGAAAAAAAACAATTTCTTCTTTTAGGCTCTTCATAATTTGTCTCATAACTGCGGAATTCCTGCAAAGATATCCTCTTCAATCCCGCATTCGTTGGTTCCTCGAAGAATCTTGAAAAAACCTGAATTCAACGACAAAAAAACACCAAAAATATAACAATATTGAGAAATTGATAAAATCCAACAGTTTGATAGTTAACGTAGCTTGTTTAAAAGTGACAAACTCATGCACAAACTTAGCAACGTGGTTCCTCTTGATCAACTGAAGATGGTCAGAGCATAATGATCGAAACGTTGAGTGTTTACCTCAAACTTGTGTTTACTAAAAAAAAAAATCTTCCACACTTCATCATCAAAGCTAAACGTCTTATGAAATCCATCATTCATTAAAAAAAAATTGAGGGACGACGATCAAACTTCAAATTTCTATACATATGTGGATCGTTAATTTCAAGGATGTTTTCCCATCCAAAATTCCCCCCGTCAGAATAATGGTTTCTATATACATACCCTTTTCGCCCCAACTGTCGTTCCAAGAATTTGACGCAAGCCAGTATTTCACTCCATCGGGCGTGACGCCCCAACCATACATTTTCACTGACTGTCTGTTAACAAAACCCCCTGCCACATGCTGATATACACCTAAAAAAAATATTACAAATTTACAGAAAAGGATTTCAAAAATTGCTCAAAACAAATAAAAAACTTCAAAGCTTCAGACCTTGCATAAAGTAAAGTCTATGAAACAAAGCAAAAGTCAATGGTCGCAGTTACCGGATTTATAGCTGAAAAAATCTTCAAAGACGTTCAAGGAAGTTTCCACTGGCCCAAAATTTATGAGTTCCTCCTGAATTTGTGTCACGCTGCCCTCAATTGCATAGGATGACTTCCCTGCAAGATACAAAGGTCAAATTTGTCAAAGAAAAAAATGCAGTATTGAAAACTGATTAGAAAAAAAACCCCAAACAGTAGAATAATTTCATCAGCATTACAATTCAGCATCAAAGATTGCGACATTTTTGTCGTGGACATATTTTTATAACTAGTCACGCCGTATTCATAAGATGGAATTTTGCGTCGGGGTGATGTAAATCAATATTAGGTTTTGCCCTTCACTGACGTATTAACACTGTATACTCAGTGTGTTACCTCCCGAGTGAAAGTTGGAAAAAATCACTCGGGTGGGACTCGCACCAGCGACCTCCTGCTTTCTAGTGCAGATGTCTTACCACTCAACAACCGAGCTAACGGGATCGGCTGGCTGGTTCGAATCTGATGTACATGTAGTCAAAATATTTATTTTATTGGTCAGTCAAGTTTATTTTTGCTCCGGCTATGGTATTTTATCAAGTAATAAACTCCCCTATTAGACAACTCTTGAAATAACAGAAAGCTAAAATCTTGGTATGGGCTAAAGACAAAAATGAGGAATAAAAATTACATTTTTGGTTTTTGCTGGACTTTTCCAAGGGCCAGTTCTCTAAGGGACAATGACTGTTAAATAGAGTGAATTTAAAATTAAACTTCCTTTTACCAAAATGCAAGTCGTCGGTGTAGCTCTTGTTATACCCCTTCCCGCATTCGGTGTGGCATTTTGGAGTCTGCGTCTCCGGTGCACAGGTGGGCTCAGGCGCGCCCCCATCCGAACCCTCGTCACTACCCCCGACGTGACGGCAGGGGTCGAAGGTGTAAGGCTGGCACCCATCGGTCACAATACCCGTGTTGACCCAATATTGCCAGGCAGCGGACGGATACCCACCTTCGCAGCTGTGACAAAATAAAAAATTCCATTATTAAAAATTGTATTATCGGTGTTAAAAATGTGGAGTAACTTCATTTTATTTTCTAGTGGCTAATAGCATATTAATCACTAGGCCTGGCCAACAAAAGACCCTTTAGCTGCTTAAAATTCCTATCCTTCCCAGGATTAGTAGACATGTAGTACAATTTGCATAGTTTTTCCTAGGTTGTGCATACTTTCTTTTTATATTCATTCAAGCGAGGTAAAGACCAAGTATAGTGTGCAGTTTTGGGGTGGGTGTGGTTATTTGAGTTGATTAGTGGTTCTACAACACTTGAGAAGGAAGTCTGTTTCTTATTTTAAAAGGTAAGTCTCTGTGATTTTGTTCTTTGATTTTGTTTTTCATGCTTCTTATTACTTTGGCTTCAGTTTCTTTTAATTGTGCGTGCGTGCTTGTGCCTTTATTTTTTTACTCGTAACTGTCTTGTGATTGATTTTCGATTTGGCATGTGATTCACTTTTCATGTATCTGTGATTGATGTGTGATGGACGTGATGGAATGGCTATTGGCTTGTTGATTGGCTTGTGATTGGCTTGTGATTGGCTTGTGATTGGCTTGTGATCGACTTGTGATTGGCTTGTGATTGACTTGCGATTGACTTGTGTTTGACTTGTGATGTGATTAGCTTGTGATTGACTCGATTTCAGATTTGGCTTGTGATGGACATTTTGATCGACTTCATCGATGATTGACTTGTGATTGACTTGTGATTGGCCTGTGATTGGCCTGTGATTGGCCTGTGATTGGCCTGTGATTGGCCTGTGATTGGCCTGTGATTAACCTGTGATTAACTAGAGATGACCATGCCTCTAGGTGAGCCCTAGTCTGGTGCTCAACACATCTCACCCAAATCCACAGTGCGTTCCACAGCACGAGATGAGATTCTCTTCCGACAGTGTAACGTTGACTTTCTTCATGTTAGAAAAAACGCAGTAGCGGTCAGACATTGCCTCCAACGCCCCAAAAGCCTAAATAGGGAAATCCAAAGAATAGTTAAACATGAAAATCTCTGTAAAAATTGTCACAATTTGACAAACACTCTTGCATTTGAGAAATGTATGTATGGTGACAGGCAAGGAAAGATGATGAAAAAAATAAAATCATCATTAATTTTATGCCACAAAATCCTACAGAATCTTACAGTAGATTTTGAAGGATCTGGCGTAACCAATTAAAGTCCATCAAATTTTTTTTTACCCATCCAGCCCCACATGCTCCTTGGTCATATATCTTCTTCATGGAGTCACACTCCGGCCATTTTGTCATCGAGTCAAAGTTCTCTGGAATGTCCTTTGCGTCTACATCCGATCTTGGCTTCAAGGGGAGTCTGTGATCATCTGGGACTGAGGTTGTAAGCTTTCCCCCGAGAAGGAGTTTGACGAAAGAGGCGTTCTTTCCTGGGAAGTTAAATCCGGCCTGCAATGAGAAATCAGCAGAGTTAATAAGTTGGAAACAACTTATACTAGTAGTCATCACATTTCATCGCAAACCATGTCAATCGCAAATCGATCATCAGTCAATCCTATGTCAATCACAAGTCAAATACATGACAATATGTCATCACAAGTCAATCATAATTCAATCACAAGTCACAACAAGTCAATCACAAGTCATCACAACTCATCACAAGTCAATCACAAGTCATCACAAGTCATCACAAATCATCACAAGTCATCACAACTCAACACAAGTCATCACAAGTCATCACAAATCATCACAAGTCATCACAAGTCATCACAAGTCATCACAAGTCCATCACAAGTCATCACAAGTCATCACAAGTCATCACAAGTCACCACAAGTCCATCACAAGTCATCACAAGTCACCACAAGTCAATCACAAGTCAAAAACCATAGAATTTTGTATAAACCTTTTTGAAGATGTCATCAAATATGAGAATTTTTGTCATAGTTTTTAAAGAAACAAATCTGAAAAGAAAAAGTGTCATGGAGTTCTGCAAAGTTCCATAAAATCATTACGTTCTTTTGTGCAGTTTTAATCAACAATTTAAAAATTAAATGAACCTTATTTTTGCTTTTCCACAAAACGAAACTCACCTTCCAAGTTGTGTTCAGGTTGTTTACGTATCTGATCATCTCCCCTGATAGGGCAGGCAAGTGACCAATAGGGTGATGGGATCCACCTTGATACCGGTCTCCATGGCAACACAGCAGCAATTGACCAATCAGAAAACAGCACAGCAGGGACTTGCCCATTTTAAATTAGCATAGTTGCATATGGAACTGCAACAAAAGGATTAAGATTTAACAAATTGTTACAAAAAAACCAAACTTCGGAGCAAAATGCCCTCTATAAACGCCAATTACAAATAAAATAGTTTGGAGTATACTTACACAATTATGTCAACTATGTCTTGTGCGTGTGCTGTGCAGAAAGCTACACCATTTGTGTCCACCCAAAATACTTTTTTCAGCAATGGGTACATATTTATCTCGTTTATGATGGGCAAAGACCAACTTGAAAACTTGCCAAGGGACCCACAAAAAAGTTTATCAGAAAAGTTTATCCAGAACATATCTATACAATCACTACGAACAAACCAACCAATTTATCTAAAATAACTACCACACAGACAATTATATTGCAAGGTCAAAGGTCACAGCTTTATTTATATACATGTATCAGCTAAATCACATGACAGTAACATGACTTGCAGCACTCGGCTTTTGACACCACTTTCCAATAGACATGATATAATAAACTAGGTCAAAGTCCAACAAACTGTGAACTATAAAGCCAAAACTAGAAAAAAAAAGCGATTTCAAGTAAATTTATTTAAAATGCACAAAAAGACCTTTTTTGTGTACTGAGCCATATCATAAATCTTTTGCCAACAAACTTCTCCACAATTTCCATCATGCAAAAAAATAGAGTCTCTAGGTTTATTTTCTTCTGTAGCAGGTTTTCACTATCTTAAGTTTTGAGAATACCCTAATTTGCTAACTGTGACTATACTCGACTTGTGAATGACTTGTGATCGACTTGTGTTTGACTTGTGTTTGACTTGTGTTTGACTTGTGATCAACTTGTGATCGACTTGAGATCGACTTGTGATGGACTTGTGATGGACTAGTGATTGGCTTGTGATTGACTTGTGTTTGACTTGTGATCAACTTGTGTTTGACTTGTGATTGACCTGTGATTGACTTGTGACTGACTTGTGATCGACTTGAGATTGACTTGTGATTAACTTGTGATTGACTTGTGATTGACTTGTGATTGACTTGTGATCGACTTGTGATTGACTTGTGTTTGACTTGTGATTGACTTGTGACTAACTTGTGACTGACTTGTGTTTGACTTGTGATTGACTTGTGATGGAATTGTGATTGACTTGTGATTGACTTGATAAAAACTCTTATGAATTCCAAATTGTTTTATAAGGTCTTTAGGAAATTGTCGTACTCCTCCTTGGACGACTTTGCGATTTCCTGACAGAAGACATCATCCGGTAGTTTTGCGAGGCGTTCAAGGGCAACATAGCCTGGCTGGGTTGGGTCATACTGAGCGCGCCCGTGAAACCTCAAAAACTGTGGACATTCAGAAAAAGTAAAACGTCTTGGTTAACAAGAATGCTGACGGTGTAGTCTAAGCTAAATTCTTTTATTCTTTAAAACCCTTAAAAATCCCTCATTTGAAAAAGGCTTCATTCTGAAATGCTAGTGACTCCCCTACAGTGGGAAAGTGGACTCTGCCAACCTGATGCCTTTCCTGCATCCTGAAGACTCTTCCATTGAAGACTGTGGGGTTCTTTAGTATCTGCTTGTGAGGGATGCCCATGTGGTTGTGGAGATAGTCGAACATGCCAATGAGTTTCTCTTTACCTTATAAAAAAAAAATGAAAAAGAAAGCCAAATAAAAGAGTTTTTTATAAATATGTGTACATAAAATATGTTGTATTAATCATTTGAATATTCAGATATATGAATATTCATCAGAACCTTACTGCCTACCTCGAAGTAGCAGCTTTGGTTCTTTCAAAATGAGGTTCTTGAGTTCAAAGGTCGTGAACCCCAGCTGTTGACGGCACACGAAGATGTTCTCCTTGACTCGTTGGATCTTGAAGGTTACCAACTGAAAATAACAACAAAAGCAACTCAATTTGACTGAAAGCCCCCAAAAATTCATGATTTGGATTGTTTACTTAGCCCATTTCAAGCATCTGGTTGAAAGGAAACCAACCTAATGTCTTACCGTTCCCGAGAAAAGACGAAAAAAAAAAACCCGGTTGTTTACATCGGACACGATGGAGTACAAATACGTTTTTCGTGTCGTTTTAAGTGTACGATATACACGTCGTGTCTGGGGAACAGCGGTGACCAATCACCAATGCAAAATATACGGTTTCTTCAACGTCCGCAAAAGGCGAACACTTTACGAATGAAATAACAACTAGCATCAAAACAGCTCCAATTTGGGGTCGCAAAAGTGGACCCCGAAATTCGTTTTCGCACGCATAATACCGGAATAATACAAAAACGCCCAGTTTTAAAAGGATAGTTGTGTGGATGTTTATATCCTACTTTTAAATGTTCTTGCCGATTAACATCATCTCGTTCGAAGCGCGTTTTGTAGCCCAATTGGGCTGTTCCAGGACCTAGTGTCACTTTAAAGGGAATGTACATCATTGGCTTTTGCTGTAATTTTCAGAAATGAACTATTTGAGGGGTTAGTATAATAGATCAAATATTGTTTAACTGACATGTTTGAAGTTTTGTGTTCGAAAATGCTTGAAAAACCAAGAAAAACACAACTGTTTATGTAGTCTGGTTCCCTGACTCCACTAAAGATAAAATGGCTCAATTATAGATGTCGGAAAATTGTAAGATAAGGGAACCAGACTAGCTGGCCTGCACCCGTTCATGAACATGTAACCAATAGCAAAAAAAAAATTTGGACTGAACAAAATTGTAAATTTGGAGCAGTTGTTGAAAAATAGTTAGGTTTTTCCAACGGTGGTCGGCCGACCACCGTTGGAAATGTATACAAAAATACCATTTTCTTGAAAATGACTCGACACCAGGTGCCATAATTTTACAGGATGCTTTAAACTGTCATTTACCAACATCCTAGTAAGGTATTTCGTAAAAACTTGGTAGTTTTATTTTTCGATGTTTGCAAATGTTGTATACTCCCTTTAATGATTGCTTGACAACAACTGACGTACTGAGTCACTGACTCATCCATATGGCTATGACTTTCAATAAACACATGCGCCTGTGGAAGCGGCTAGTCCACATCCCATAGACCTGTGTGCTACTGTGATGAGCCGTAGCCATATCAGACACAGCCTTAGGATACCTTTGGCGTCTTTGTGATGATGTTTCGAAGTTCATTTCCAGTCAAACTTAACTCCTTCTGGTAGAAACCCAACTTGCTATCCACTCGCTCAACCTGTATCAAGGAAAAAATTATTATAAGATGGAATTTTGCGTCGGGGTGATATAAATCAAATTAGGCTTTGCCCTTCATCGACGTTTAAACACTGTTTACTCAGTGTGTTACCTCCCGAGTGAAAGTTGGAAAAAATCACTCGGGTGGGACTCGAACCCACGACCTCCTGCTTTCTAGTGCAGACGTCTTTACCACTCGACCACCGAGCTAAAGGGATCGGCTGGCTGGTTCGAATCTGATGTAGAAAAAAAATTGATTAATAAAACATAAACGAATACCATTTGTGCGCACCCTCTAAAGTACAAATGTACAAGCATTTACAATGTCCCATTTATGGCACACAGCATAGAAATAGTGATAACGCTTTTGGATTAAACAATAAACCACACCCAGATTTGGTTTCTTAACGCACTTTCGACCGAGTTTGAAAAACTTCCATGATCAAAAGTTGAGACCAAATTGATCTACGCGCAGTCTGACATTTTAAAGACAAGAGCTGTCGATAACTTTTGAAAAAAACAGGATCAACTGAGATGTGTTTATACCGAGAAACTTAAGAAGTAAGGAGCCCTGTTCAGCACTTGGGTGATGGCGTCCTCGGAAAACTTCTTCGATCGCAGATACCGCAATCTCGTTTTTAAGTTCTCCAGATCTTCGGTCAGAAAGAATGGGTTGATCGTCAAAAAACGGCCTAAACCGGTCGCGGAGGTCATTCCCACGGAGTGCAGAAGAATGATTTTGTCTTTCATGTGTCTATCAAAATCCATCTTGATCAGCATGTTCCCGATTTTGGCTTTCTTCTCCACTTTGGACAGATCGACACCGAGCTCGACTAGTTTCTGCAGCGTTGGGGAGTGGTCGACGTACGTGGCCAGTGTTAGCGATTCGGTCGGGAGATATGGTTGTATAAATTCCTCCAAGACAGTTGGCGTCTCCCTTGGGGCGAGAATATCTACTGCCTCTTGGTCGTCAATAAAATCCAATTCATGCTCAGGTTTAGTCCTTATTATCAAACTAACAGATGTTTCATCTTTTACCTCCTCAACATTTTCAACATCGTCCCTTGTTTTTGAATGAACATGTTGTAAGCTGTTCTCTGAACCAGTTTCAGTTCTTTCCACGTGTTTACTCTCTGAACTCTCACTATTGAACAAATCTCTTTCAGTTATTTTGATTGACGATTCGGAAAGCTCTTTCGTATCTTTGTCCAAAATGTCCAAGTCATCAGATTCTTGTTCTTGTTCGGATTCTTGTAAACTTCTAGAGTCGGTTTTCTCAGTGTCTTCGCTTGAAGAACAAGCTTTGCCATTGCCATCTTCAGTCTTCGAGTCGGACAACAGTCTTTTGCAGAGATGAAAACTTGGCGGTGCCTTGTGAAACCTCAGAGAGGCAACATGCTCAGTTCCTGTTGCTCCGGAGGCGAGAGAAACGCTTGTTATTTGTCTCCGAGAGGAACTTTCGACTCGCCCTTTGGTTGTGATTGGCTTGGACGTGGGCTCGAATGAGAATCTTGGGCATGTTGAGCAGTTTGTCAACGCTGGAACGGACCGAGCTGGACCGTTGAGCACTTCAAGAAGTTGGTTGCAAGTTCCACTTCTCAGGAGCATCTTGGTTGCCATGGTGATGAGCTGTGGGTCATCTTTCACTCACCAGACCTGTTTCCATTGGAGGACAGAATACAAGGGAATGTTTTGGTGTTAATTTTTCGTTTCAAAAACACACATTGAAAGTTTCATCCCAAATACAAATGTATTGTAATGCAATTTTTTGCAAGGCCAAGTTTAAAAAAAAAAAAAAAAATTTCGTGCAGGATTTCTGAAAAGTGGGAGGAGGCAGATTTTCCAAGATGAATTCTTCAGTTTTCTAGACTTTTTTTGCTGACATACTTTTGCGTCCAAACCATTTTTCTGGAAGATCATAAAACTTATTACAAATGTATGATTTGATAAAAAAAAAAAAAGCAGTGGCGGCTGCGGCCGGAATGAACCTAGCAACCACATCCAATCCTTTAAATTTTTGCAGGGCCGAGAATTATCAATGGTCAAATTTTGAGAAAAAAATAGTTGTACAAAAATGTTTGGGAATGTTCAGCACAAATTTGGAACTTGCGCAAATTTATTGTCCTTATACATTAAATAGGTTGAACTTAGAGCCAGCAACTGGATCACCAGAACTCCTAGGAATACTTGTGCGACCGACCAAAAACAAAAAAAAACTTGAAAAAGGAGTTCTACTAGCGCCCCAGGCCCAGTCACAGTGAAACCTGCAACTCTGGCCACCTTAACCTTGATCATGTTGATAAAGATTCCACCTGCTCAATCGGGCCACCGGATAGCCATAAAATGTTGAATACGCGCGCTCGACTCACTTTGTGTATAAACATACCAGAACAAGGAACACGTGTGGCGTGATTTCGGTAACACAAAGAACCAAGGATCATCTAAAAGAATTCTACAAATTTTTTAAGTACAATCAAAAGCAGATGAATGTGCAAGTACAATTCGTCACCGACCGGTACGGTGATGCATGTGTATCACTATCACATGTTGCATTTCGTATGACCTTCGACATTGCTGAGATCAAACCAATCCAAAATGGGGGCTCCTCTGTACGCTTGTTTTATTTCAGTCTTTGCTATTCATTTTATTTGACAACTAAACCAACTATCAACTTTCGAAATTTCCATGTTTTTACTAAGCTAGTTTTTAGAGCGACAATTATGTGTTTTATTGTTGAAACTAGGAACTTTATAAGTGTATTTTGATACTGCAATATTACACTCTACAAATAACACCCCTAATTAAGCAATGGTAGCGTCACAATGCACATCGCATGATATCCATGTGTGTATTTCACATGTACAAGATGGCGGTGACCAGGCGAAACCACAGGCGCTCGGCGTCTGAAATAAGCGACCATTTTCGCTTCATAAACGAACAAAGTGTGGAAGATATCACCCTAGAGTTTTTCTACAAGCCCCACACTCTCACCCTCCTCGTGGCCGCGCTTGTGGCCACTGTTTACTTCGCGTTTGCAAAGTAAGTTTTCCTTTGTTAAATTTGCTGGTTTACGTTTGTAATTTGTTGGTCGAGAAGGGCCATGTGGGGGCGCTGTTTATATACACTGGGGTTCACCATGTCCACCCCTTTTCAGTGCAGTTTTAAGTTTTAGAAGCAGTGTGCCGATATATGCGGTATATTTTGCATATGAAAACATAAAAGGTGTCTGTCAAAATCAGATTTAACATGTTAATCGGACCTCTTTCTTTTTTCAACAGGACCAGTGAGACCGATAATGACGGTAATATTCGCAACGGTTTGTGCTGCGTCGTTTTCTTCTTTCTGCTCATCAGCTTATTGGCCTTTCCAAATGGTACGACAGACAACAAAAACGGTCCAATATTTTATTTTACATTTTGCTCCCCCCCCCCCCCCCCCCCCCGGCCTCCTCCCCAAATTGAGGCTGAAAATTACAGGATAACTTCTGGACACCTACGGACACTGACAGAAATGTGTGACTCACTAAATTCGGAGGAAGTTCAGTCATGCCAGTATTTGAGCTACAATTATGGGACTAGGTCCATCATCACTCCATCAAAATCAGGTTAAAAAACAACGTGGCAAAATGGGTAAAAATACTACAAGTTTTGTATATTGATGATTCCTAATTTTGTTTTAATATCAATTGATTTCTCAATTGCACAGGACCATTCACAAGACCCCATCCTGCAGTATGGAGAGTCGTATTTGGTGAGTAAATTCAGCATACTTTAGACAAGTGATGCTATCCTATTAAAATTGAGGTCTACTCAGGAAATCCCTTTGGAACAAAAGCATGTCCCTCAAAGATGGATACAATGCGAAAGATCTATGTATAAAGTCTTACATTTTTTTGACATTTTTTTTTCTTTGTAGGGGTCAGCGTCATGTACATGCTGTTCCTGGTGTTTGCTTTGTTCCAAAATTACGACGACATCCGCAAAATCATGTTTTGGTTCTTCCCGGACCTTGAAGCTAACCAGCCGCTGGAAAAGGTTAGTCAAGCGAGGGCGCTGTTCGGTTGAACTCATCCTTGCCCGTTTCTCCCTGTACTGCCCCAAATTGCCATAGCTCTGTTTGGTTTTGTGGATTCATCATGGAACTGAATACAATGTAATGCAATGTAATACAATGTAATACAATGTAATACAATGTAATACAATGTAATACAATGTAATACAAGTGTTTGTTATTTCAGGAGTATGCAGTCAACTGCTCAGACATCACTTTTGAGCGCTTCTGGAGTCACTTGGACTGGTTCGCCTTCTCCCATTTCTTCGGTTGGATCGTCAAAGCCATGATGATCCGTCACTGGGGCATACTGTGGACGCTTAGCCTGACGTGGGAACTGACCGAGGTATGGCCAGGGTCATAATTTGATTGGATTCTCTGGACATTTAAAGAACTCAACCCATCAAAACCCCAACAGCATATTTTGTTGGAATCTGTCAGGATGGGTACAGTACCCCTAAACTGACAGTCGTTCACATTGGGTTGGCACACCTCCAGAATCAGAGTCAGTAATATGTGTGTGAAGTTTCCCATATGGTGTTGGAATTTGCCAGGATGGGTATGGTTCCTAGTAAATCATGCTGGGGGTTAGGGTTAAGGTTCGCTCTTGTTCTTGCTGTGAGCCAACTACACCAGGTATTTGATTGATTTGTGGTTGACTTGTGATCAGAGATGCCACTTTTCAGGTTTTAACTCGAATTCAGGGTTTTTTTTCAAAAAATGTGACAAATTAAAAGTGCTGGATTTGGCCTGAAGCATGAAGAAAACACATTTTTGAAAGGGGGTAAGAGTAGTTTTAGGGGTTTTTTTAGTAGTGTTTCAGGCTGTTTATTGATATATTTGTGGCATCTCTGACTGTGATTGACTTGTGATTGATTTGTGATTGATTTGTGATTGTCCTGTGATTGGCTTGTGAATGAATTGTGAATAACTTGTGATTGACTTGTGATTGACTTGTGATTGATTTGTGATTGACTTGTGATTGACTTGTGATTGCCTTGTGATTGCCTTGTGACTGACTCGTAATTGAGTTGTGATTGAGTTGTGATTGGCTAGTAATTGACTTGTGATTGACTTGTGATAGACTTGTGATTGACTTGTGATTGACTTGTGATAGACTTGTGATTGGCTTGTGATTGACTTGTGATAGACTTGTGATTGACTTGTGATTGACTTGTGATTTGACTTGTGATTGACTTTTGGTTGACTTGTGATTCATTTGTGAATGACTTGTGATTGACTTGTGAATGACCTGTGATTTGGCTTGTGATAGACTTGTGATTGGCTTGTGATTGACTTGTGATTGACTTTGAGACGATTGCAACTCTAATGTATAGACTATCCCCTACCATTGCCCCAACACTGTAAGTCATTTCTTGTCTTGTCTCTCCCTCTCTAGTTTGCATTTATCCATCTCCTGCCCAACTTCGCCGAGTGCTGGTGGGACGCCCTCCTTCTAGACTTTCTGATCTGCAACGGTCTGGGCATCTGCCTCGGCCTGTACCTCTGCAAGAAACTGGAGATCACTTCCTTCCACTGGGACAGCATCAGGTAGGCCAGTATTCTGCTAACTTTAAAAAACTGAATCATTTTGATGGATAACATTTTAGCTGCGGCTGAGCAGCTCTACAAGTAGTCGTGTCTCCCCGTTGGTTGGTTGGTTAGTAACAATCTTCACAAAATGCCTTTTTTGGCAATCAATCACCTTGTCTCTTAGGCCGTCGCGCAACAACACGTGCTTCAGGTCTCCACTGACCAGAGCTACCAATTTATTGCAGTCGTGGAAAATTGGGTCACGAGGTCACTCATTTCGCATTGGGGCTAGCACTGTACTGCACACAAATTGGGTGTTCAACATGCTATAAAACGCTCCATGCACCAACTTATGTCAACAAAATAATGGGAATCCTTTTCAGTTGACAGTCACGACCGCGTGAGTAGATGTGCATTATAAGAGCAGACTTTTACATCATGTACATGACTTATAGGCTACAGCAGGTCTAGAGTTGGGCCGCAGCTTCCAAGATCATTTCGAGCTTGTTTTTCAACCTTTTCATGTTTTATATTTCTTTTGGATAGGGATATTCGTTCGACGTCAGGAAAACTAAAGCGTGCCGTTCTGCAATTCACTCCTGCAAGGTTTGTAGAAAAATCTACTTGCAATTTTGTGAAACACAAAAATTCACGAATTCCCTTTGCACTGAATTTTGTGTGAAGCATGAACCGACCTTCAGTGTTCATTTGATTTCTGTTTTTCTATTTTGTAGCTGGACCCAGGTGCGTTGGCTCGACCCTCAGTCTTCGTACATGCGAGTCATTGCGGTTTACATCATGATTTTTATTACACAGGTAAGTTTGTATTAAAGCCAAAAGATTTCACTCAGAACATTGTTGATGCGCAAAACTTCAATGTAGGACTTACTAACCCTAACATCTTTCTTGCTGAGAAACTTCCTGAATCCTTCAAACCCTCCACTGTGCAGGAACCCAATGGCACACTCTTTGTACCTACCAAGTTTCGAGTGGCATCAAGCCCCATGTAAAGTAACAGTGGCTGGGCTCTACCTTCCTTAACCCTAACCCACCTCACTCCTCCAAAATCCTCCTGGCGGTTTTGGAGGATTCTAGAGGATTGAGGATGAATGGTGATTGAATCAAATGAGGATTCTGGAGGATTGAGGATGAATGGTTATTGAAGCACATGAGGATTTTGGAGGATTGAGGATGAATGCATTTTGAGGCAGGACTGTCTGATGATTTTGAAGGATTTGGCATTGGTTATCCTTCATTTAAACACGAGTGCAAAGTTTTGGGATGAGGATTTTGGAGGATTGAGGATGAATGCATTTTGAGGCAGGACTGTCTGACAATTTTGAAAAATTTAGGCGGAGTTGAAAAATTTTGGAGGATTTTGGAGGATTGAGGATGGTTGTAAGCAACAAGGGCCTAGGGGGTTAGGGTTAATCCTACAAAATCCTCCACAAAGTAATACAGGTACAAACTTGATTTTAATTTCATTTTTTTTAACTTTGGTTTCAGTTGGTTGAGCTGAACACATTCTTCATGAAGCACATTTTCCTGTTTGCTCCGGACCACCCCCTCTGCATCCTTCGCATTGTCCTCATCTGTCTCATGGTCACGCCGGTTCTCAGGTAACCAATTCTAGATTGCCTCATGTATAGACAAATCTGGCCTAAGCCGTTTTCTGCGGTGGCGCAAGGCTTGCACGAGTCGCGCTCAGGTAGGGCACACGCGCTTCGGGCTCCTTCAACCAATAGGAATATCAAAAGGCGCGCATGCCGGTTTTTAAGAACGCGTGAGCGTGACACCACCGCGGTAAAAAGCTTTGAATTCTGGTCGCCGGATTCCAGAATACTGCAAACCACCGTAGATTGCAGAATTTGTTTCTTTATTTAACCCCAACTCCTAGGCATTTTTGCTAGGATGCAACCTCAATCCTGCAAAATCCTCCAACTGCCTCCATGAAAAAAATTGCATGCAGCTGCAGTCCTCCAAAATCGTACGTTATTTCTTGAATGTGGTCCTTGGAGGGGTGACCACTGCCTCAATCCTGCAAAATCCTCTGGCAATCACTGTCAGCATGTTGAGGCAGAGCCAGTGACATCCTGGAGCAATGCGGAGGATTTTTCAAGTGTAATCTAGGCCTGTATTTATGCATGACCGAGCATAAACAACACAAGGTCTGGCCCAAGACCTTGACACAGTGCATCCTGCAAAATCAGCAGAACATTTTTGCCATGGATATAGCCTCAATCCTGCAAAATCCTCCATTTTTGCAAAGAGAACATTGTTTTCTCGGAATATACAGCATTCACAGTGCTCAAACTTCATCAGGTTAGTTGTTCAGCACCCTTCTTTAGATTTTGAGCACTTTAGTTGCTTCAAACAAAAAAATTCACAAATTACAAATGATGTTCTCTACCTTTTAGCACATTTCCTGAAAAAAATGGGTGTTTATTTTTTGTCTACTTGACTACAGGCAGTATTACTCGTACGTCACAGATCCTGCCTGTAAAAGAGTCGGCACCCAACTTTGGGTTTTTACGTAAGTATTTTTCCCGTGTATTTATTTCTTCCTCATCTTACGCCTTTGTCTTAAATATTCTTCAGCTTTCCGTTATTCCCCAGTTTTATAGAATCGTTACCGAGACAAATACAATTCAGAGAAAGCCTTTGACTGTAATATTATTATTAATTATTATTATTAATCATTTCTGGTAATGAAACCAAGGATTCCTCATAAGCGCCCTAGGCACTGTAGCTCGCAAGCCTGAAGAAACCTGTGGAGAGAAGACAATGAGAAGAAGTTACAGTTTTAGAGGTGGGAGGAAAAGCCCAGGAGAATATTCTGGGGAAAACCCACGGAATCAGGTAGGGACTGAAAACCCAATCCACATATTGGCCCAGGCGGGATTCGAACCTGGGTCACAGCGGTGGAAGACGAGGAAAGTACCGCTACGCCAACCTGACTCCCTTTTTTGTTTCTTGTTGTCTTCCAGGGCGGTGACGATCATCGAGTCCCTAATATGCGTCAAATGCGGCCTGGATTTATTCGCCCAGACCATAATTCGCAACGTTGTGCTTTGGCTTCTAGCACAGGTAAATAATTCTTTGTCCTTCTAAATTGTCTAATGCTCCATGCTAATTTCAATAACATCATTTTGTTTCAGACGGACAAACTTTATATTTAAGTGAATTTTTCTGAGGAACACATTTTGTGCAACTTTCTACTCCTCTTAAAAGTGTTTGAAAAATATTTGACATCCCTTTTTGGTTAATTTTATTGAAAGGTGCACTTCGTTAAACTTTTTTTTTAAATGACCGTGCGTTTCTGGCCAATGAGGGAGCTGTTGCCATTTCAGGAAGACACTGTTCAGTTGAAGGGTTTTCTATTCAAATTGTGTACCCAAAATTTTGCTTATTGAAAATATTTGTGAGAAAAATGTGCTCATTGGCTTACTGCCATGTACCGACACAACAACGAATCACAAAAAAAAATGTACGATAGCAAAAATATCCAAAATTCTGGCAACTTTTGTTGCTGGAATAGCTGTAACATTGAGGTTTCTGCCTGAAATGACATCACACTTTTGCTCATGAATATGTGCTCATTGGCTTACTGCCATGTACCGACACAACAACGAATCACACAAAAAAAAGTATGATAGCAAAAATATCCAAAATTCTGGCAACTTTTGTTGCTGGAATAGCTGTAACATTGAGGTTTCTGCCTGAAATGACATCACACTTTTGCTCATGGATATGAAAATTTTCATTAGCCTTAAAGCCAAAAAGGCCCCAAGATACCCATGAAAATGGCAAACTGATAAGGTTAAATGGGACACAAAGATGCATTTCCAAGGATTACATTTAAAAAAAATGCATTACATGGTCATTTTACAATTTCTATTGACTAGCCTCTGTGGTATCATTCAGAACAATTTCAACAGTCAGTCTTTCTACGTAGTCACGCCTAACTGTTTCAAACGTGTTGTAACATTTTGCGTGTACTTTCTTTGAAAATCGTTGGAATAATTTCATTGGCGTTACTCTCTGGAATGCAAGTCTTAAACAGATATAAATTGCCAATCTTTTACAGATGTTGTTGACTTTGATATGCTTGTACGGCATCGTACTACAAACAAGAAAAGCAGGAAAAGTGGTGAGTTTCTCGTAACTTCCCCCCCCCCCCCCAAAAACGATGATTTGAGTTGATAACATCACATTTTCCCGCGCCCCCATTTTTTTTTGAACATGCGTCTGTTTCTTTGCAGGACATGGACAAATCGCGCTACACCAAAAAGTGGGTGGAGAATTCGTACGTTGAGGAGGTGAACGGGCTTTCGCCCGGCGGGGGGCGAGCGGAACCCCCCTCCCCCCACCGCTACAACACCCGACGCCGCGGCATGGCCGGCGGTGACCCTAACTGAAACCACAACCCCGAAATTGGACCTGAACTATCTGGGGGAAAAATACGAGAACTCGACAGTAGAAGGTGACGAAATGAACTTGTTACTGAATTTTGCGCTTTGACAATTGTGCTTTTCAGTAATTAAGATGTGTGTTCAAAGACGCTACAAGAAAGTTTGTACTGGACAAAGGATTCTCAGAGACACCCTTGTCAAATTTAAGACAATTTTTTTTTTTTTCAAAAAGTGCTGCGTTTAGCAGCAGGAATTTCAATATGGAGAAGTTTTCTATAATATTTTCTCAGTTTATTGTGATGTCGTTGTGAGGCTAGCTGGCTAAGGATTATGGCCACTGACAGTTCTCTGAAAATAATGTACTCAATCGCTTCATGGGCAATTTTTCCTGTTTACAGAGTATTGTGCTAGCTCATGTTGAGTTAACTAATCTGTGCGCAGTAACGGTGCCAGACTTAACATTTTTTTTGGGGGGGGGGCAAAGAAATAAGGGGGGGGGGGGGCTGTGCTGGGGGGACGTATTTATGTACATATAGCCGCGTTTTAGGGCAATTTCCGAGAGTTCCCAGTCTTTAATACATTCAATGTACATTAAAATGAACACCTTTATAATAAGGCCCTTGGGACTACAAATTACCATGTTATAACAGGTACCATGTATTAACAGTAATGAAAAACAAAGAAAAACAAAGTTTCTGGACCAAAAATTACATTGTTCTTTTATCAGGGTTCGACAGTATTGACTTTGCGTCTCTTTTCTTTTTTCCTTTCCTTTTACTTAAATTGTTCCCTTTTTGTCTCTTTTGTTGGAATTTCTCGGGTAAGGAGACAATTGGGGGCAGATGCACCCCTTGACAACCCCCCCCCCCCCCCACACCCTAAATTAAAAGTATTTGGGATGGATGTGGCATTTGTAAGATGGCAATGAAACACAGCTAGTTGTATTTAATGAAGTATAAAATCAATTGTTTAGTGTATATATTTTTGATAATATAACCATGGACGTAATTATATACATGTGGTATCAAGTGAAGTTATGTAGAGAATCAACATAGGATATAAGTACTTGTGCTGCTCTGTCAACTTGAGGAATATGTTTTTTGAGATTATTCCGGTCGTGTTGCTTGGTTGGTTAATTTAAAATAGGGGAACTTGTTCTGCTCTGTGGTATTGAGGAATAAGTTTTAGGATATTACATTTAGAATTGTGTTTCTGTTAAGTTGGTGTCGCGATGTTTCGTCACAAAAAGTAACTATCAGCATTCAGTTGTTTAAAAGTAGGGTATATCATTTGTCATTTGGGCATTTCTTTTTCGTTTGAAGCAACAAAAGTGCTAGAAATCTTAAGACAGGTAGTTAACAACTAACCTGATGAAAATCCACACCCCTGTTTTGGAGGATTTCAGCGGATTCAGGAATTTATGAAAAAGTTGGGGGATGTTGATGGATTTAGGACAATAAGCCAAGCGGTACTGCAGGATTTTGATGGATTCAGGATACCTCCATATTGAGCAGTTTGGGGACTTTGATGGATTCAGGATCTCAACAGTGTAACTCCTTGGCTATATGTTTGGTATGTATGAGGTATATGTACCACACTGGTGTATTCTGATGGATTCTGATGGACTCGGGACACCAAGATAGTTAGCATTACAGAATTGGTGGATTTGGCGGCTTCAAGATACTTTCTAGTAAAAGTGCTCACGGGGTTAGGATAAATGCGCTTCCTGGATATTTTTGGTCTATTTGTATAAGTGAGCTGTGATATTTGAAACTTCTGAAGATTGGTGGTTCGAATCCAGCTTATGCCAATTCTCTCGGCTTTTGATGTAGTGTTGAGGTCTATGTGAAATATTTTGTGAGCCTTAAAATTTAAAGCTTTCTTTGTGTCTTTCAAATAAAATATGACATGAAATAAGATTTAAAAAAAGTAATGGTTTTTTTTTAATTATCAAAGGAAAACAATGTTTCTTAATAAATTTCCTTTCTTATCAGATACATAAACATTGCAGACTGATTTAGTCCCAGTACATTCTGAATTATGCACAGTACTCTAAAGAAGCCTCATTTATGACAAATTTCAGTGTGAAAAGTTATTAAATATCTCATTTATTTCAAAGCAATATTGTTTAACATGAAAATGAAACTTTTTCATTTATCTTCATTATAAAAACTGTGGTAAACAATATAACATTTTTTTTGGCGAAATATCCCTCAACCCACCTGTGTTTGTCCACCCTCTGCAATCTATTTCTAATCAAAGTTTAAACATTTAAAAAATTTACAATCAGGAATTACTTGTTATGTAATTTTTTTCATGTATGTTTTATTCAAAATTATTCCATATCGTATATGTGTGCTTAGTTTGATCAAAACTGAATGTAACATTTTAGTCTGTGGCCATTTCCTTGACAGGTGCTGCATGTTACTGAGAATAAGACAGGATACTAGACCAATGCCCGTAAACGTTATAAGAATAAAGATAGTGCCATTTGACTATGAAACTCTTTTCAAAATGAATGTCCAATTTCTAGAAAATTGTGGCCTTTTTTGTATATTATGTATATTAGCGTGCTGGGGTAATACAAATATTTCAAGGAGACACATCTTCAAATTGGTTAAGAGTCATGGAATAAAAAAAATGTTTTTGATTTTTATGTACAATTAATTTTTTTCGTTAAAAGCTTAGAAATTGTTGTCATAAAATATTGTTCATTTCTTTTTGAAGGGGGGGGGGGGAGGGAGAGCTTATTATCAATTTTATTTTGTTCACTACCCACCTTGAAAAGTGGAGAATAATGTTTTCATATAAAAGACCAATCCTCTTTGTTAACACCACTTTGGAACAATAACAAAAAAAGTTATGTGATTATGAGTATGAAATGATTGAAGATAAATTATTTTGAAATATATGTATTATTGTAGATGTGAATAAATCATTTGAAATGATAAACAATTTGAAATGGTAAACAATTTTGTAAATAACTTCACATCCAAACTGGAAAGTTGATGAAAATTTGAAATTGAAGTTCTTGGGTGATTAAAATCTATAGTTTTTCATTCGATGATGATGCTAAAACATGGATACAATTTGAAGTTTGAGAAATACTCGTTCAAATAATGATATGAAATGAAATAGAAAGGGTGAGTATCTATTGAGAGGGAAATTAAGGGGTAAGCCTTGCATTTTTATCTAAATTGGGCAAAATTTGGCTTTTGCTGGGAATTCACAAACGTAAGGGGTTAGCCTTGCATTTTTATCAAAATTGATCAAAATTTGACATTTTCTGGAAATTCACGAATGTAAGGGGTTAGCCTTGCATTTTTATCATAATTGGGTAAAATTTGACTTTTTCTGGAAAATCAAAAAGGTAAGGGGTTAGCCTTACATTTTTATCGAAATTGATCAAAATTTGACATTTTCTGGAAATTCACAAATGTAAGGGGTTAGCCTTGCATTTTTATCAAAATTGTATAAAATTTGACTTTTTCTGGAAAATCAAAAAGGTAAGGGGTTAGCCTTGCATTTTTATCGAAATTGATCAAAATTTGACATTTTCTGGAAATTCACAAATGTAAGGGGTTAGCCTTGCATTTTTATCAAAATCGGGCAAAATTTGACTTTTGCTGGGAATTCACAAACGTAAGGGGTTAGCCTTGCATTTTTATCAAAATTGGGCAAAATTTGACATTTTCTCGAAATTCACGAATGTAAGGGGTTAGCCTTGCATTTTTATCAAAATTTGGCAAAATTTGACTTTTTCTCGAAATCCACGGATGTAAGGGGTTAGCCTTGCATTTTTATCAAAATTGGGCAAAATTAAACCTTTTCTAGCAAATCAAAAAGGTAAGGGGTTAGCCTTACATTTTTATCACAATTGGGTAAAATTTGACTTTTGCAGGAAAATCAAAAAGGTAAGCCTTACATTTTTATCGAAATTGATCAAAATTTGACATTTTCTGGAAATTCACAAATGTAAGGGGATAGCCTTGCATTTTTATCAAAATTGTGTAAAATTTGACTTTTTCTGGAAAATCAAAAAGGTAAGGGGTTAGCCTTGCATTTTTATCGAAATTGATCAAAATTTGACATTTTCTGGAAATTCACAAATGTAAGGGGTTAGCCTTGCATTTTTATCAAAATTGGGCAAAATTGGACTTTTTCTGGAAAATCAAAAAGGTAAGGGGTTAGCCTTGCATTTTTATCAAAATTGATCAAAATTTGACATTTTCTGGAAATTCACAAATGTAAGGGGTTAGCCTTGCATTTTTATCAAAATTGGGCAAAATTGGACTTTTTCTAGAAAATCAAAAAGGTAAGGGGTTAGCCTTGCATTTTTATCAAAATTGGGTAAAATTTGACTTTTTCTGGAAAATCAAAAAGGTAAGGGGTTAGCCTTGCATTTTTATCAATATTGATCAAAATTTGACATTTTCTGGAAATTCACGAATGTAAGGGGTTAGCCTTGCATTTTTATCAAAATTGGGCAAAATTTGACTTTTTCTGGAAATCCACGAATGTAAGGGGTTAGCCTTGCATTTTTATCAAAATTGGGCAAAATTAAACTTTTTCTAGAAAATCAAAAAGGTAAGGTGTAATAAGCCTTGCATTTTTATCAAAATTGATCAAAATAGGACATTTTCTGGAAATTCACAAATGTAAGGGGTTAGCCTTACATTTTTATCGAAATTGATCAAAATTTGACATTTTCTGGAAATTCACAAATGTAAGGGGTTAGCCTTGCATTTTTATCAAAATTGGGCAAAATTGGACTTTTTCTAGAAAATCAAAAAGGTAAGGGGTTAGCCTTGCATTTTTATCAATATTGATCAAAATTTGACTTTTTATGGAAAATCAAAAAGATAAGGGGTTAGCCTTGCATTTTTATCAATATTGATCAAAATTTGACATTTTCTGGAAATTCACGAATGTAAGGGGTTAGCCTTGCATTTTTATCAAAATTGGGCAAAATTTGACTTTTTCTGGAAATTCACGAATGTAAGGGGTTAGCCTTACATTTTTATCACAATTGGGTAAAATTTGACTTTTTCTGGAAAATCAAAAAGGTAAGGGGTTAGCCTTACATTTTTATCGAAATTGATCAAAATTTGACATTTTCTGGAAATTCACAAATGTAAGGGGTTAGCCTTGCATTTTTATCAAAATTTGGCAAAATTTGACTTTTTCTAGAAAATCAAAAAGGTAAGGGGTTAGCCTTGCATTTTTATCAATATTGACCAAAATTTGACATTTTCTGGAAATTCACGAATGTAAGGGGTTAGCCTTGCATTTTTATCAAAATTGGGCAAAATTTGACTTTTTCTGGAAATTCACGAATGTAAGTGGTTAGCCTTGCATTTTTATCAAAATTGGGCAAAATTTGACTTTTTCTAGAAAATCAAAAAGGTAAGGGGTTAGCCTTGCATTTTTATCAAAATTTAGCAAAATTTGACTTTTTCTGGAAATTCACGAATGTAAGGGGTTAGCCTTACATTTTTATCGAAATTGATCAAAATTTGACATTTTCTGGAAATTCACAAATGTAAGGTGTTAGCCTTGCATTTTTATCAAAATTGTGTAAAATTTGACTTTTTCTGGAAAATCAAAAAAGGTAAGGGGTTAATTAGCCTTGCATTTTTATCGAAATTGATCAAAATTTGACATTTTCTGGAAATTCACAAATGTAAGGGGTTAGCCTTGCATTTTTATCAAAATTGGGCAAAATTTGACTTTTTCTGGAAAATCAAAAAGGTAAGGGGTTATCCTTACATTTTTATCGAAATTGATCAAAATTTGACATTTTCTGGAAATTCACAAATGTAAGGGGTTAGCCTTGCATTTTTATCAAAATTGGGCAAAATTTGACTTTTTCTAGAAAATCAAAAAGGTAAGGGGTTAGCCTTGCATTTTTATCAATATTGACCAAAATTTGACATTTTCTGGAAATTCACGAATGTAAGGGGTTAGACTTGCATTTTTATCAAAATTGGGCAAAATTTGACTTTTTCTGGAAATTCACAAATGTAAGGTGTTAGCCTTGCATTCTTATCAAAATTGTGTAAAATTTGACTTTTTCTGGAAAATCAAAAAAGGTAAGGGGTTAATTAGCCTTGCATTTTTATCGAAATTGATCAAGATTTGACATTTTCTGGAAATTCACAAATGTAAGGGGTTAGCCTTGCATTGTTATCAAAATTGGGCAAAATTTGACTTTTTCTGGAAAATCAAAAAGGTAAGGGGTTATCCTTACATTTTTATCGAAATTGATCAAAATTTGACATTTTCTGGAAATTCACAAATGTAAGGGGTTAGCCTTGCATTTTTATCAAAATTGGGCAAAATTTGACTTTTTCTAGAAAATCAAAAAGGTAAGGGGTTAGCCTTGCATTTTTATCAATATTGACCAAAATTTGACATTTTCTGGAAATTCACGAATGTAAGGGGTTAGACTTGCATTTTTATCAAAATTGGGCAAAATTTGACTTTTTCTGGAAATTCACGAATGTAAGGGGTTAGCCTTGCATTTTTATCAAAATTGGGCAAAATTTGACTTTTTCTAGAAAATCAAAAAGGTAAGGGGTTAGCCTTGCATTTTTATCAAAATTTGGCAAAATTTGACTTTTTCTGGAAATTTACGAATGTAAGGTGTTAGCCTTGCATTTTTATCAAAATTGTGTAAAATTTGACTTTTTCTGGAAAATCAAAAAGGTAAGGGGTTAGCCTTACATTTTTATCGAAATTGATCAAAATTTGACATTTTCTGGAAATTCACAAATGTAAGGGGTTAGCCTTGCATTTTTATCAAAATTGGGCAAAATTTGACTTTTTCTAGAAAATCAAAAAGGTAAGGGGTTAGCCTTGCATTTTTATCAATATTGACCAAAATTTGACATTTTCTGGAAATTCACGAATGTAAGGGGTTAGCCTTGCATTTTTATCAAAATTGGGCAAAATTTGACTTTTTCTAGAAAATCAAAAAGGTAAGGGGTTAGCCTTGCATTTTTATCAAAATTGGGCAAAATTTGACTTTTTCTAGAAAATCAAAAAGGTAAGGGGTTAGCCTTGCATTTTTATCAATATTGACCAAAATTTGACATTTTCTGGAAATTCACAAATGTAAGGGGTTAGCCTTGCATTTTTATCAAAATTGGGCAAAATTTGACTTTTTCTAGAAAATCAAAAAGGTAAGGGGTTAGCCTTGCATTTTTATCAAAATTGGGCAAAATTTGACTTTTTCTGGAAATTCACGAATGTAAGGGGTTAGCCTTGCATTTTTATCAAAATTGGGCAAAATTTGACTTTTTCTAGAAAATCAAAAAGGTAAGGGGTTAGCCTTGCATTTTTATCAAAATTTGGCAAAATTTGACTTTTTCTGGAAATTCACGAATGTAAGGGGTTAGCCTTACATTTTTATCGAAATTGATCAAAATTTGACATTTTCTGGAAATTCACAAATGTAAGGTGTTAGCCTTGCATTTTTATCAAAATTGTGTAAAATTTTGACTTTTTCTGGAAAATCAAAAAGGTAAGGGGTTAGCCTTGCATTTTTATCGAAATTGATCAAAATTTGACATTTTCTGGAAATTCACAAATGTAAGGGGTTAGCCTTGCATTTTTATCAAAATTGGGCAAAATTGGACTTTTTCTGGAAAATCAAAAAGGTAAGGGGTTAGCCTTGCATTTTTATCAAAATTGGGCAAAATTTGACTTTTTCTAGAAAATCAAAAAGGTAAGGGGTTAGCCTTGTATTTTTATCAAAATTGTGTAAAATTTGACTTTTTCTGGAAAATCAAAAAGGTAAGGGGTTAATTAGCCTTGCATTTTTATCGAAATTGATCAAAATTGGACTTTTTCTAGAAAATCAAAAAGGTAAGGGGTTAGCCTTGCATTTTTATCAAAATTGGGCAAAATTTAACTTTTTCTAGAAAATCAAAAAGATAAGGGGTTAGCCTTGCATTTTTATCAAAATTGCGAAAAATTTGACTTTTTCTGAAAATTCACAAATGTAAGGGGTTAGCCTTGCATTTTTATCAAAATTGGGCAAAAATTTGACTTTTTCTGGAAAATCAAAAAGGTAAGGGGTTAGCCTTGCATTTTTATCAAAATCGAGCAAAAACTGACTTTTGCTGGAAATTCACAAATGTAAGGTGTTACCCTTGCATTTTTATCAAAATTGGGCAAAATTTGTTTTTTTCTAGAAAATCAAAAAGGTAAGGGGTTATCCTTGCATTTTTATCAAAATTGAGCAAAATTTGACTTTTTCACACTTCCTATAAGTGAAACCCTTATAGAATCGCCGCAGGCAGAAAGAAGCGCAAACTGACATGCGCGCCGACTTAGTAATACAACGAAAATTGGACCTCCGGATTCGGAGTAACTGAGTTATAATGAAGCCACCGATACTAAGGAATTAAAAGTCGACTTTTGAACATAATATATTTAAACTTGGAGGGAAAAATTAATGTTTGGGGCGATATCGGGCCGAAGTCAAATTTACGAATTACAGTAGAGGTGTGAATTTTTTCAACAATCGGGGCAATGAACAAACTCCTGAAATTTTCCAGACGTCATAGTAATGTCTCCAAGAATACAACCAGAGAAAATGTTTCTCGTAATCCAAGCTGGTTAGCAGGTTTATTTCAAGAAAATGAGTACAAAAATAACTTGTACAAATTACAAATTTAGGCAAAAATTGCAGTACAGGGAAAGTGGAAATGGCATGCCAAGGACAAAATAAATTTGTTTCTTAGGAACAATTACTTGCATTTTACATAGATCTTTACTACTTTTACATGAACTTAAGTACAGTAAATTAAACTCTACATTGGTATTTCTAAATTTCTCATTTTCCAAATTGAGGAATCCTAAATTGTTGGTAACTAGACAAATGGGGAAAAATACATATAAAAAAGTGTTCAAAAAAAGGGAATATGGCAAAGTTCCTTTACCCAAATATTACACGTCTGAAATATTACAATAATAACTTTTGACTTACAAATTTAACTTTGTGAATGAAAAATAGAAGAAAGATTAAAGAAAAAATACCTTGTACCAATACAAATAATAACAGACGACAAATATGGAAAATATATTTAAAACAAAAAAAGGGCTTCAAAATGTACAGAAATTCTCAAAAAAAAAAAAAACCTGCTTTTTCGTTGAGGATTTTGGAGATATACTTTTTGTTTATCTATTGGAAAACCCTGTAAAATAACGATGTTAATGTGCGCATTCTTTAAACACCACGTTTAGATGCCCTCAAGTAAACACTATGTTGAAATGTACGTAAGAACTTGTAAATGCAACAAAATGTGGTGTAAATTATTTTCAATAAATTTCAGCGAAATTTTCTTCTTGGTGTATGAGTCCTAACCACCTCCAATTCCAACAAAATCCTACAAATGATTTGACTGTGTTTAATAGATTCAGCACTTACTATTGTTTTTTTAGGTTACCTGACACTAAAATGGAAAAAAGTATTTTCCTTAACAAAACCACTCTAGGGTCATGTTTTTTTGAGAGAATAAAAAATTTAATTTGTTTACAAAGCACAAACAGTATATTTTTAATGGAGATGTACAGCAAAAGAAACTGGTGACCTAACCTCCCCAGTGACAAATCTTCGGCAGGGCAACTGTCGGCAGTTGCTAGTGGCCATGTGTCTTGAGTTGTTTAAGCAAATAAGGATCAGGATTTTTTCCGGTGGTCTCTACGGAATTGCGGGCTGGCCGGCCGCGATAGCATTTTCGATCCCGCACTCATCCTTACCGCGCAGAATCTTGAAGAAGCCTTTGATGGAAAAAGAAGACAAGATAAACGTTAACATCAACTTTGCGTTGCCCTTAATTTTTCAAGCCTCACTCCAAATTTGTTTTTCTTTTTCAAATTAATTACTATATTTTTCTAGCAATATTAAGTTATTTGCTTTTGAATGAGACATCAAATGAACAATCTGCCGATGAAATACTCGTTCCATAACTAAATGTCTAAGGTGGTTGAAGGTCCATAACTTGCAGAAAATTGTTCAAATAAAGACTTCTCCAACCAAATTTCTACTACGTAAAGCATATAGTCCACAATCTATTTCTCGTTGGTCGCACGACTTTGTCGATCATACATTTCATGAAATCCCCCGAAACTCCGTCACAAATTCTTACTTTTGTCGCCCCACATTTCTACTAGGTAAAACATTTTGTCCACTCTCCGTTTTGTGTTCGTTGTATCACTTTGTCTATTGTTGCATTTCCCAACCCCTCCCGGAACCCCTCCCACTAACTCCGCCCCCAATTCTTACCCTTGTCGCCCCAATCGCTGTTCCAGGAGTTGGCAACGAGCCAATAGTCGACGCCATTCTCCACTCCCCATCCGAGAATTTTCACCGCGTGCCCTCCGAGAAGTTCACCGGTTTCATGCTTGTAAACACCTAGGGACAAAAACACAAAACCAATTTGTCACACGTTTGAGGCATGAGATGGTCAACGATTTTACTAAAAACAATTTTGGGTGCTTATGTAGCACTTCATACCAAAGTCTCAAAGCGCTGTAAAGTTATTTCCCCCGTTCATCAAGGCTATGAAACCAATTATCTGCAGCAGCTCAAGATCAGTGCAATCTGGTCGCCATACCCTCACAGGTACCCACTTATACTCCCGGGTGGAGAGAAGCACTTGTTGAAAAATGTCTTGCCCAAGAACACAAGCACCATATAATGTGGTCTCTACCCTCATATGTACCCATTTTTACTCCTGGGTGGAGAGAGGCAATTGTGGTAAAGTGTCTTGCCCAAGAACACAAGCACCATATAATCTGTTCTCAACCCTCATATATGTACCTATTTACACAGGTACCCATTTTTACTCCTGGTTGGAGAGAGGCAGTTGTAGTAAAGTGTCTTGCCCAAGAACACAAGCACCATATAATTTGGTCTCAATCCTCATAAATACCAATTTGTACTCCTGGGTGGAGAGATGCACTTGTAGTAAAGTGTCTTGCCCAAGAACACAAGCACCGGTACTACATAATCTGGTCTCTACCCTCACAGGTACCCATTATTTCAACTCATTAGTCAGGTTGGTGGAGAGAGGCAATTGTAGTAAAGGGTCTTGCCCAAGACCACAAGCACCATATAATCTGGTCTCTACCATCACAGGTACCGATTTAACTTCCTAGTAGAGGCAATTGTAGTAAAGTGTCTTGCCCAAGACCACAAGCACCATATCTGGTTTCAACCCTCACAGGTACATATTTATCCTCCTTTGGTGGACAGAAGCACTTGCAGGAAAGTGTCTTGCCCAAGAACACAAGCAATATGTCCCAGTCAGGGTTCAAACCCATGTACAGTCGACTCTCGTTAGTACAAAAACTGTTCATACAAAATTCTGGTTATAGCAAACATAAAGCCTTGGTCCTGACTGTTCAGTGATGTGCAAAATGAATGGGACCAGCACGCCTCTTAATACAAAATTCCGATATAACAAACTTTTTAGCTTGGTCCGGCCGAGTTTGTATTAACAAGAGTCGACTGTTCTGTCCCACATGAGTGGTAACCATTAGACCACGGCGCTTACCGGATTTATAGGACGGAAAGTCGGCGTAGACACTGAATGCCGCTTCGACGGATCCAAAGGTCATAATCTCGGCTTGGATCTCGGTCACATTGTTGGGGATCGAGTACGAGTTCCTTCCTGTTGTCAGAAGAACAAACAGAGCAAGAAAAAAATGAATAGACTAGACGAGCTTATTATTTTGACAGATTGTGATGACAAAAACAGTTTTTGACTGAGGGAGTGGGGGTGGGACAAATGGGCGATATAAACTCTCAGGAGTTACTGTTTTGCAAACGAACTGAACTGTTCTGAGGTTGAGCAAGGATATTCTTCTGGTGAGCTGGACAAGTTTCTCCAAAGCTTTTATACAACATCACACTTTTGCTCATGCATACGGAGACGCAAAGGTGCATCTTCTACGACGGCATTAGGCCCTTTAAAGTCTAAAGGAGTCAAAGAAAATGCAACAATTTTTAAAATCAACCACCCATGTACCGTAATGTAAGTCGTCTGGGTAAGATGTCTTGTAGCCTGGTATGCACGTCTTGGAACACGACGGCGTTGGGTCGTCCCCTTTGCAAGGTTTGAGTTTCCCGACGACGTGGTGGTCGCAGGCTGGTATCTTGTACGGCTGGCAACCTTGCGAGCTGTTGTACTGGCCGCCCGTGACGATGCCGGTTTTACGGAAATATTCCCAAGCTGCACCGGGATAGCCACCATTGCATCTGTTGTGATGACGAATAAAGAGACCAACATTGTTGCTGTAAAACTTTGACTTTGAAATTTATTGCATTAATACATGGACAGAAATAAAACAAGAAACAATCTGAGGGTCAGGGGTTCGAAGCCAGCTGCTGGCTGTGTTGTTATCTGTTTTACACATTGGAGTCACATTTTAACTAAGAAAACTCTTATTTATTAGTGTCACCGTGCAACTATAGCTGTCTGCCAGTTGTGTGTATTGAATGCACTAGGTTGTTTCATCACCGACACCACGAACTGACACTCTGGTAAAACCGCGTACTTTTTTTTGCCCAACAACTCATTATTATTTAAAGGGAATAAATGTGTGCTTGGCTGGTTTTTAACATTATGTTTGAGACCGGTTTGGAGTCTGGACGCTGATTATGACCAAAGCCGAATAAATGCCTTTTGGTCACACAGTCGAAGTAAGTCAAAAATTATAAATTTCCAATGATTTTGTTCAACACGTTTACTTCATGTTTTTTTTTTAAATACACCTCTAGCTATGTTATGGTATGTGCCACTAGCGACCAGTCGTAAACAACTCCTTACATGGAGATTGGTGTGCACGCGATGCGCGTACTGCCCAATGTGGCGCAGAACGCAGCTGTGCCAGTGAAGTGAATTTAGGACTATGAAATATGGACTCTTTGGTAGTATTGCACATGCCTAACTAAGGATTGTGAAAGTTCAAACAAGAAAATGGTTAAAAGGACCAGATTCATAGGAGTCCAAATTTCATGGACACAGGAAAAGTGTTTAAAAGACCAGCCAGCCGGTGTTATTTATCAACCGTTTCAGACCGGCCATGTGACAGGCTCTTGACCAATAGGAATGGGTAAACTGGCTATTTATGAATATCATGCATTCAAAAGTAGTCTTTTTCCATTGTGATTTTTGTTCTTACCCGTCACCACAAGATTCGCAGCAGGTCGCGAGATTCTCGGCCGATATATGATAATGCAGTCCCAGCATAATGCATAGACGATCGGTCATTGCCTCCACAGCTCCAAAAGCCTGAATAAAGAAACGTTGCAATATTTAAAATCTGACACACCCATTGGTCTATTACTGTAATAATGTAAACGAACTAGCATCAATTGGTGAGTGTAATAAAGTCTGAAAAACATAGGAGAAACATTCAAGGAACATCGTTCCTCTCTATAGACCCTTTCATAAAATTGGTCACTGCTCAGTCAACCGTGAATGTAATGACATGATCAGGGTGTCATTTTAAAGAGGAGATTCAACCCTAACAGAGGATATCTCCCTTTGATTCACATGTGCCCTACTTCTGTTCCAATTAGCAATAATATCTCGGTCTCGTTTTTTTTTTATCCACCCTGTATAGTCTGAGAAAGGCCAGTGATGTGTGGGTGTCAATTTGACCTCTGACATGAGGTAAACTCATTTGAATATCACGTTTAGTTTTTTTTGTTTTGATCTACCCTGTATATCTGAGTGAAAGATATTAAGGCTATGTTCAGACTATGGGTATTTTTGAAATGTTGGTTTGAACTCCAGATTCGGCTTCAGGATACTGTTAGGCCCCTGGTTTGGGAAACACTGGCCCAATATGCGTCATATGCTCAGGCTTCTTTATGACTGTAGAGCTAGAAATGTAACCAATGCTGGAGTCACGGCCAAAATTTTGCAAACTCCTTCTGACATTACCCAGCAGGAGCCACAGGCGCCTTGGTCACGAATCTCATTCAGGCTCGGGCAGCCGGTCCATTTGTCGCGGCAGTCAAAGCTGTCCGGAATGCCCGCCCCGCCCAATTCGTGCGTCTTCGGCGGGAGTTGGAATTCCTTCGGGGTTGGCTTGAGAACTCCCATAAGTCTCTTCACATCCTGTCGAGAGTAGCCGGCAAAGTTCGGCCCAGCCTTGACAGTGGAAACAAAAGAAGATCAACAGGTAAAAAATAAGCAAAGTGAATCAGGATTTGAACGCGACACCTGTAATAAAATTACAGTTGGAAAATAACGTAATACATTGAAAATCAGAAAAAAGTTTTCAAGTTATTATTTTTTTTAAACAAAATATAAATGATACAAAACTTTGTCCACACAAAAAATATCAAATTCGTTGAAGACCATGTTCGGTATTTAATTATGACCAATTTGACACTTGCCTTCCAAGTTGTTTCAATTGAGTTGACGTAGTCCGCCTCGAACATGAAGGGGTCGAGGGTCACAGGCCCAGTTTTAACAACCGCAGCATGACATAAAGCCATGAGGCACGCAAGAAGCACAAAACACTGCATTCTGAAACTGAAAAAAAAGAAGCCTTATTTGTAATAAGAATCTTTCTACAACTGTAAAAAGCAGTAGTCAAGTTCATATACACTTCAAGTCACAAGCTTTTCAAATGTGACAATTAATGGCATTCCGGGAATTGGAAAGAAGGTTGCAAGTTTTGCAACCTGACGCCACCTCAGCGGTTGTGTATTTTACGAAGTCTATGGAGAGTCAAGAAAAAAGTATTTCCTAACAAAATTGGAAATGTTTCTCAGTCCCAGATTCATGTCTTATCATCACTTTTGCAATGAATTGCCTTCATTGAGATGATACATGAAGAAAATAGTGACGTCGGGTTGCAACATTCTTTCAATTTGTTATTCTGACTGGACTTTTGAAAGGGCTTGTGATTTACATTTGACCAGATTTGTGGAGGACTTGCAATACTCGACTCCATAAATGCTCCACTACACAATGAAACGAGTCATATAGTCATACTGATTTAGTAGTTTTAGGATGAAAACAGATAGGGGCCCGTAACTACACAATCGCCAAAACTCATGAATTATCCTTGAGTGTAGCATTTTATGTTTTTCCACGGGGTCCGCTCGTAAGTCCGACGCCTCATCAGTCCGACAAAATCGCATCCCCTAACCAAATAAAGGCCCATAAGTCCGACACCTCATAAGTCCGACGCCTCATAGTCATACCTCTGATGCCTTGTAGGTCCGACAAATTAAACGCCTCGATTTTCCGACGTCGGCCTTATGAGGAGTCGGACCTATGAGGCGGAATATACATTTTATGCCTCTTAAGTCCGACGCCTCATAAGTTCGAAATTTCGGACTTATGAGGCGTCGGAGTATGAGGCGTCGGACTTATGATACGGCCCCTTTTCCAAGACTGGTTAACTGGTTAAATAGACAACTTTACTCTCTGTAGAAAAAAACCCGAAACAATCCACAAAAACAAACATGGCAAACTGACATAGGCCTAGTAAAAAACGCAAAACGATGGCAGTTTAAGAATTTTTTGGGGACAGTTTGATTAATTTGTTGAAATTTCATGTTGAAATTTTGATACGCAAACGTACATGTAAGTGTGCAAATGAATCTGGAAATTTCACGAAAAATAGACATCTGAAAAAGGCAGCACTTTCTGTAAACAAAAGAGGATGAGTTTGTTTCTAAAGCAAAAATAAACTAAAATAAAAACAGCCTAAATGTGAAAATCAAAACAAACAAAACAAAACAGGGGCCCTACACTACACAATCGCCTTAATTATATAGTGACTGTGAGGCATACACACAGTATTGAGTCTCAAAATTTTTGACTAGTGAGTCACATAACGAACAGTAACAACATGAACAAAGACAACTGAACAGTGTGTTTTTTTGGCGAAAGGAACTTTGCGAAGATCATGACGTGGTATTCACATTGTCCCGTTTTGTTTGAGTTTTGTATAAATTCAGTTTGAAGGATATATCATCGTAATTCAGTAACTTCAATTCAAGCCAGTAACGAAGACTGTACTCACCCGTCAAAAAGTTGGAATTCTTTGAGGAAAACCGACTGAGGATGCCTGCGCGAAGTTCCTTGTCACGCGTATGTCAAAATGTCATGTGATGTTGATCAAAATCGTCACATGACAATGCATGACGTGCAAAACACGGTTTACACTACGGCTGTTACCTGACAATGAAAGTGCTGCAATGTCGCACTGGCGGCTGTTACCTGTTTTGTAGATCGCTTGATAATATTTCTTACAGAAAAAAAATCACATTTCTATACGTACCTCTTGTCCAGATTTTTACCATTACTTACAAATGCCAGGCTCCTCCTTAAAAAGGAGTGGTTGGTTGAAAGAAACGCCAAAAATTGCCATTACCCTACCCCTCTGCCCCCCCCCCTAACAAAATCAATACCCACAAAAGTGTTGCAAGTTTAGTGAAAAGATTTTTGCATCCTCACACCACTTTTTTTTTTAATTGTATATCATCTCAATGGAGGTCAGTCATTGCAAAAATGTTGAAAAAACATGAATCTGGGACTGAGAAACATTTCCAATTTTGTTTTAAAAATGTTCTTGACTCTACAAAGACTTAAATTTGTACACAACCACTGAAGTACGTGGCGTCTGAATACTACATTCTTTCCTGTTCAGTTTTCCTTCCGTGGCTGTTAATAATTTGTTTATCTCCAAATAATTAACTCTTCAACTTGTGTGCTTTTTGTAAGCTAGGTTGTTTTTACGCTCTTGGTAGACGACTTTTTAAAAAAAAATCCCCATTCCATAGATTCGTGAAATTAAGAGAAACACAAAAACTGGGACACAGAGAGCACACACAGTCGTAAATTTCCATACGCCAGAGGACAATGGTTTGTTTTCCCTTTGTCCCTGTAATAACACTCTCCCATAGACTAAGCACATAACCGTACAATCGAGGACCGTTTTCAACAAAAGACCCAACGTTCGAGGACTAAAAGGATCTTTTGTTCTCCCTTTGTGTGTCTGTCCTCTATCATAAAGCCAATCATGTACAAAAATACAAGCATGGATGTGTTTTAATGCAGTTTTTATTTACACAACACTGTAAGAAAAAAGAAGACGACTTCTTGATGTTTCAATTATGATCATTCAATTCAAAGAAATTTGAGAATTATCAAGGGAGTTGTACAACACTGAAATAAAAAAATACTATGAACAAGCTACGTGATATGGGATATCTGCTAAAAAACAAATTGCTGTGGGTTAGGTTTTCCCCAACTTAATAGACCCTGTGCATCAGAGGGTAGGTACATGTTCCTCTTTGAAACGCGGCATAGGTGGACATACTGTACAGTCACTGGCAGTGAATTTAAATGACATAATTGCCCTCTGTGAGGGCAAATCTTGCAAGGTGTCTACACTCACTGGGCATTTCGTTCCATACCATACTGCCAACTTATATTAGGCCCGTCTTAATTCATATTCGGGCAAGTTCCAGAAACAAAAGTTGCAGATATTTGTATCAGGTATAATAAGTTGAAGGATTCTGAACAACTTCCCGGCAATTTTCACGCAGCGAGGTTATAAGTGTTGGTGAGTCAAGCAATTGCTGATGAAAACTTCCCTGGATCATGTCTGGGACAAATGCGGAGCCTTTGGGGGGCTAGTGTGTAAGCGCTCCCCTCTCACCACTGTGGCCCGGGTTCGATTCCCGGCTCGGACCATATGTGAGTAGAGTTGTGCATTGATTCTCTCCTGTGCCATGAGGGTTTTTCTCCGGTCTCTCCAGTTTTCCTCCCTTTGCAAAAATCAAACACTTTCGATCTCTGTCTGTGCTCTGTGGTCTTACATTAGTCGTATGGCGGCTGCCAAAAGCGCCTTTACATGCCTGCGGCTCGACCACGTTGTAGCCGTGTCCTTCGCAATTCAGCTTCTCAGCTGCAAGTAAGGATGATTAGCCCCCAAATTATTATTAATTATTATTCCTCCGGACAAAATGAATGAGTCTACCTGCAACTTGTCCGGAATTCGTCCCAGCTATGAATTAAGACGGGAATTCAATGAAAAGTAAAAAGTCTGAATCAAAAATAGTGTTGGATTATGAATACATAATTAGTTAACTTTTTGCAGTTAATTAAATTCTGACATTTTGTTAGCACCTAAACTAGTCAACTACATATACAGCTTAATTCACCAAACGAAGTGTAGACAAATCGGGTCGACATTAGAGGCACATGTACACAATCAATGTGGACGACACTAGACACGATCTGAAATTCTTCATGATTGCATAAATAGCCAATATATATTGAAAGTCTTGAAAATATATTTGAAAATGAATAAAACCTCTGCAAACTACCACATGGCTTTACCTGAAATATACAAATAAAAAAAAAATAGGCGGGACTAATGTTTCCTCCTGACAAGGCCCTTTTCTTTTTTGCCAGGACCAAACAGTAGGCATGCTAATAAGATGTTTGAAAATATTCTTGAATATAATAAGGGAATAAATGTGTGCTCCGGAGGTTTTTATCACTCGTTTAATACCGCTTAGAGTCTGGGTGCTGATAATTACCCGAGCCGGAGGCGAGGGTAATTATCAGCACCCAGACTCTAAGCGGTATTAAACGAGTGATAAATACCGACCGAGCACATATTTATTCCCATTCATAAATACCTTATCCGTAAAAATTTTTCAAATAATTCGTTCAAAAAATCCCGATTTTGTTCAACAAGTTCACTTCATGCTTTTTGAAACATCCCTCTAGCAAAATAATGGAGTGTTCAGCTGGCGAGTAAGATGTAAACAACCCTTTTATGGAGATTGACGCGCGCGTAACATGTTCTGCGCGATGTCACGCAGAACGCACCTGGGGCGTTGCGTTTTGAATTTAGAACTGTAAACTTCTGACTCGCTTGTTGTGTTGCGCATGCCTACGTGAGGATTGTGAACGTTCAACCAATGAAACGGTAAGAGGCACTGGATTTTTAGGAGTCCACATTTTATTGTGACACTGGAAAAGTGTTTAAGACCAGCTAGCCATGTCTTTATCATCCGTTTAATACCGGCCACGTGACGGGCTCTCGACCAATAGGAATAGCTAAACTGTCTGAGGTATTTATGAATTTAGATTTAAGGTGCAAAGTTGCGTATTGAAACTGTATAAGAAGGTAAAGATATATTAATAACCCTAATCCTCTAAATCACTTCAGTATTTGAACAAAGTGACTCCCCCGGTTTTTTTTGTTTTGTACAGCCCTCCAATATTTTTTGCTGTACTGTGGGGCGAACCACTGTACACTCCAAGAACTGCCAAAGAGTATTGACAGAAAGCTTGGCCATGCTGTGAGGAAACTCTTGGGTCAGCAATAAACACTGAGACCAAAGTAAACAGGTCTGTCAAGTCTGTGGAAAAATCACTTGGCTGGTGAGTCAAAGAATCCTCCAATGCACTCCCGCTGAAGTGCATTGGCATGCACAACTGACTTGCAATAAACTACACCAAACGTACAAGGGCTAAACAAAGAAACGAAGTGTTATGGTTTATAGGACATCGCAAGGCTCATGAAATCTTCGTAGTTGATCTGGATTTTGCCGTTTAGGTTGGTGTCTCGTTGCTTGAAGGCGTCCGTCAGCGAGCGCAGCAGCACGCAGATCTGGATGAAGTCGTCAAACTTGATCGAGCGCCGGGACTGCCGATCGTACCGGATGATGATAGACTGGACGAAGGGCATGGTGACTCGGAAACCCATCTCGTTCAACGCTGCACAAAATAAACAAACGGTTATGAATCAAAACAGTTGAGAATTTGTTTGCTTCTCCCTACCCATGAGTAAACTGAGTACATGTTAGGGAAGAGATGGTTATTGTGGTTGATTTTAGCTGCTTTGCGTCAAAATGGCAAAAGCTGTATACTCCCCAGGGAGCTGAGATGGTATTTGGAATGTTTCATTGCCCCAATAAGCAGGGTAATAATAATAATAATAATAACGGAGTCTTATATAGCGCACGTATCTACCAACAATTAGGTACTCAAGGCGCTGGAAATTATGTCTATTATTAAAGAAAGGTAAATAAAGTATATGAGAAATATGAGACCCATTATGTAGCACCTTATAAGGGTTAAAAAGGTGCTGCGGCGCATATTGCAGCCACTGCCAGAAACACAGGGGCAAACCCCTTCTCTAATAGCGTTAAGTGTTACTGGTTCTTTAATGTGCATTACACAACACACGGGACCTACGGCTTTACATCCCATCCAAAGGACGAAGCAATAATGGTAAAGTGCCTTGCTCAAGAGCACAAGCACCATGTTCCCACGGTCAGGATTCGAACCCATGTACCACGGCACACGAGTCGAACACCGTAACCATTGGACCACAGCACCACCACAGCTAATGATGTAGTGCCTTGAGCACCAATACTGGTGGATAGTGTGCCATATAAATACACATTATGATGACGGAGACAAAATTTGTTCAATTTCTGCTATTTACCTGTCGTCAGCTCTCCAGCGTCGATGTTTCCCGATCTGTCCCTGTCATAGCGCTCAAACACCCCCCTCCACTGTTGAATATACGTCCACAGTGCGCCGAACTCTTGCACGTTGATCGTGCCGTTATTATCTCTGTCAAACATTCCTAAAAAAATAAAAAAAAATAAGGGCAATTCACTGTGAAGCTTTTAACATTTTCCATACTTTTTTTGTATTGGAAAGAATAATTCTGAGGATCAAACAAAACTGGGCTGAGAGTATTTAGCAAAATGTAAACGGGAGACGTTTGTCGTGAGCAGTATTAAAAACCCTCCTATGCAAACATACATTTTGTTCCAAGTTGTCCTTCCAGTCAAAATCAATCAAGTGACTCCCAGCCTACATTAAGCAGGATTGACTGGCTGTGACTTTTTATGTTACTTGATGCAGCTACGCCTTGACTACAAGTGATTGATATGCCAGCTGTGCCACCAGTTTCCTGCTTTTGTCTGTTGACTGAATTTGACTAGTCACAGTGCTTGCTTGAAATTGGATACGACTGTTGGTGACTAGCCTGTGTAGAAGGCATGACAGGGGAAGAGGATTGAGTTTTTTTTAACTGTCTGTGACTGTTCAGACAGCACAAGTGTTAATGGCATTATATTCAAAATGAAAGTTCAATCACGTTACAAAAATTTGAAATTGAAAATTGAAACCACCAAGTGTGTGATACAAATCCACTGCTCGTTACTGAGGTAACCAATCAGAAACCAGGACACTTTTTCCTTCCAGGGTCTACTTTTGAGACTAAATTAAAAGGAAGTAGACCCTGAGAAAGAGGTTGATGCTTAGCAAATTTCCATGCTCAGCAAATATTGGCAGAGTACCAGTTAACCACAATCAGTATGACACATTTTGGCTGGTAACCAGTTAGTGCTGAGCAAATCTCTTCTGTGCTTAGCCTGTGTCTGAATTACTTGGCTACGGCTTGAAATTACACAGGTGTCTATGGTAGCGGCTGCAGCCACTTTCCATAGGCTCGTGTGTAATTTTAAGCCGTAGTCAAGTAATTGGCTACGGCTCAGAATTTCTTGGCTACGGCTTGACATTACACACCAGTCTATGGTAGCGGCTGCAGCCGCTTCCCATAGGCTCGTGTGTAATTTCAAGCCGTAGCCAAGTAATTGGCTACGTTTCAGAATTTCTTGGCTACGGCTTGCAATTACACACGAGTCTATGGTAGCGGCTGCAGCCACTTCCCATAGGCTCGTGTGTAATTTCATACCTATCATTAATCTACACGTCTCGGGGTTGAAGTGAGACCAGTTGTTATTGGTTAGCGCTTGCTGGAGTTCCTGGGCCGTGATGCTGCCAGTCTTGTCCTGGTCGACGGCCAGGAACCACTGGTAGACCGTCGGGTCCATGCCTGGTGGAGGGCCCCCAGCTGGCGCACCGTAACCTGCCCCGAGAGAAATATCCATCAAGATTAATTTGTAAGGTATCGTCATGTCCGTGCAACAAGGTCGTATCTCTTAAAGGGAATATACATCATTTGCTTTTGCTGTAATTTTGCTGTAATGGATGGAATTGGGGGGTTGGAAATATATAGCAAATAAAGTTACACTGACTTTTTTGAGGTTTTGGGTTCGAAAATGCTATAAAAACCAAGAAAAACAATCATTTTCCTGTAGTCTGGTTCCCTGACTCCATTTAAGAAGAAACAGAGCAGTTTACATACATTGGGGAATTGAAAGGTCAGGGAACCAGTCTAGCTGGCTTGTACCCGTTCATAGGTGTGTAATCGATTGCAAACAAGTGCAATGGTCAATTGGGACCAGTATTTGAAAAAAAGGCAGTTTTTTCCAACGCTGATCGGCCGATCAGCGTTGGAAATTGATACAAAAATACCACTTTTCTTGAAAATGACAGTATACCAGGTGCCATGATTTTACAGGATGCTTTACACTGTCATTCACTAACAGTCCAGCAAGGTATTTCAAAATGATTTGGTAGTTTTATTTTTTGATGATTGCAAATGTTGTATTTTCCCTTTAAGTGAAATGCAAGTTTCAGAATGTCAAAAGATCGTATCTCACTTAAAATAACCTGGATGTACTCATAAAGTCAGTGGACTTCGGGATATGACCTTGTTGCACAGAGCGTATTCGCGCGAGATACAACTTTGTTGCAGAATGGAGTTACGACCTTGTTGCACTGACGCGACGATATGTAATTCCCCCTCCCTCCCCCCAAAAAAGCCCCCCCCCCCAAAAAAAAAAATGGTGGATTTGAAGTATGTGAGAGAGCTACTTTTAAACAGGCGTGCAACTGGGAAGTGGCATTAGAAAACAAAGAAAATCTAAGCCCTACAAGACTCTTTGCAGTTTCTTTTTTTCATTTTTGTTTAATGTGATACAAGATCAGTGAACAAGGGAGAAAAAAATCAGCTGATCCTTAGAAAACTTGCATGCTTTAAGTTGAAAATTAAAACCACAGTAACAACAGCCACTAAAAACAAACAAAAAATTGTAATGCTTATGTAGTGCTTTCCCTCGTATCAACAATCTCAAAGCGCATTACATTTATTCCCCATTCACCAGGCCACGAGACAACACGGCAGCCGATATCAGCGCACTTCGGTTTCTACCCTCTCAGGTACCCATTCATACTCCTGGGTGGAGAGAGGCAATTGTAGGGAAGTGTCTTGCCCAAGAGCACAAACACCATGTTCCTGGCAGGGTTCGAACCCACGCACCGTCGTACATGAGTCAAACACCGTAACCAGTGGACCATGGCGCTCGTGTGTGGAAGTGAGGATCTTACCTGTTGGTGCCTGGCCGTACCCAGCTTGCGGGGGGGCGTACCCATGCTGTCCAGGGGGTGGGGCGCCGTGGCCAGGGGGTGGGGCGCCGTACCCAGGTTGGCTAGCGGGTGGGGCACCGTAGCCCGGCTGCCCCGCCGGTGGGGCCCCATAGCCCGGTTGTGCCCCTCTTGGAGCCCCATATTGCCCTGCTGGTGGAGCACCATACCCACCACCTGGGGCGCCGTACCCAGGCTGCCCCCCTGGGGGAGCATACCCTGGCTGACCTGGTGCCGGGGGTCTGTACTGGGTTGGGGGAGGGGCTCCGTAGCCCTGCTGCCCTGGGGGTGGGGCACCGTAACCTGGTTGCTGACCCTGATGACAAAATAAATAAAGGAATTTAAACCATGTTTGTTTTAAACTTTTTTACATTATTGGTGTCATAGTCATACTATTTAAATCGTGAATTAAAAATTAATGAAATGAGTGAATAAATAGATGCAAATCAAAAACACTTTTGTTCAGCCCTTGTCCTTCTTGTGCAAGGCCAAAAAAAAAAAAAAAATGTGTTTAGCGTCCCCTTTTTGGAGGCCTACTCCTTTTTTATTTCTTTTTTTTTCTAAACACGAACAAATGATACATTTTCAATAGTGACATTATTCTGGCCTCTTTGTCATGTTTGTCTGTTGCATCTAGCCCATATAAAGCTGGTTAGTGGTAATGAGTCCAAGTAGCGGCCATTTAAAAAAAGGCAGTGTATATTTTGCCGGAGACGGCAAACCTTTAGTAAACGTTAGTTTGCCGGATATGCACTGAACATGCGCAGTTACTGTTTTTTTTGTACTTAAACATTTTCCGGTGACAAGTTTTAGTCTGGCTCCATGCCAAAATTATCGTTGTTACCTCGTATTCACAAGATGGGATTCAGACCATTTTATAATTTCGGACTTTATTTCCCTTTTAAAAAAAATCCTCCAGAGCCACAAATCTGAATGTACTCTGCAAAAAATGTTTGAGACATGTTAAAATAATAAAAGAAGAATATTCTTATTTATTTGGGGATGAGAAAAAAAACCTTAAAAATGTGGTGCGGTCGGAATCGAACGCGAGTCATACCGCTTACTAGTGCCTTTGCTTAACCATTACACCAAACGTGCTGCACAACTTTTGGTGGGAATTTAATACATCTTATAATTCAGCCCTATTTTAAAGAGTACAGCGCCCTCTGTTGATATGGATTGCCGCCGGCAAACCTTTAGTAATCGTTAGTTTGCCGTCATTACCTCCGGGAAAATATCCACTATCTTAAAAAAAAGGTGGCGGCCATCTTGAAAAAAAGGGCACAATTGCCCGATTACCCCGCCACTCGATCTATCCACCTCGTAGCCGGCTACGAGGTCACGGCTGATTGACCTCAATAAACATTCTCAGCGCTACTTGTATGTACTATGCGTCATGCTCCATTGCACTCCCACTTCATGACCGCGTAGCCGCCAACAGGGTAGGCCTAGTTGGTTTGGACTTAGAATTTTTTCAGCAACTCCCATTCCTTTTGTGTTGCTTCGTTCTCAAGCATATTCAAGGGGACTCCCACTCCGTAGCCTCGTAGCCGCCAACAGGGTGGTTGGTTTGGACTTAGAATTTTTTCAGTAACTCCCATTCCTTTTGTGTTGCTTCGTTCTCAAATAATGGCCCCAACTCAGTATCCGCGTAGCTGGCAATGGACTTGAATTGTTTTTTTTGCAGTGATTCCAACCTCGTAGCCAGTGATTTTAGGGGTGTATTTCCGAGTGGCGGGGTATTCTGCAATTACTCCAAAAAAAGCCCGGTTGGGCGGCCATTTTTCAAAACAAAAAAAGGATCTCCTCCTTCCTTTTTTTTCAAAAAGGCAAGACGCTAAACGTTTTTTTTATTTGGCCTAAAAACAATCTCGATTTTCTAGATTTTCATAAATTACTCATTCTGAAAAAAAACCCAACAAATATGCAAGGAAAAAAGCATACGTGGACTTGCAGCATAGCCACCGCCCAAGAATGGCATTTGGGATTTTCAATGTCATAACGTAACTGGTCAAGCGAATTTGCAGAACATACAATCCACACCCTTTCCAATGTCGATTCGTTTACGAATGCTCAACAAAAACTATTTTAATGTTAGAAATTGTAACTGTCAACACAAAATGGTACACATATATCTCTATTTAAAGATCAGAAATTATACCAACTTTGTCGAATTTTGACTACTTACATACGACATCGTGAATCTCTTTTCTTTCACTTTCAGTCACTTTTTTAGTAGTGAAGATTTCGCCTGGTTTCTTTTTCAGCTGCGACTATATCAAGTGCATAATGCATAGTACAGGCGCCAGACTACAACCGCTTTGAATTAACTCGACTAAAGAGGGCGTTGTTTTCTGACGTCAGAAAAAGTTTTTACCGCCGAAATCGACAAGTGCGCGCGCAAGAAAAGTCACAAATCTCATGACAAGACTAGACTGTTGGCCGGGACGGCGCCAGAAAGTGAATTGGCCTACCTTTAATAACATAAAAAATAATTATGCTTGCTGTTGAACCTTTGTGAACAATTTCAGTGTCATGAACTTCAGTCCGAAATTCAAAAACGGTGTCGTCTGGGCACAAATTCAGCCATGTACTGTTCCTACGTGGCGCACTAGAACTAATCCTGGAAAAAAAATCCCACATTAACAATTAAGAAAATCACGCCAAAATAAAATTTCTCTGAAACTTTATAGCGCAGCGGGTAGTACTTGAACTGAAGATTTATGAACGGGAATGTTTATAGATTGATGAAATTTCTGTGAAATATCCGAGGTGAAAATTTTTGCTCTAGCAAGGCACCAGTGGAAATCAAAGTGCGCCACCACTCGTTGGGGGCCGCGCCACTTTAATAGGGTACATCAACAATACGCCATGCCGGTCCACGTTTGCTCCGTCAGCCCAACGCAAAATAGAAAACAAACGAACCCAATCTCATTACAATATGAAATACACTGATTTATTAAGCTTCAGGATCAGCAACTTTTCGATGCTCACTCCGATCCGACTGAACTCAGTCTCATTTTGTGCGGCTATACAACTTACAGTAGATCAAACACTTTTATACAATGTATTGCATTTAACCCGCCCTGGCGTCTGGCCAATACATCCCACGTGATCTGAATAAAAGAAACGCACTTAAAAAAAACAGCAGCATATTTATAGAGCCTATTTCCGGAGCTCATTTCCGGAAATTCTTCCCTGTAAACAGGAGGTGTACCTGTAACTAACCATTACCAACCCTCAAGTGGATTTCTCAACCCAATTTCATTACAAAGCCCACCGTGTGCAACCTCTTCCCCAGTGCTTACTTTATTTCCAACCTGGTTTCCAATAGTAAACCCTGGATAGGAAACTTTCTTCCTGTATCCTGATTCGATACCGCAATTGGCTAGTAATGGATTTTTATTGTGTACTTGGTGTTATTATTCACAACGTGCAGTACGTGTTTTCGCGATCATTCGTCCACGCCTTCTCGAAAATACTCATTTCCTTTTCAATTTTTTCATATTAATATGAAATGTGATATTGCATGTTGTTTCGATAAAATCGTAACAGTTTAATTGAATAAATCGTGTAGTTCGTAACTCACGCCATGCTCGCGCAGCGACGAATCGACTCTGTTTTTACCCCAGACACCGCATACAAAAACAAGCGCTAATGTAACGCACATGCAGGCACCAGACTAGTCCTCATTTGCATACGTGTTCAAAAATCTTGTACATGCAAATGATCCAATACCAGGGTGAGAGAGCAGCTAGTGGTGGGCGCGTATTGCTCGACACCCTGGGGACGAGGTTGGTCTTAGCCCGACTGCATCTGGCCGTACAGTACTATCGCAAGCTCCGTAGTACGGCCAGACACCCATGCTCCCCTAAACGCTGAACTCTGATGTAGCGATTTTGCTACCGATTTTGATCGAGATTATATATTTATTTACTTCGACATTTCTGTCGCGGGTTGTGGAAAAGGTTACATAACCCATATAAAATCCACAATCGCTTTAAAATATTAAAACAGGAATATTTATATATAAACTAACTAAAATCGGGTGGGCAATAAAAATATTTGGGTAGAATATAGTAAAAATGAATTATAACATAGGCCTACTTCCAAAAATAAAAACCACAAAAGAATACAAAAAAGAATTAAAAATCAAACTTAAAAAATCAAACAGCAAATGTAAAAAATATGTGTAAATCAAAAACTAAGAAATACAATTAGTTAAAAGATATATTATAAAATAGTGAACAATGAGAACGGGTACACAATTTAGAAAAAAAGAAAAAAAACCGATAAAACAGTTTTGAAACCTGTGGCTAAGTTTAAAGATAATCCATCAGTGAAGACTTAAAAATACTTAAGGAGGCGCTTTGAGTGATATCACCTGGAGTAGCATTCCAATCATTGGCAGTGCGAACAAAATATGAATCCATAAAATAGTCAGTTTTAGCGAACGGAACCTGGACTTTCAAAGCATGGTCATTTCGGGAAATTCTGTTAGGAGGACTGAATTTACAAAGGCTGTCTGCATCAATAAGGTTGTTCATTATTTTATAGGCCATTTTATTTTATCTTCTCATCCAGGACAGACATTTCCAAAGTTAAGGTTCCTAGTTGTAGAGGAACTCATACCTTTTCGAAAAAATGTTCTTTTATCCCCAAATCTTCATCCATATTGCCAAAAATACGACTTTCAGTCATCATCTCCCACAAATATCGTCCCGATTTGTTCCTCCACGCGATTTCAAAATGGCGGCCGTGTTGTAATTTATGCATTATGCGGGTGCGCTTGGGCAAGATTATGAATATGCATTGCAGTTCATGACGTTTGTCGGTCGCACGGCGCGGCTGGCCATACAAACACGAGGTCATGAACTGAACAATGCATATTCATAACCTTGCCAAAGTCAAGGGCTAAGTATGCCTCCCTGAATATGGGACCCCAGGTACATCCATGTACCCATCCCCGCCCCCTTAGTAGATCTTTGTATATATGTAAATTTCTCAATTCAAATTTCAAGACCAAACCGATTACTGTGTGTCCTTTCCGGAAAATGAGGACCCATAGTGATGCGCCACCTTTGCAACTGGACCCCCTGGTAGGCCTACACTTCTTAGGCCAAAAACCAAAAAAAAAAACCTTCTGCTTCCGATTACATGGCATTTGAAAATAGGGTAGGTAGATGTGGAATTTTTTTTTGGGGGGGGGCCGATTTTTTGTGTGTGTACGATCATATGGAGGTGTTTGCGTGTAAAGTAGAGGGTAAAAGGTAGTAAGATTTTCGATGGTTTTCGGGTTTTTTCCTCACCCCCCAACAAAATTAGGGTAGGGGATGTCAAAACAGGGTAGGTAGGGTAACCGGAAGCAGAAATGTTTTGTTTGGCCTTATATTGACACCCATTACTACCACCCCCACAGAGCTTTGCATAATTCTCAATCTAACTTTCATTACACATCAGTTTCGTGCCAAGGTGTAGGCATTAGCTAAAGATTCATTTTGATGTTGGCCTAAGTTCATTCATATTATATATACATGTAGCTTAATTTGCAATGTATTGTGTGAACGTTTATTTATTGGCATTGCCATTCTTTTAAAAGCTCAGCGGGTCCAGCAATATAGGCTATACATTTTTTTAAAGCTTAAAACAATCAACTGAAAACCGGTTATTACATTGATTGAAATAGCTAAGGCGAAAAAGGAAGAACATAAATTAAGCCTCTTTCGAAAGAAGTGTCACCTTCTCTTCTTCTGTAGCCTCCACAACAAGCCGGTGTTTCGGCAATCGCCTCCTGGAATGGTCAAGAGCAATGTTTATAGGTCAATCCGAGCTTGGCAAACGGATGGACGAGAGACCAATTGACCAACCACAAAGTGATTTAAATGTAAATCATACCGAATATGACACAAGGGGTCCACGCATTATGTGTTTCAAATGTCGAAGGTTCATATCCCACTTTAGTCATTTCTTTTTCATTCATTGGACAAAAATTCTAGCCTTGTTATTTGTTGTTGAATATTTAAATGAAACAAAATGACACACAGAGTCAATGAGACGATTTTTAGACACTTGGTGGCAGCAACACACCAGTCCTTTTCTATAGACCTTTCTATCGCCGACGCGTGACCGACGGGTTGCCAAACTATGGAAAGCCCAACACTTCAAAAAATGAAAAATAGTTATTAATGATTACAAAAACTTTATTTGATTGTTGACAATACTAGACATGCCTTTTCCTTTTGTAATGAGGCGTTTTTGCCTACCACGACTTCAATTTATGCGCTTGCGGCAGTCCATACCAAAATGGCTTTTCTCCTAATGTATGCAAATTACATGCAGGACGTACACATTTCTGAATCCCGCTTCCTGAATGCAAATGAAATGGTAATGTTGTTTGCGCGCTACCAGCCTATTGCAAAACGGCAATAGGCCACGAATTAAGCAATTTCGGAGGTGATGAGCTTCGATTTTTGCTGAATACGAAAGTGTCTCTGGCATGCACTATCAATATAGAGAGGGGCATACTGTTCAGTACTTAAAACATATGCAGTTGTAATGCTTCAAAGCAGCCTTCATGGAGACACTGGCGATTTTGCGTCCTTGTGGCAAGACAAGATATGTATTTTGACGACTGTGTGTTCAACTGGTACCGTAAAGCTGAACATTGCGCGCGCAGAGGTTATCAATCAATGACTTTATACGGTAGACTGTTTCCCGCCCCCCTAAATATATGGGGACCAGTAACTAGCGCCCATGTAAAGCCTTTGATTGGATCGCCACTGCGCGTGCGCATCACGATTGTGCATTTTTGAATCGCTGTTCAACTTTTGTGCATGGACGCCGCGCCGGTGATTGAACTCACGATCATCAAGAAACTCACGCCTGTCTTACCAGAAAAAGTACACAAAAAAACCAGTGTCTTTATGAAAGCAACTTTCAAGCATTTCAACTGCATAGGTTGTAGATTTTGAACAGCAATATTTCTCTTTTTGTTGACATTTGCCAGAGAAACTTTCAGATTCAGCAAAAATCAAAGCTCATTACCTCCGAAATTGTACATGCGTGGCCTACTGCCTAGTTTGCAATAGGCTGGTTGTGCACAAACATTACCGTTGTAATTTTGACTGCATATATCATAATTATCAGGAGGCGGAATTCAGACCCATATACATCAGGCATATAATGTGCATACATTACACGGATTTCCGTGTAACGTATGGACGATTCAATGCTAGTTACCTGTCCCCATTTTTGAAGTCCGAAGGACAATGGGGTCAGGGAACCAGACTATAATTATATACGGGGGCCTAGCTACCGGTCCCCATATTTTTATGGGGGGGGGGGGGGAGGGGGGACAGTCTTATAAACCATGAAACAAACATTTGGAATGCACTGATGTGTTTCTTGCCAATGCCACCAAGCGTCCCAAAAGTTTCTGCGCCCGCCCTCAAATATATGAATATTCAAGACTCACATATTTTATGGCACACCTACCCTTTTCCACATCGGAACTCCCAGACCCCGAAGAAACACATGAGAAGCACAACCACAAGATAGCCACAGGCGAATACTGTTGTCGCGTAATCGAATCCATAGTAATCGGTCAAGGCACTGCTTGTTACAGGGCCCAGCACTGCCCTATCATAGAATTGATAAATTAACGAAATATTGTGAGATCATTAACTCTGGAACATTATCAGCAAGGGTAGCTACAAAAACATTAACTATAACATCAGCATCATCAACAGCAACAGCAGCAACAGCAGCAACAGCAGCAACAGCAGCAACAGCAGCAACAGCAGCAACAGCAGCAACAGCAGCAACAGCAGCAACAGCAGCAACAGCAGCAACAGCAGCAACAGCAGCAACAGCAGCAACAGCAGCAACAGCAGCAACAGCAGCAACAGCAGCAACAGCAGCAACAGCAGCAACAGCAGCAACAAACTGCAGCAACAGCAACAGCAGCAACATCAACATCAGTAACAACAGATGTTGTAACAGCAGTAACAGTAACAGCAGCAACAGCAGCAGCAACATGCAGCAACAGCTGCAGCAACAACAGTAGTACCAGCTGCAGCAGCAGCAACAGCTAGCAGCAACAAACTCAAGCAGCATGCAGCAGCAGCAGCAACAGCAACAGCGGCAACACAAAGACCAATACAATCAGCAGCAGATGCAAACAGACGGTAAAAAACCTGAAGCATTTAACCTACCCCAATGAAAATGCCGCAAACCATAGACCGGATACAACACCATTCAGACCTAGATTAAAAGGAATGCCATACCATCTGTATGACAAAGAGGATGAAGTGAAGAACATGATATACAAAATCTGTACTGACTAAGAGACTTTCCTAAAAAATATATTAATAATAGATTACATGCCAACTCGTATCGTATTTTGTTGATTGTAGAAACCATTGAATATATGTCCCTGTGATTTGTTAAGCCATAGGGAAAATACATATGTACATGTGTATGTACATGTATAGGCAGATTGACAAAACTATAAATTACTTGCGAGTTATTTACATCGGGTTAACGTCGAAGCTAAAATTGCATAGTTACAAAGAGCTTATACAGGGCTCCCTCACTATGGACAGCTTCTCTGATACATAATATGAGTAGACACTGTACATTCATTGTTACTGATTTCAATTTAGGTCTCTATTTCTTAGAGTACTAAAACTTGCAACTTGAATGCAGGTATAGACACTACATACTCAAACGTACTTTGTTGTGTTGAGAATATCTAGCATTGTTGGAACACTGACCATGGCCATCATGGCAGACGTGAAGGGCAGGGCAACACCAATTAAAGCCATGCTTCTGTTAAAACAAGACAAGAAGAGTTTAGTAAAGCTAGTCTCACAGTACAATGTACCCACAATGCTATCCGGTTCGTTAGTAAAAACGTCATACACGCGCGCACACTCACTGATTACTAGCGCCCATTGGCTGCAAACGCTCTAACTGCGTTAACTTCCGGTTGAAGTCGTGCAGAAAGTGCTGGAGGTGACGTCACACTAACGAACCGGATACAAGTTGATACAGAACGGCCGATATTACTGAAAGTCTTGTCATATGTATGCATTAGCCCCATAAATGTGGCCAATTTACTGGACTACCTCCGTAAATAAAGGCCACACTTGGAACATGTACCCGAAAATGTAGAACTTTGTCAAGGTTTTATTTTTCACATTTAGACTTTGTTTGTAGTTTATTTACACTTTAGAAGCACCCTCGCCCTCTTTCAAGCGATAGAAAAGTAGTCCCCCTTTTTCAGACATCTGTATTTCGTGTACTGGTGAAAACGTATAAGCGGAGGCCAATAAAACTCAACTTCGTTAGTCACTCACCGGACTGCAAATCTTTTAATCAATTGAAATTGCTCAACCACAACTAAACTTTACTCACGGGGGAATATTCAAAAATGGAGCCGGTCCAATTAGGAAGAAACCTATTCCAGCAACAAATATTCCAAACATCATCATGATTCTTGGGGTCCCCTGTGTGAGTAGAGGTAAACAATAAAAGAATAGCTGTTATTCATTAAAAAAAAAAAACCATACCTACAAGAATGTTAAAGTTTCAGCTGAGTAATCATTACAATACAAGAAAAAACAGTGAAAAAACAATTCTCAACCTTTTGATCACGAAACACGATTTCTTTCATAGCACTCTTGGTTTCCAAAAAACAGTCCCTTGATTGATAGTTGGGCCTTAAGCAAGATGGAACGGTTTCAAAGAATGTCGTGTACCAGTACGATTGTTAATGCAGGTAAGTTTTTTTTGATAATCATTTGGCAGATTACTTTTGGGATATATAATCATAAATGACTTTCAGTCGATTTTTTTCGCAGAGAGATGTAAATCACCTTTTTATCTGCAATGTATCCCCAGAGAACAGCCGTGAAGCCATACGCAGCTCCCCAGCCTGTAAACACCAGACTAGTGCCAGTGACGTTATAACCAAGCTACGGAGAACAATGATGCCAAAAGGGCACAAAGTTAGCAAAGCGCACCACTATTCCCTGCGTTAAAACAACCCATGTTTGGCCCTTTAGGCTCATTAACCGCATTAACCCTCTGATCCACTAAGCCCCGCTCCATGATGATCTCAACCAATCACAGCCGAGACTTATGTTCGAAATGCGCGCATACACGTCCAACATAGGCGTACGCGCGCATTGTGCATGTGGCCAGAAAGTGTCATGGTATATCAAATATGTCTGTCCCCGGAAAATTGACCGAAAACGAGCCCCTAACTTTCCCATAAAATATAACTGCCAAATTGTAATTAAAAAAAAAGCAAACAAAAGAAATGAAAATACTTAACAAAATATACAATTACAATTCATAAAGTTGTTTATGAAATTTTGTAAAATGGAGGCATTACGTACAATAATGTTATAGGTATATAGCTAATATCACAGTATTTATCATTAAGCATGTTCCTCATAAGACGACCTTGTTTGGTTGACAATGATCATGTTACCATGACGACATACCTGCTTCAGACGAAGTGCCAGCACTGGATCCATTCCAGAGAAAGTCATCGAACAAAAAGAAAAGGCTAGTAAGACAACCCACACAGCTGGTAGCTTCAAAACGGGTATCATATTCCCGGTTTCCTCCTGTGTCCTCCCTTGCAAATGAAAGTATTTTGTCTTGATAACATAATATTGTAACAGTATTATTCAATAAGCCATAATACAGTGCTTCCGCGTGCGGCCTGACTGGACAGTACTATAAGGAATAACTGTGTGCTTGGTCGGTTTTAAACACGATGCTGATAATTACCCGAGCCGAAATCCCATTCATAAATACCTTTTTCACGAGCAGTCGTAAACAACTCCTTATATGGAGATTGGCGCGCGCGTCGCGCGTATTGCGTGAAGTGGAGTAGAACGCAGCTGGGCCGCAGTGCAGTGTGAATAAATAGGACTATGAGATACTGGCTCACTGGTAGTATTGCGCATGCCCACGTGGTGATTTTGAGCATTCAACCGATAAAACGGTACTGGCTCCGGATTTCATAGGAGTCAACATTTCATGTGACACTGGAAAAGTGTTAAAGACCAGCCAGCCGATCTTTATCAACCGTTTAAAACCGGCCACGTGACGGGCTGTCGACGAAGGGGAATGGGTAACGTTAACTGTGGTAATATGAATTGCTGTTTTGTGTCGATGTGGTGTGTTATATTCATACTAGAAGACAACTGGACTTGCGCAGCAATGTTTTCTTTTCGTCTCAGTGCTGTTATCAGTGTTAATATGGACATGGTAACGTCGTGTCCATGGCCGTGGTAACCAACATGGCCATGGGTCATGGTCATTGGCGTAACCATGTGACTATAGGGCTGGAAATGGTTGCGTGTATTCGTGGGCGTGGCCATACTAATGGCTATGTGTCTGTAATTGTGTTAAAAAAGAGCATGGTCAGGAGGCTAGCTGCGTGGTCATGGGCGTTGTCGTGGGTGAGGTCATCAGCGTGGGCGTGATCGTAAGCATGACCGTGGGGGGTGGTCATGGGCCTGGTTCTGAAGGTATAGCCATAGGCTAGTAAACTCACAACAACCCCTGATAGTCACATGAACCAGTATAAGGACGTTTGCATTTGAATTAATCTTACCAATCTTTGGCATCAAGAAGTAATTGACAGCAACACAAGCCCAGACAAACCCGCCAAGTACAAAGAACGGGAGCTTGAAACCGCCCACCTGTTCAGAAAAAAATGCGTCCGTTATCAGTGGTGAATATTAATGAGGAATGATTGACAGATAGGTTTACGAATGGCCTCTCCCATTGCTGCACAATATGGAGTTTGACAGTCATCAGTGTGTGGTCAAGCGTGTGGTCATGAGGGGGCGGGGCCTGGATGGCTTGTTGGTGAGGTGGGCGTGGAGATCGGATGGGATTTATAAAAAGCTCTAGAAACCAATTCTGGTTTTTTTCTTGTCTCTTGTTACAATGGACCGATCCAGTAAGCTCCGCCAGTGCGCACCTGCGCAAATTAACACGTGCTTCTCTCCAATGCCACGTTGCATTTTCCTTCCCCGCGCATCATACGCGCGTGCACGCATGTCGGACTTGTGTGCACGCATGTCGGACATAAAGCTCTTCTGTGATTGGTCAGAATACCATGGGGCGGTGCTTACTGGATCGGTCCATTGATTGATAATACTTACATTAAAGAATAGCCCACCTACTACTGGTCCAATTGCGAACGACATACCGGCGAGAGTTTCAATCAAGCTCTAGTTTGCAAAACGTGAAGAGAAGACAAAAAAGAAAACACATGCATGTTTCGTGTGCTTATAAATCGAGGTATTTGTGCCATGTACTGTAAAGTGCTTTTAAATATGTACATTAACCACAAGTTGAGAGTCAAGTGGGATAATGAGTACTCTAAGTCGTTCTGTGTTCTAATGGTGTAAAACAAGGAGAGGTCATCTCTCCAGTTATATTTTGTGAGTATATGGATGGGCCGCTACTGGAGGAACTAGTTAATAGTTGAATTGGTTGTCACTTGGGCAATATTTATGCTGGGGCTTTTGCTTAAGCTGGCGATATTTTGCGTAAAATCCTACGAGATGAGGCAAAGCCGTTTGAGTGTTTCTATAAGTGGTTAGAATCTTCTTCTAGTACAGAGCCCCAGCTTGACTCGAGGCCTAGTTTTTGAAAACACCATCCACGTGTATTAGTCCCCTGCAAAGTATGTACTTACTGTTGCAACGCCGACATTATCTGGGAAGGTGTAGGCAAGAATGGCAGTTACAGCAGTGTTACAAGCGGACGATCCTAGGCCTTCTAAGATTCGCATAGCAAACGTAAAACCTGTAAAGGTTGCCAATGTTGGCATATCCACAACGAAGCTGCAAGAAGCAGAAAAAAAGGACAACCGTTGTAGAGCTGGTCCACGAGCTCCCGACATTGATTCGAGCTATTCAGAATGGCCCTATATTCAATGGAAGTCTTTATTCAGGCGTGTGGTGTGGCCTACATAATGTTGGGCCGGATTTAATCCTCTCTCTAGTCTTGCGTAGAGTAACCCTATTTCAAACTTTGGGCCAAGGCGAGACTTAAAATAATAAAGTTTATTTCCTAATCGGCTAATTGGGAGAGTCGTTCTCAACTAAAACCGAACGTAGTCCCAAAGGTTTATAGGGGAAACTTAATTAGTTGAAGCAACAGAATATAGCGAAAGCAACAGCAAAACGTACCCCAGCAGGATGTTGCAACCACCGGTGACAAATGCTCCCGCCAGAAATACGAAACGAGCGCCAGCATGTGGCAGCTGCAGAAAGAAAACAAACAAACAAACAAACAAACAAACAAACGAAGGTAAACAATAACCAAATAGACCAATGTCTCCGATCCAAATCCTTTGACGCCGGATGACGGCTATAGCCGCAGCTCGATGAAAGGCGATAAGCCGGGGTACTGCTATGTACTAAACCCTTGCGAAGCAAGGATCTATTACATAGGGGCACGACATCTAAAACGGAAATATTCATAAAACTGTAAGTAAAACTACTTCTTATTTAAGATATAATTGTTCCAAATTATTTAAAAAATAAATACTTTAGGATATAACAGATGGTAATGTGCAGTTTTTGTCGTCGTAAATGAAGTATTTACCCGGGAAATAAACGTCAAATTTCGAGGAGAACACCGTTTACCCAAATTTCGTTTTTAATTAGGCTTTTATTAAAAAGTTTTAGAGAGATAGGATGCCGAACCGATGAAACAAAAGCGACATTTCAATGTTCATCTTAAAGCTAAAAATATTGTGCTCAGCATTACCATGGTTCTGTAGTTATCACTTATCAGAATTCAATAATAAAGACCAAAAACGTAGACTTATGAATATTCAAAAATATAATTCGCTTGCTTGACAGACTTCGAGGCCAGATCGGGGAAGAGCCTTGCAAATCTGAAAGCCACCGCGCGCAGTGGTCTTTGTTTAAAAGTATTCATGGTATTTGCCACCAGTACAGGCCGTTATCACGCGTCTAACCAGGAGTTGGGCCGAGTCGTTCATCCTTAATTGTGTGTAGGATCCGTGGTGAGATTGGCACAGCCAGCGAGATTGGCACAGAGGGCATTAGGCATGCCGTCGTGGACCAGCAACAATGAAAGAGGCAAAACAACTTTCAAGACAAAACCCAACAATGAGCAGGTGTAAAAGTTATATACTGGTAACTTAAAATCTTACAACTTTGCCCCAGATCGGTGCACCTATAGCAGACGCGATGAAGAAGGCGCTAAACACAAGTCCCACTACCGTCTTCGACATTCCTTTCGCTTCAGCCTGCAAAAGTTATGGGAAAAAATTACAACTGGCCATTTGTTTGGTTAAAGTGAACAATGGCGCTGTATGTCATGACGTCATTTTTCTGGGTAAATATCACAAGTGGAAATATCACGCTTATATTTTTTCCATTGGAGCAATGTAGCAAATTCATTTTCTAGAAATTCGTGATTGTAACGAATTAAAGCAACGACGTCCAGGTTCTTACAACACTAGCAGATTTACCCCTCACCCCCTAAATTAAGGCTCTTTGGGGATCAAGGACCAAATACCACAGAATACTACATGTGTTGTGCACACTTGTATGGAAAGAAATGCATACTACAGGTTACTACTCAGTAGTATTTCGTAGCTTTAGGGGCGGTAAGGGTTAATTACAATTTATTTGTTTGTGTAAACAACAAACTTGAATTGGACAGCGCCCTCATCGGTCATCATACCAATAAAATGGGACCGTGTGATACCAAACGTTTGCCTAAAAGACGCATTTTTTGTCATTTTTATTGTCATGTAGTTTAAATAGTCAGCTGTCAGTCGGCGCACGGCTTATACCCACCTCAGTTGGAAAGAATACTGCAATGACGGAGTAGGAGGTCCAAGTTGAGAACGAAGTCAAAGCCGCGCTAAGAAAGGTGATCTTTTGGTGAAGGGTGAACTTTGACCTCGGGGCAGCAGCAGAACCACCATCACTTGCAGCAGAACCACCATCACTTGCAGCAGAACCACCATCACTTGCAGCAGAACCACCATCACTTGCAGCAGAACCACCATCAATTGCAGCAGCTGGGTTGCTTGGGTCTGTGGGCGTGACCTCGAGCGATGTCTCTTGCCATTGGTTGTTTCCCGTTACATGAGCGTTGCCGTTTGGGGCGATGGGATGGGCATTTAGATTGGACTCTTCTGATTGGCTGCGGTCGGTCATGCTTTATTCATGAACCACCTCGTTCTGAGTCGGGCTGTGATAATTATTCAAATCGTGGATTCTTGGGAAGGGGGGGGGGAATAAAAGAAACAATAACTGTCCAACGATATGGTGGTTTCAATATTTTGTATTTGAGTTGAACCAAGATATACCACAAAAGATAACAGTCGACTTGATGGTGCTCTGATAAAACAGTTTAAAATCTGACAATTCACAGTAAACGATTTAAGTGTCCTTAAGAAAAAATGAAGCCGTTGTTTAGGCTTTTTTTTCTGAATCCTAATTTTGTTTGCATTCGAATTTTACTTTCATCCACAACACTTCCAAAGTATCTGAATTCATGAACAATTTCAACATCTGTGTTGTCAATTTCAATTAGTTCCTTCATGTTTTTCGTTTTCCGGAAATCATATATCATCTCTTTGGTTTTCTGTACATTTAAAATCATGTGATTTCTGTTGCACCACTCCACAAATGTATTTATTTCAAACTCTGCCTCAGAGTTAATGGTGATCAGCCTAGATAAGGCGGTGTCATCAAAATATTTTGTCATGACACATGATCTACTTTCAGGGCAAAAATCACTAGTGTACAAAGAAAACAATACAGGGTGAGTAAAAAAAACCCGAAACCCAAATGTCGGGACTATTGTTTTAGTGAAGTTCTGCATGAAGCACTTTGAAAATCTAGGATATAAAAGCCCAATTCATAAGCTTTCTTTTAGTATAAGAATCATTCAAATCACTTATGTACTTTTCAAGTTACGGACTTTTGAACACAACCACCGTTTTAAGGTTCTGTCCACGCATCACAAAAAAGATCACTGTTCTTTCAGCAAAACGAAAACAAATCAAAAAGGGATGCACATGTGTGTCAATTGTTTTTGTTTTGCTGAAAGAACGCATACCTCATTTTCCAAACAGATATTTCATGGGACTTGCCAAAGCTTATCACACTATTTGTAATCTTCAAGTCAACCCTCGACGCCTCCCACGACCCTCGACGCCTCCCACCACCACCACCACCCACCACCAATAATCCTAGCCCCATAAATGTGGCCAATTTACTGGACTACCTCCATAAACATAGGCCACACATCCACATGTACAAAAACGTGTCGCACTTTGTCAAATTTTGATTTTTACATTTAGGCTTAGTTTGTAGTATTTTTTGCTTTAGAAGCATACTCACCCTCTTTATAGGCTAATCAGAAAGTGCTGCCTTTTTTCAGATGTCTAATTTTTGTGGAATTTCATGTCGAAATTTTGATACGCAAACGTGTGCAAATGAATCTGGAAATTTCACGAAAAATAGACATCTGAAAAAGGCAGCACTTTCTGATAAGCCTATAAAGCGGGTGAGTATGCTTCTAAAGTAAAAAAACCCCCAAAACTACAAACTAAGCCTAAATGTGAAAATCAAAATTTGACAAAGTGTGACACGTTTTTGTACATGTGGATGTGTGGCCTATGTTTACGGAGGTAGTCCAGTAAATTGGCCACATTTATGGGGCTACAATAATCCCTCCACCGAAAAGCGGTACGAAATACGCCTCTCATACTATAATAGCTCTCATGCATCGAGTTAAAGCCAATAAAACATGGTTACTACTAGTCTGCACGAAGTTTTGCTCGTTTGCAGTTTGGGGTTTTCAATGAAAATATAAAATTACTACCTTCGTGTCTGTACGCGCTGGCTGTACTCATGGGGCTCTATTCCAACACGCCTTCATCCGTACGTACAGGCTGTTATGTGCACTTGGGCCAAGTTCGCGCAAGGACTATAGTTAACCAATGGTTAACTATTTGCCCGAACTCTGTCTAGTCAACGGTGGTTGACTACGCTAGTCGACTATTTGGAACCAGCCTACTGGGGGTTGGCTGCTTCGCTGGTAACCAATAGCCGCGCGCATTCATAACGCTAGCAGAGGGCCAGGATCCAGAAGTTTGACATTTTGACCAGCGTTTGACTCGACTAGAGACGTTCGCACGTTGCTATCAGTGCGCAGGCGTAAGGTACGTCACAAATCAACCACTATAGTCGACTAATGGTCCTTGCCCGAACTTGGCCTTGGATTACGAACAGGTATGGTTCCTTCCTCTATGGTACTCTCGACATTAAGCTATGAATACGTGACGGGTCAATGGTATCTTTTGTAGGAAACCGGCGGAGCGAAGCTGTTTTATTACAGCCTCGTGTTCAGGGCCAGTAAGTAGGCCCAAATTACGTGTTGGCTGTACTACTGGGGTCCTATATACATGTACATGTACATGTTCGCTCTGCTAACAGGACGCTGGGATACTCTGATGAATGCACGTTCTGATTGGTTGGATTTTGCGTAACCTGTGACCTGCGCGTCATCACGGTCATGACTCTGCAAGGTTTGAAACGGCCGTTAAGACTGATTCATTACTCTTTTATTCCAGTTTAGAGATTTGTTTTCCGTTGAAAAGCGTAATAATTTAGGAAATTCTGTAAAACTTCTGTGTTGTAAATTACAATTCCCGTCACTTGCTCAGGCTCCGTTTCGAATCACGAACGGTCGGATTGTTAAAATGCGACCCTCAAAATTTTGTCAACATGGTCCGCAATGAAACAGAAATCACATCCGGTATGGAATGTGCGCTTTTCTACGGGAAGTTTTCGGATAGCATTTGCGCATTTTATCTAACTGAGGTCTTGAACAGCTGCAGCACGGTCATAGGCCTTATATGCATTATGGGAAACTTATCATGACCTGCGCATGCAGCTAGCGCGCTACGTATGTTAAACAGCTGTGTCGTACGTCACAGGTCACGCAAAATAATATCCAATGAGCTCTTGAAGAGATCAGCCCTTCCCAGCGTCCTGTTTGCCGGGCGGGGTACGTGTACGAGCGAATCTATTTACAGGTGTACCATAATTGAGCTTAAAGGGTGCACACCTGTAAATAGGCCAAAACTCCATTCGCCGAGCTCTTGAATGAAAGTTATACCCTCAAAATGTTCTATATTACAGAGTTTTGAGAGCCATGGAATTCGGGGAATTGAACACATATGGCACTGAACCTCTGGCCTGGACTTTGAGTTTCCAATTCTGAGCATTTTATTGGATGCAATCCGGTCCGAAAGTGGCGCTATTTAGCTATGTTGTGGAGGGCTTCTTTTTTAAAATGGCTACTTTTCCAGTTTGTGAAACATCATTCGTTTGTGGTGTACTTCCTTTGGTGAGAATGTGTCGTATGAATAAAAACTAGCAAATGCTAGGAAGTTTAAGCAGAATGTAAAAGCATTTACTTTGGAGTAAAAGCATTATAAGGAAAGCAAATGCTGGATTCAGTATGAATAAAAGTTTTCCTTTACTGTTCAGAATACTAGACAACACGGTAGCAAACGGTCTTACTGTTGGATTGTTTCATGGATGAATGGTTGTTAACAATAGGGTCTCTTTCGTGTGTGCGACCTGCCACACACACACATAGGGTTCACACATAGGGTAATAGTCCAATTCAAGGTGATGCATACAGTGCACGAACTAGTGCATTTGATCCCAAAATCTAGCACAAATGATATACATGTAGACACTTTTCGCCAGTTGCAGAATACAGAGATTACACTTCATCATTCATGAAAATGGTAAACGTCCACAGTGTCTTGGTGACGTCACAATTGCATAAAGAAATCACAGACACGTGTTAAAGCGGGTAAATACCAACATTCAAAACACAAAGGTTTTTGTTCATTGAAATAATAATAATAAAGAAATAGTTTGCAAAGATTGGTGACCTAATAAACTAAACAGTGCTTTCAATTTGTTCAGTCCCCAGGTTGCCGTTGGGTAAAAGTTCTCCTTAATAATCATTCTATGCCGCTAGTAATGGAATTACTAATAAAAATATTATATTTCGCATTAAATGTTATTCAAATTAAAGTAAATGTTAATATTATACTACTGACTTTTTCTAATTTACACATGATTGTACATAACTGTAATGAATGGCATCATTGAAATAGATGTTACTACTACTACCACACAAAAATATATTACTTTATTTGGCATTGTTATTATTTTAAAAAATCTCGGCAGTCCAGCAAAAAAAGCTTCAAACAATTTGTTTTTCAGCGGTTATGAGCGAGTCAAAAAAAGCAGAACCCAAACCCCCCAAAATATATTTCATATGTCACAAAATATGTGACACCAAAAATCATAATGACTGGAAAGCTCATTTCATAAACTACTTTTACATGAAAAAAGAAAGAAATGGTTAAATCCGTTAAAAGAATATCACCATTTAAACGCAATGATTCTAAAACCTGTTTCGTCCCAAAAAAATATTGTGTGTTCTGACTGTTTGGAACAACAAAGAAAAATGACACAGAATAAACCAAATTAGGTTTTGCCCTTCACCGACGTTTAAACACTGTATACTCAGTGTGTTACCTCCCGAGTGAAAGTTGGAAAAAATCACTCGGGTGGGACTCGAGCCCACGACCTCCTGCTTTCTAGTGCAGATGTCTACCACTCGACCACCGAGCTAACGGGATTGGTTGGCTGGTTCGAATCTGATGTACATAGCAGCAGGTACCGCATTAACTTATATTAGACACAGAATACTTGTTTCAACAACTGTCAACAACTGTAGTACACAATATCTTTATCAACAATCGTGTTAAGGCAAACAATATGATTTATAAAATCATTTTCTTTCTAAAGACGGGTCTTCAAAAGGACTTTGTTTAACATTTTTTAACTTCTAAACTGAGGCTTCACCGCTGATGATGTTTGAAGACAATTGCGACGACGATTCTTGAAATCGCATTTCTGGACAAAAGAGCTGTAGGTTTTAGGGTCATTGCGTTTAAATGGTGATATAGTTTGAACAGATTGAGCAATTTCCAGTATTATTTGTCCCCCTAAAATTGAGTTCTTAATGAAATAAGCTTTTCAGTCATTATTATTTTTGGTGCTACATATTTCTTTAAATATGAAATATATTTTGGGGGGTTTGGTTTCAGCTTTTTGTGACTCGCCCTGTAAATTGATAAAAATGTATGAAGGCAAAAAGAGGAAAACATAAATTAAGTCTCTTTCGAAAGAAGTGTCACCTTCTCTTCTTCTGTAGCCTCCACAACAAGCCGGTGTTTCGGCAATCGCCTCCTGAAATGGTCAAGAGCAATGTTTATCCGAGTTAATCCGAGTTTGGCAAATGGATGGACGAAAGACCAATTGCCCAACCACAAAATGACAAAAACAAAATGATCAATAAAAAAAGGGGTCTACGCATTATGGGTTTGAGATGTGGAAGGTTCACTTCCCACTTTAGTCATTTTTCTCATTCAGTGGACAACAAACCTAGCCTTGTTATTTGTTTATTGATTGGTAAACCATTTAAATGAATATTCATGACGCACACTGTATAATCTATACACACCTACCCTGTTTGCGTTATTGTGAGCATGAGCACATAAATCATAAAACAAACAGTTGGATTAGGGACTGGTGTGTTTGCTTCCACCAAGCGTCTCAAAAGTCTCTGTGCCCCGCCCTCAAATATGCATATTCATGACGCACATTCATGACGGGCGTGGCTCATGCTGGTCACTTGTATGTTCATGGTTGTGTTAATGAGCGTGGTCATGAGGCTACGGGCGTGGTCATGGACGTTGTGTACGTGTGGGCATGGTCCTGGGCGTGGTCGTGGTCATGGGCGTGGTCATGGGCGTGGTCATGGGCGTAGTCATAGGCAAATAAACTGTTCACAATAACCCCTGATAGTCACATGATCCGTATGACGCCTTTGCTTTTAGGGAAGAAAAATATGTAAAATATTTGTTAAACAGTCTTACCAATCTTCGGCATCACGAAGTAATTGCCAGCAACACAAGCCCAGACAAATCCGCCGAGAACAAAGAACGGGACCTTGAAACCACCCATCTGTTGAGAAACCAATAAATGCGTCTGTTAGCCGTGTTAGCAGTGATGAAAATTAATGTGGGGGTCTGCCCCATTTGTAGTGCATACGGGTGCAGACTAGTAAATCGGTCCGAAATTGCCTACGCCGGCCTAATCACGATTTGCATGCCCTCAAATTATTCAGTATAACAGCATTTTGAAGGTCGTGAACTTGATGATTTGTAAAAAAAGAGGTTGGAAGCCGTGCAGGACTGCGAGCTCGTCTTTCTGAAATATGGATGATGATTAGGTCCTAAAATGGGTCTATTTTGCAATGGAGCGTAGGCGTCCATTTTCAAAATGTCGATGTACTTCAGGACTGCTATTAGGGGTGGAATCTTTGGATGGAATTTTCTCCCAAAAGCCATTGGTGAACCCCCAGATAATTGAACAGAAAATGAAAGACGATGACATAAGCTTTAATTTGATGTATGACTTGAACACCTCAGAGAGTTGTGAGTAATTTCCTGAATTTCTGAAGTGGGAGCATTTATCATCGAGGTCTATGTAAATTTATTTACTGGTCTGCAACCACACACGTTCAACTATTTGTCGCATAGCAACGGGAGTTGTCGGTTCACTCTGCACTTTATATAGTGTTCCCGCGCCTGTATAGAAACTAGTTCTTGCAACTTTGACAAGGATACTATTATTCTTCACATTTGAGTGGGGATAATTATATAGCATTATTTAGTAACTTATATTGAATCTTTTTCATAATATTGATACGATGACAAACTCACCTTTAAGTAATGATTTGTGTGCATTTTAACGCGCATTGATTTGTAATGAAGTCTACCGTGTGGGTGGGTTCCACGGTGTCTGTCCTTTTCTCTGTTTGTGATGGCTGAAACTGCATCGGTGACACACTGTACTGTCAGTAAATCACAGATTTACATAATTCGGGCGATTTAAAATGCAGTGCGCCACCAAGAGTTTGCCACGGAGAATCAATTTTTCAAGTTTACGGTCGACAAAACATTTGAATGAGTGTCAGTAGACAACTTGAGCTAATATGTCATAGATTGGGGCATAGCGTTCTGCAGCCTTACCAAAAACACCATATTGATAACAAGAAAAGAAAAGGGCAAACAGATACTGGAATCATACGCTTACGAAACCACTGACCGGAAAAACTAACAATTTCAAATGTCCCGCGCTGCGAATTTGTCGACCATCTCCCACAATGCCCTGGGAAAAATGAACTCTCCGTGGCAAACTCTCGGTGGCGCACTGCATTGTGAATCGCCCGAATTCCGAGGATCCACCCAGGCCTCATCAGCCACAGGGAATTGCTATTCACCCCTAGGTGTCTATGTCCGGGTGAGTCACATCAGAGTGTATTGGAGTGCAGTGACTGTATTTTGCGTATTTCGATGCTACTTTATGAATATCATTTTCCACATGCACGTAACGGTATCCACAATGCACGTGACATGGTACAGTTCTGTAGTGTGTTAGCTTGCGCATGGTCGTGTGATTGCGAGGATGCTCGCAAGCAGTGGGGGGGGGGGGGGGGGGGGGGGGGGGCGGGGGCCCCATGAAACCTTGTCGCCCCCCCAGTCGCCCCCCCCCCCCCCCCCACTGAGATTTTGAGTTTCTAAAAAATTATTATTGATCTACATGACGCCATGGGCGTCAATCCTGGGGGGGGGGGAGCCCCCACTTTTTGAAGGGTGGGGGACACAATATCAAATGTCCCCCCCCCCCCCAGATTTTTGAACTCGTGTCTCATTTACAGGGCCCTATTATGTACTACAATGTATCTTTTGCTTAGAAAATATTGGTTAAAGTGGTCAGAAATTGCCTCAGATAGCACCACAGAGCATTTAGAATCCAAACATTTTTGGGGCCCTTAAGCGGGCCCCGAACCCCACGCCTAAAGCTCAGAATTCTGGTAGCTGATTCAATGACTCCAACCTCGAAAACAATGTTCACAAAAAATTCTTATGCCTTTAGCTGAGAAAACCTCGAAAATTATGTTTAAATTATTATCTTTTGTGCTAAGATAATTATTGGTTAAAGTGGTAAGAAATTGCCTCAGATCACACCACAGAGCATCGAGAATCCAATTTTTCGGGGCCCTTAAGCGGGCCCCGAACCCCACGCCTATAGCTCAGAATAACGATAGCTGATTCAATGACTCCAACCTCGAAAACGATGTTCAAATAATTATCTTTTGCTAAGAAAATATTAGTTAAAGCATGGAGGAAAGTGGTAAGAAATTGCTTCAGATCACACCACAGAACATCTAGAATCAATTTTTTTTCGGGGCCCTCTAAGCGGCCCCCGAACCGCACGCCGTAAGGGCTTCGCGCTTCGCGCTCGCATCAGTTCTGATCAAGGTATGTCCGCCCCCCCACTTTTGAGAAGCGATTGACGCCCCTGCATGACGCCCCCCCATGAAATGTTCCAGCCCCCCCCCAGCGCCCCCCCAGCGCCCCCCCCCCCCCCACTGAAAACTTCCTGGCTACGCCACTGCTCGCAAGACAGTCGCGCGTGCTCTCGATATTCGAGCACTCGCGAAACACTTGCACTTCTCTCTGTATACTTAACATGATAGTGATCATTGTAATTACTATTTTAATCATGGTAATCATTATTTTACGATAAAATATTGTATTTTGTAATAACTTAGGACTCTTATTTTCTATTTTAGTACAGGGTGTTTGTTTTGTTTATCCAAACTGAGATGGATCAAAATAAAGCCAAAGTGAAGCCTTTACATCTGGCGTACCCCTTACGAGGGACTCACCGAGCTCCCAAGCCTACGAGGTTCAGACCTCGTACCCCAAGCCGCCGTGCAAACGCCCCCGCCGAGGAACGATTGTGAGATTGGTTCACGAAATGGCCTCTCACATTGCTGCACAACATGGATCGAGTTTGATAGTCATCGGGGCGTGGTCATAGATATGGTCATGAGGGGGCAGGGTAGGGGCGGGGCAGGGATGGCTTGTTGGTCAGGTGGGCGTGGGGTTGGCTATGGGATTAATGAAAGATCTAGAGACTTGTATTTTTTTTTGAGTTACAATAATTGACTGATAATACAAATGTACACTTACATTATAAAACAGTCCACCTATTACTGGCGCAAGTGCAAACGACGTACCGACGACTGTTTCCATCAAACTCTAGTTTACAAATCATGGAGAGAAGACAGAAGGAAAAACGCATGCTTACTGTAAGGTACTGAGTGATCATGATTACTGCAGCAAAACCCACAAGCAACAAAGACTCGATCTATGGGGCGTTTTAAAGAGGTTGTGGAATGCTCGAAGACATTTCCGTCATGTTTCGGGTATATGTAGCCTAAGGTGTGATGAAATAAAAACGACTACTTGTGTCTGTCATGAAATGAGTACAAAAGGTACTTTTGAGAGCTGTTTTTCAGGTCCTGCTTCGACCCGAACGTGCAATATGTGTAAAATTCGTCGTTGGGGGCAGCAAACAAAACATAGTAAATCGTGACGTACTAAACAGGGCTCGTTTATGCTACGCTACATCTATACCCGAAAAATGACGGAAATGTCTTCGAGCATTCAACAACCTCTTTAAAACCTTGGCTCCGTCTTCAGATGTGACACTGTGGAACGTCCGGCCCCTACACTTGGGAGGACTGCGGTTCAAATCGGTCCACGTTTTGCGCAAGGAGCATCCAATCCTGCGAGATGAGGCAAAGCCGTTGGTGTGTTCCCATTAGTGGTTAGAATAGACAGGCTTCGTCCAGTATAAAGCCGAAGCAGGACTCGGGGTCTACTTTTCGAAAACACCATCCTTACCTGTATAATTAGTATTCTCCTGCAAAATATGTACTTACCGTTGCAACGCCGACATCATCCATGAAGGTGTAGGTGAGAATGGCACCTACAGCAGTATTGCAGGCGGACGTTCCAAGGCCTTCTAGGGTCCGTATGGCAAACGTGAAACCTGTAAAGGTTGCCAATGTAGGCATATCCACAACGAAGCTGCAAGAAGAAGAAGGAGAGAAGAAGAAGAGAAGAAGAAGAAAAGAAGAAGAAAAGAAGAAGAAAAGAAGAAGAAAAGAAGAAGAAAAGAAGAAGAAAAGAAGAAGAAAAGAAGAAGAAAAGAAGAAGAAAAGAAGAAGAAAAGAAGAAGAAAAGAAGAAGAAAAGAAGAAGAAAAGAAGAAGAAAAGAAGAAGAAAAGAAGAAGAAAAGACGAAGAAAAGACGAAGAAAAGACGAAGAAAAGAAGAAGAAAAGAAGAAGAAAAGAAGAAGAAAAGAAGAAGAAAAGAAGAAAAAGAAGAAGAAAAGAAGAAGAAAAGAAGAAGAAAAGAAGAAGAAAAGAAGAAGAAAAGAAGAAGAAAAGAAGAAGAAAAGAAGAAGAAAAGAAGAAGAAAAGAAGAAGAAAAGAAGAAGAAAAGAAGAAAAAATGCTGTCATTGTAGTCTGGTTCCCTTACCTTACGTCAAACGAGACGGAGCAATCTATACATGTCGGAAAAATTGTCAGGTCAGGGAACCAGACTAGCTGGCTTGCACCCGTTTACGGATGTGTAACCGAAGGCAAACACAATGTGGACCTACTTAAAGTTGGCAAATCGGGGGCAGTATTTGAAGAAAAAAAAAATCAGTTTTTTTTTCCAACGGTAGTCGACCGACCACCGTTGGAAATTATAAAAAAAAAAATTAACTTTTCTTGAAAATGATAGCACACCAGGTGCCAGGATTTCACAGGATGCTTGGGGCTATTATTCACTCACAGTCAAGTAATGTATTCCATTATAATTTGGTAGTTTCATTTTTTGATGTTTGCAAATGTTATTTATTGCAACAGAAAAAAAAAGCAATGGCTAGCAGTTAAAACGTACCCCAGCAGAATGATGCAGCCGCCGGTGACAAATGCCCCCGCCAGAAATACGAAACGGGCGCCGAAATGTGGCAGCTGCGGAAGAAACAAAATACACCTATGTTACATGAGCTCGCGACCACGGCATACGTTGGCGCACCGGCAAGTGCGCCTCTGTGCCACACACTTCCTGCGTGCGCTATATGCAAATGACGCGTGTCGGACATTTTTATGCACGCTTGATCACGGTTAGTGTTGGATACTTAGTGAATCGGTTTAGTTTAAATGGCCGAGAAATGATTACATGCGGAGAATTAAAAAAAGCTTTGGAAACACACTGACACATCCACACACACTCTCGAATTTGTATCCTTGTGGAGACATTTCTTTGTTCTCGTGTAGTTAAGTTTTCGATTTTGAAAGTGAAGTTTCAAAATGTTCTTATTTTAATCAGAATTAATTTAATTAATTTTCTAAAACTCTTCCATTTGCGACTGATCAACCCACCTTGGAAATTCCTAGTTTTTGAGTAAAATCCATATATCTATTTCGTGAAAACCTTGTGGAGACCTATTCATCTATAGAAATTGCCCTGTGGAGACCTTTACAATGTTTTGTTCCCTATTGTGTGCGTGTCTCCACAAGGATACAAATTTGAGCACACATTCCCACGTTTGGTTGCGGAGTACATCAAGGTTTTCCTATTGGTCCTCATCATCGATCTTTTACTGTAACTTTTCGGTAACAGCTCTCATTTTTACACGTTTCGAATCGAGGACGTCCTCGATTTGACTCCTGTACCCGATTACATAAGGATGTTTCACAGATGTGTCTCAATTCTACTTATTCTGTTGTTTCAGAATGGCTATCCATACACTGGAATTCTTCACGCATATCTTGGTGTACGCAATAGGCCTGAATTATCCCATTCGACGACGTAGAGGGCGGTTATCCTATACGATAGCACTGACCATCACTTAAGTAACAGCGAGTCAGCGAGACGGGCACAGAGGACACGTACTCTTGGACCACATACCAACCACAATGAAAGAAGAAAAGCAACCACGAAAAAAAATTAAAGGTACAGTCCATCATTTTGTGTATTTTGTTCGTTTGAAGCAACAAAGGTTCTCAAAATCTAAAGAAGAGTGCTGAACAACTAACCTGATGAAGTGTCAGCTCAGCTTCAACTGTACACTTCGGGAAAAACAACATTGTACGATCTCGATTTCAAATCAAAAGTTGCTGAATCATGTTTCGAATTGAACCTGAATTTAGCGTCCGAGACACGTTCTCACTGAGCCCACTGCGTTTACGTGATTTCGCGCACTGATCCGTGTGCGACGTGTCAACGCTTGCCCGCGCTTCGCCGAATATAAAAACGAACTACTAACGGGAAACTTCCAACAAAGCGTCTTTAGACGCATCGTTGAAAAGGCCTTCTTTCGCTGATTTCTTCAAAGTGACAGCATGCCATAAATAATTTCACAGGGAGTTTAGTCCCCTTACTATCTTTCAACCAAGTATGTTTCTCAACAATAATTACGTCAGTTACTTTTTGGATTGCTGTAAAATGATGGACTGTAGCTTTAAAGAGCAGTGGTAAAAGTATAAACATGAACACTGGTAACTCCAAATCCAAAAGACTAACAACTTTGCCCCAGATCGGTGCACCAATACCACACGCGATGAAGTGGCAGCTAAATACAAGTCCTACGAACGTCTGCGACATTCCTTTCGCTTCAGCCTGCAAAAGTTGTTGGGGGAAAATGGCATTTAAAAAACAAGTGAATAACGGCGCTGTATGTAATGACGTCATTTTTCTAAGTTAACATCACAACTGGAAATATCAGGTTAATTTTTTTTGTACATTGCAACAATGTAGCAAACACAATGTTCTAGAAATTCATGATTTTATAAAGGTAAGTTACGAATTAAAGCAACGATCTGCAGGTTCTGACAAAATTAGCGGATGAATTACAATTTTTGAGTAGAGCACAAACTTTATTTAGACAGCTGCACCCTCTCGGTCATCATGCCAATAAAAGGGGAAAGTGCGACACCAAGCGTTTGCCTCAAAAACGTCATTTTGTTATCATTTACTTTGAGTGCGTTCGATTACTTCCCCCGCGCTTACTCGTGCGAGCGCGACAGCGTTCGATTTACCTCTCACGTGACTTCTCGCGCTTACTGGAGCCTGGCCCAAGTAACCGACTCGCCAAGCAGGTCTAATACTTGGGTAAGTATCCCATAAGGCCATGCAATGTCCGGCGGTCGCCTCAGGCCGTGTCCGAAACGGGCTTCCAGAGCTAAGGCTATTGTCAGCGCGTATCCGCGTATTTCTAATGGGCGTGGACCTAAACCTAGCTCTAGACAGTTGATTCGGACGTCAAACTTCAACTTTCCACGAAACAATACCCGAAACCGCTCGTTTATTTAGCTCCACTGCGCATGTCTGTCATCACGCGAGGAGCCAGGCGCGAGTAAGCGCGGGGGAAGTAATCGAACGCACTCATTCTGTCTTTGAAACTCTTATGGTTTGTACCCACCACTGTCGGAAAGAATACTGCAATGACGGCGTAGGAACTCCAAGTTGAGAACGAGGTCAAAGCTGCGCCAAGAAGGGTGATCTTTTGGTGAAGAGTGAACTTTGACCTCGGGGCGGCAGCAGAACCACCATCACTTGCAGCAGCTGGGTTGATTGGGTTTGTGGGCGTGGCCTCGAGTGATGTCTCTTGCCATTGGTTGTTGTTTTCCGTGACATGACCGTTGCCGTTTGGGACTACGGGCGGGGTATTTAGATTAGACTCTTCTGATTGGCTGTGCTCGACCATGCCTTATTCTTGAACCACCTCGTTCTGGGTTGGCCTGTAGTAATTATTCAATTCTTAGATTCTTCGGGATAAAGGAAACAATAACTGTTCAACAATATTTTTGGCGGTTTTCAATATTTTGTGTTGTTTATATAGGCCCCAACAATGAAATTAAAACTCATTGTTTTAATAACTAGCGGTATTCAATTCAATTCAATTTAATTTCAAGTTATTGGTCCTTCCAGGAAATTTGTTTTGTCACATGCAATACATAAATAGATAATTCATTAATATAATCCAGAAAATTTAAATAAGCAAATTACTAAAATAATACTTAACGATTACTATGAAAATAAATATTTATTTATTTGAGCATATCAGTCAAAATGACAGATTCCCACAATCTTTGAAGCTTGTTTCACAACCCTTTTCAGTTTTTCTTTGTCCTTTTTCATTGCTCCATTATACCAAACTACACAGTCGTGAATGATGACACTTTCTACGACCGAGGTGTAAACAAGACTCATAATGACCCTGTCGACCCGAAAAGAACCTAGCTTATGCAGGATATATAACCTCCGATTTCCCTTTGCTGTGAGAGCTCTGGAATGTTCACTCCAATCTAGCTTGCTGTCAACGATTGTTCCCAAGTATTTGTAACTTTGTACAATCTCAATGTTAACCCCTGCGATACAAACTGAACTGGTTAAGGGATTATTTGCCTTCTTGCGCCTAAAGTCAAACACCATTTCTTTAGTTTTGTTAGGGTTAAGTTCAAGATAATTGTCTATGCACCAAACACTGAAGCCCTGTATGGAACGCCTGTAATCATCTTCATCACTTGTATCTATAAGCCCGAGGATGACAGTGTCATCTGCGTATTTCAAAATGTTCACTGAATTATACAAAGAAACACAGTCATTAGTATACATTATAAAGAGATTTGGTGAAAGCACACATCCCTGAGGTGATCCTGTGTTCGTCACAATGGTCTATGAGAGAGTACCATTCACTTTCAGTCGCTGAGTTCTGGCGGAGAGAAAGTCGCATACCCAGAGAATTAGTGAAGGTTTCACCTCTAGGGATGTGAGTTTCTCAATCGAAAGATGTGGTTGTATCGTGTTGAATGCAGACGAAAAGTCGATGAATAGTGCCCTGGCGTAACATTTCTGCTTATCTAAATGTTGGTAAATGGCATGAGTGAAAGACAAAACCGCATATATGAAAAACTTTGACCCGATTTCGGACAGAAAAGATAAGCCCTGCTCCCCACACAAATGAAGTTAACTCTGCAAAGAGATTCCGCAGAATTGGCAGTTCGATATTGACAGCACTGTCAATTTTTCGTTGTCCGTGGAGCGACTCCTTTACCAATGTTTTTAGCTGCTCAAGAAATAGACTTCTCTGTTCCTCAGAATATTCGATGAAGCAATCTGGCACATCTATGATATCGCCAGCTTCACGCCATTCATCGTAAAAAGTTGAACTCCACTCTTCGGCGGTGTAATGAACTTTTACAAAGAGTTTATCATTTATAACCTTGGAGTCGGTTACAATTAGCTCGTATAATTTAGAGGTATAGACCACGTCTTACGTCCAGGTTTCCCTTCACGAAGGGAGGGACCGCTGTTAAGTTTACGGTTGTTTATTTCCTTCCTCGGTCTTGCACTCCTCCTAACAGAGGAAGCACTGGCCATCAAGGTAGCCTGTAGTGAAAATAAAAACAGACAAATTACTATAAACTAATTAATCAATGAAATTCTCAAGATCTTCCAAAAAAAAATAACCATGCCTGAACATGCATGGCATTTGGCCAGGATAAAATAACAAAAGATCCCAACTTAATAATATCAGTATCTGAATTTTAATCAACAGTGGAACCATTGAGTTTTATATATTTTTAGCTCCAATTTAATAAAGACAACAGTTTGTCAAATTGGTTAAACATGTTGTCATGGACAATGAATGGACATGATTGTTGAACATGTTGACTGAGCATGCTGAGTGTTGTTCATGTTGTTAATATAGTAAAAATAGCAAAAACTTTTGTTCAGACTTTAAACTTCATTACGTGACAACGTGATGTGTAAAACTGGTCAAAAAAGGTACGAATTATTAAAACGAAAATAATTTCTCACCTCGTCCCGTGTACAGATTGTCGAGTTATGTGCCCATAATATACAGAGATGATGAGAGATCTCCTCACTTAAGAATCAAAATCCAGGTGAAGTATACCCACACGCGTACCGTACCGTCATGACCGTACCAGAACACGCTGCACCCCTCTTGTAGAATAATGAGGTGATCCAACGCGAAGACTCCAACTGTTATCCTTAATTAATAAATACCTTGGAGAGTTGATGGTTTCTGATTGGTCGAGACTCGATCACGTGGCCGGGCATTAACGGTGATAATGACCGGCTTCAAAGAACAAGCGAAAAAAATGGCCCCTGAACCAGCATTGATCCAGCCCCATGGAAGGCAATGATCGGCCTAATTTACAACAGTTTTGGGCAAGTTCGCGCAAGGACTATAGTTAACCATTGGTCGACTAACGCTTGCCCGAACTCTGTCTAGTCGACGATGGTTAACTACGCTAGTCGACTATTTGGAACCAACCTACTGGGGTTGGTTGCTTCGCTGGTAACCATAGCCGCGCGCGTTCAAAACGTACAGCAGGGAGCCAGGATCCAGACGTTTTGCAATGACATTTTGACCAGCGTTTGACTAGAGACGTTCGCACGTTGCTATCAGTGCGAAGGCGTAAGGTACGTCACAAATCAACCACTAGTCGACTAATGGTCCTTGCCCGAACTTGGCCCATATTGCAGCTTGTAACAATACAGCACTGCACATGCGCTCAACCACCTTCGCGTGAGACTGACGCGGTCACCCCCAAACCCGGTCATTATCACGCAGTGAAGACCGGCTCCTCACACTGTTATTCCCTTATTGCTGGATTTTTACACGAATGTAACATATGACAGTCATCAAGAGAGAAACTGGAATACATCTCCTCTTTGTAGAATCCCTTCACAAAAATCCGATTCAAGCAGTTTTTTTCGGTCCTGAATTGGTTGACTGTGGGAAAATGTGGGAAAATGACCAACCTCGTGTTTCACGAGGACGGAAGTATGGGTGGCATCGACTATAGTCTTCACGCTTTTTGTAATCAGTTATCATTTCTAAACAGTTCCATGCTCTTCTTGGATTGTTAGCTTGAAAGTAGCTCTCTAGTTTCTCCCGATATCTCTCTTTAGCACCTTTTATCTCCTTGAGTTTTCGATTTAACTCCCTTACTTTTGCCACATCGCCCTGTCCGAACGCTTGTCTTTTTTCTTGCATGATCGATTTCACATTTCGGGTTACCCATGGTTTATTATTTGGATAGTTCATAACAGTCTTTGTTTCAATGTGAAGATGCTCACAGAAACCAACATATCCATTTATTATATCCGCGCGTTCATTGATATCTTTTCCTGAGTTCAAAAGCAGTTGCCAGTCGGTGATCGCAAAAGCTGTTTGAAGCGTTTCAATTGATATCTGGTTCCAAGCACGTACTGTCTTTCTGGGATGTTTGTCACTCTTTAATCTTTGTCTATATTTAGGCAACAAGTGAACTACATGATGATCAGACTTGCTGAGTTCTGGTCGGATGATGGTCTTGTAGGCATCCTGTAATGAACAATGACATCGGTCTAGGATGTTCTCACCACACATTGGCCTATCAATGCACTGATAAAAGTGTGGAATACAGTGCTCCAATCGACACTGATTTAAATCTCCAAGTATGATTTTTGGCGAATTCGGGGAGCGATTTTCCACATCTTGGACATGTTCATGGATGTTTGCAGCATTTTCAGAGTTTGCATCAGGTGGCACGTAAACTAAAAGTACATGGACTTTGGGAAATTCACGCGGTAGGTAGAACGGGCGGAGTGAAATGCTGAGTAGTTCAATGTCAGCACAGCATAAAAATGATCTGATCGTAAAACTATTACACCACCGCGGCACCTGCTAGCTGGGTGTCTTACAAAATAATCAGTGCACCCTCAATTCACGTATTTTTTAGTCGGGTTTTCAAATGCATATTCATATCGTACGAATTCGTACGATCGACGGTAAAAGGATATTTTGCCACATTTTTCATCATGAACGTTATGTTTTGCGTAGTAGCGATACGTTTTGGAATGTTTTCATACAGATAATTTAATACTTAACTACATGTATTCTAAAATCTGAAAGAAAAAAATTAGCCAAAAAAAGCCAAACAAAACAAATAAATCATTTTTGCACGTGCAGGTATGACTTCAGAGGACAGTGCAATCGGGGCACATAATTATACCACGCAATTGCAAGGACATGTGTAAAATAACCAAGCGCCTACATTAACCGTTGCACTTTGTGCTTGTGCACACTCTTTAGGCCTTTTACAAAAAACGAGACACGAAGGACAGCGAAGGATGTTTTTAATGTCATACACAGATAAACCGCAACGTTTGCACACTCAGGGGCGTCAATCGCTTCTCAAAAGTGGTGGGGGGGGGGGGACATACCTTGATCAGAACTGATGCGAACGCGAAGCGCGAAGCCCTTACAGCGCTGGGTTCGGGGCCCGCTAAAGGGCCCCGAAAAAAATTGGATTCTAGATGCTCTGTGGTGTGATCTAAGGCATAATTTACCACTTTCTTCCATGCTTTAACTACTATTTCTTAGCAAAAGATAATTATTTGAACATCGTTCAAATAAGCTACCGGTATTCTGAGCTATAGGCGTGTAGTTCGGAGCCCGCTTATGGGCCCCGAAAAAAATTGATTCTAGATGCTCTGATTTCTGACCACTTTTACCAATGTGTTCTTAGCAAAAGACAATAATTTAAACATAATTTTCGAAGTTTTCTCAGCTAAAGGCATAGGGGGCCTCGAAAATTTTTGGATTCTAAATACTCTGTGGTGCGATCTGAGGCAATTTCTGACCACTTTAACCAATATTTTCTTAGCAAAAGATATTAATTTAAACATAATTTTAGAGGTTTTCTCAACTAAAGGCATAGGGTTCGGGGCCCGCTTAAGGGCCCCGAAAATTGTTGGATTCTAAATGCTCTGTGGTGCGATCTGAGGTAATTTCTGACCACTTTAACCAATATTTTCTTAGCAAAAGATATTAATTTAAACATAATTTTAGAGGTTTTCTCAACTAAAGGCATAGGGTTCGGGGCCCGCTTAAGGGCCCCGAAAAATTTTGGATTCTAAATGCTCTGTGGTGCGATCTGAGGCAATTTCTGACAACTTTAACCAATATTTTCTTAGCAAAAGATATTAATTTAAACATAATTTTAGAGGTTTTCTCAACTAAAGGCATAGGGTTCGGGGCCCGCTTAAGGGCCCCGAAAAATTTTGGATTCTAAATGCTCTGTGGTGCGATCTGAGGCAATTTCTGACCACTTTAACCAATATTTTCTAAGCTAAAGATATATTTTAGTACATAATAGGGCCGTAAATGAGACACGAGTTCAAAAATCTGGGGGGACATTTGATATTGTGTCCCCCACCCTTCAAAAAGTGGGGGACATGTCCCCCTGTCCCCCCCCCCCCCGATTGACGCCCATGTGCACACTGCATTCTAATAACTACAACCTGGACACAAATAGTTTGTTTCCAATTTTACATGCCAGAGTTTACTCCGACTAAAGCATTGTAATTCTTGAGAATAGTTTCAAAACAAAATCAGGCTCTTAGTTGATCCTTTTGTAAAACGATTTTTTTTTTGTACACAAAACCTCCCACAACTTCCAACATGACTTGTAAACAACAAAATAAACAAGTGGTCAAACTTACAGTTCAGGCTACCGCGCCAAATTTACATTTACCTTGTGGGAGAAATATTCAGTTGGCGAAAAATGAAGAAAATGAATCACAATCACAAAAGGTGTACAATCATCAACAACCATAAGTAGGCTAAGGCTGGCCAAGGGCGGATCCAGAACACAATTTTTTTGGGGGGGGCCCAAAAAAATGTGGTCCCCCAAAAAAGTGGGTCAAAAAAATTACGGCGTGGGGTTCGGGGCCCACTTAAGGGCCCCGAAATTTTTTTGGATTCTAGATGCTCTGTGGTGCGATCTGAGGCAATTTCTGACCACTTTAACCAATGTTCTTTTGAGGAAAAGATGGCGGTGTACTCATTGCCTGCCTTTATTGCGATGTCACATAAAAAAAAAAAAAATTGGTTTCGTTTTTTTTTTGGGGGGGGGCATGGCCCCCTTTGGCCCCCCCCCCCTGGATCCGCCCTTGAGGCTGGCATAAAGGAAGTTCCAGCATTGCCTATAATCTACTACCCCATTCTTTTTTGGTTTGGGGTACTGATTAGGACGCACAGCAATTGGAAAGATTCCCATATCTGGCCATCACTTGACACCCTGTGCACAAACCCTATGTGGCTGGTCTGAAAATGTTAAAGGTTTTCTCATAAAAATGCAAAATTTGTCCCTGCTAAGTTTGACTTTTCAGGCCATATTTTCTGATGGCTGATAGGTCATTTAAGGGAAAAATTACCGATGGCCAGATAAGGGGAATCTTTCCCAGCAATTTTCAACTGAACTATGCACTAACATTATCATGCATGTAGGTTTTAACCCTACCATGCCCAACTAAATTTGGTTCACGTAAGATGTTAAGTAATAAACCCCAATCCCATTGTTACTGTTAGCCCTATAGAGGTAGAGCCCAAAAGATACGTGGTTAGACCACGGATCCTACACACAAGGATTAACGACTCGGCCCAACTCCTGGTTAGACGCGTGATAACGGCCTGTACTGGTGGCAAATACCACGAATACTTTTCAACAAAGACCACTGCGCGCGGTGGCTTTCAGATTTGCAAGGCTCTTCTCCCGATCTGGCCTCGAAGTCTGTCAAGCCAGCGAATTATATTTTTGAATATTCATGAGTCCACTTTTTGGTCTTTATTATTGAATTCTGATAAGTGATAACTACATAACCATGGTAATGCCGAGCACAATATCTTTAGCTTTAAGATGAACAACGAATGTCGCTTTTGTTTCATCGGTTCGGCATCCTATTTCTCTAAAACTTTTTAATAAAAGCCTAATTAAAAACGAAATTTGGGTAAACGTTGTTCTCCTCGAAATTTGACGTTTTATTCCGGGTAAATACTTCATCTATGACGACGAAAACTGCACAATACCATCTGTTATATCCTGAAGTATTTACTTTTTAAATAATTTGGAAAAATTATATCTTGAATAAGAAGTAGTTTTACTTACAGTTTTATGAATAAATCCGTTTTAGATGTCGTGCAAAAACCCAACACAAAATGGCACATCTGGAAAATTCGCGATTACGCGCCAACGGGTATTAATGTCCGTTATCACGCATCCAACCAATTAAGGCAAGTCCACTGACTGGCACTGAGTGCATTTTGTACTAGAGCTCAGAACAGTCGTTTATCCTGGTGTCTAGGATCCGTGGTTAGACTGCACGAAGTTTTGCTCGTTTGCAGTTTGGGATTTTCAATGAAAATATAAAATTACTACCTTCGTGTCAGTACGCGGTGGCTATGGGGTCCTATCCCAATAATACGTCTTCATCCGTACGTACGTAGGACTGTACATGTGGAGGAAATTTCCATGCTATGCCTAACCATGGAGGTACCTCCATGGCCTAACTATAGAATGCAGTCTTCTTGACCCTCCAGCTTGTGCACACTTAGCTAGCATGATCCTAGCGTTATGTTTATGCACACTGTGCTCGATTGGGATAGGAGTACTAGTTCTCATGTCTCCTTGCTCTATGGTATTCTCGACCATTTGGGCGTGAATACAACAGATATCTTTTGTAGGAAACCGGCGGAGCAAAGCCGTTTGCATACACTACGGTTATGTAATAGAACACTATTGAACACTATTGGTCATGCAGTCAACCTTTTCATTCATGTCTGAATATCAGTGAAACTTCTACTGACTGTGGTCATTACCCAGACCAAATGTTATGAGGAAAAACAAACTGGTAGGCCTGACCTTTCCCGTTTTGGTGGGAGACAAGGACATATCCAAAGGGACATTTTTCTTTAACCTCACCCTGTATATACATGCACGTACTTTTTTTTCTAAATCCAAATCCAGGCTCGCTATGGTGTCAGGTCAACTCGCCCCCTGGCAGACTCGCCTCTTACCGACTCGCCCCCTAGCCGACTCGCCCCTTAAAAACTGACCACCTGGCCGACTCGCCCCTTAGCCGACTCGCCCCTAGCCAACATCGCCTCTTAGCCGACTCGCCCTCTGACCGACTCGCCCCCTGGATATTATGTACATTCCGCGGACATCTTGAAAAAATTTTTTAGACAGTGAGATGATATATGAAGAAAAAAGTGGCGTCAGGTTGCAATTTTCTTTCCCAAAAATCCTCCAAAGCAGTTAATCTGATTAAGTAAAGAGCGAAATATGTATCATTGAAAAGTAGGACTTGATTAAACATAATATAAAAAGTAAGAAAATACACAAATTGGGGAAAATGTGAAAAGAGGTCACTTGTTTTGAACATACATCGTATTTATTCTCAACATACCATTACCAGCCTTCGATATGCAGGAGGCCATGTAACTGCTTCAATCGGCCCTCCATATCAAACCATTGTATACAATCATTTCAAACGCATGGTATGTTATTTAAATCACGTGATGTTTCGAGCATACCATGCTTGTTCGTAATACTAGGCTGCAGAAATAAATAGCCCAAACCAACGTAGTATAATTATGAGTGCATTATCAACCAAGAAAAAAGTTCGGTAGGTCCTATCCGCTCCATTCACAAGTACCCCCTCACCGGCAAAGAAAGTACAGTTAAGGGTGACTGACCGACACCATCTCAGTGCCTTACTGTAATTCATTTGCCGCGAAGCGCGGCCACTGCACTGCGTGTACATGGGTGCACACCTGTAAATAGGCCAAAAATCCGTCCGCCGACTTCATGAATAAAAGTTATTCCCCTTAAAATAGTCTATATTAGAGAGTTTTGAGAGCCATACAATTGGGGAATTGAAGAGATATGGTAATGAACCTCTAACCCGGAATTGGGGCTTCCAATTCTGAGCATTTTGGATGCTATTGGGCTCAAAAGTGGCGCTATTTTGCCATGTTGTGGAGGGATCGTTTTTCAAGATGGCTACTTTTCCGCTTTGGGGAAAATAGGGGTCGTCTTCTTTGGGTGAGAATATCTCGAAAAGTCGTGCGAACGAATTAGTAATTCGTGCGAACGAATTAGGAAATTCCAAAAAAAAATTCCACCCTGTCCCTTCCCAGGCTTCATACTCCAGCCAGCAATGCATTGGTTCTGTGTCACCCTCTCTTTGTTTGCTAACTCATTACGTTATGCACCCTTTTCTATATGCATATATACGCCATGGCAGAATGGATAAACGGGCTAGGATTTAATATAAAGGTTTTTTTTTTAATCTTGAAATCAGTAAAAAAAAACTTGACAAAATCTCAACCCTAACATCATACTGGGGATGGGACCTTGTGTGCAGAAAAACATGCAAAAACAAAATCAGTCCAACTTTACTCACTTTTGAGCCAACAAAATTCTCCCAAATTTGCATGGGACAAAGACAAGGTTTGAGCTCTCGATTGCAATTTCTAAAGGAGACTTTTCTTCAACACTTTATTTGAAGCCTATAAAGACTAGACAAGCCCAACTTTTTGAAAAGATTGACCCTTCAGTATTCTCGTGACATGACTGTGGGAAATGTGTGGACGTAAAGACTAGGTACCAGACGTTTCTTTTAACCATGTTGACACAGTTGGTTGATGCAGTACTAAAGGGGTGTTTGACTGGTTGTGTCATGTGCCAGTCTATTTTCTGGTGTTGCATGTTTTTACTCTCTCAAGTTTCTCGACTCTCATTTTTGGACTAGTACGCCCTTGTATATTAATCTAAGTTAGCAGACCAGTAACAACCATAGACCTCAGTGATATTTACACACATGCACTCAAACAAATATGAAAATTACTCAGGACTCTCCAAGGTGTTTGAGACACACATCAAATTAAAGCTTACTTCATCATCTTTCATTTTCTGTTCACTTTTTTGGGGGTGAACCTAAGACTTTTGAGAGAAAATTCCATCCAAAGAGGATCAACCCCTAATTTAGTCCTGAAGCCCATCGCCATTTTGAAAAGGGATGCCTACGCTCCATAACAAAAAAGGAGCAGTTTAAGGGCCTACGAGGTCCAAGTCCTCTTCACGGCTTCTCCTCTTCTTTTTTACAAGTTCACGGCCCACAAAACGCTCTAATACCGGAGAATTGGAGGGCATGCAAATCGTGATTTGATAGGCGAAGGCAATTTCAAGCCTATGCCCCTGCACCCCATGAGTCTAGTCCGAAAATTTGGCAAAACTTAAGGTATCCATATCGTGCAAAAGTTTGTGCTGCATAATAAAACCAGTGTGATTCAAATGTGCAAGCTTCTTACTCACTAAAGTTTCCTCAATGTTCCCCGAAACTTCTGCCTCGCAAAGTTGCTGTTGTGAGCATTGCATCACCAAAAATTCAGCTTTTAATTCTAATTTTGCAGAGAGTTATCGAAATCCAAACGTGAGACATCACGTTGATGTGTACTGCAATGCATTGTGCAAAAAGACTCCTCAGCTATAAAATGTTCATCTTGTATATAAAACAGTGCCCTCTTGTTGATCTGAGTGAATGCAGAATGTTTCATTTTTTTAACAGAGGGCGCTATGTTCTTTTGGCAATCGATTAAAAAACAAGTTAGGGTGCAGCGAACTAATTCAAGTGAGAATTTCTGCGCGAGCTGATTAGCATAAAAAGTGACCCCACAGTTTCTTTTGAAAACGAAGACTGTTTGGCTTAAAACACGGTGGAATTGTGTAAATATAGCCAAGGATCAACTCCCTGGTTTTGGGGCTTCCATCTGAGGGCAGGCTTGATAAAATTACGGTTGAAAAATGGGTCCTATTTGCCTGAGAAAGTGGAAGGATGCCACTTGTTAAACGGCTATACATGCAGGCTTGGGAACTATCACTTTTCGGGAGGTAATTTTGTTTTGGTGTGAATATTTAAAAATGTAATCGGCTAATCTACCCAAAATTGAAAGAAATGAAAAGATGAAGTACAAGACAATAATTTAATTTTTGTTTGAGAAACCCCAGTGATGTTGGCTGGCATGTTCTTTGGCCCTGAACTTTGTTGATTTTACACTGTTTTCAATGGGGCTTGAATTGGTTCAGTGCACCCGTAAGCTGCAAGGCACTTTGTGCATCTACCCGGAATACTTTGTGAATCACACTCACATTTCTAGATCATGGAGAATGACGTGGATGGTTTTTGAACCGCCAAAAACCTGCCTTAAAATTTGATTTAAGGTCTCAAATTTCGCAGGTGACATGCTTGCAACTATAGCATTTTGATGTATGTGTTGTGTGGGCATTAATTAGCCGAATGGTGAGTAAAAAAAAACGTCAGTAGTAATTTTGCATTTTCGTAACGTTCGCAGGTGACATGCTTGCAACTATAGCATTTTGATGTAGGCCTATGTGTTGTGTGGGCATTAATTAGCCGAATGGTGAGTAAGTACATCAAAAATGTAACGTGAGTAACCGTGGAATTGCCCATATACTTTTAACAGCCTACAGTTTTAGATGGTTATAGAAGTTTTCGTTGAAGATATAAATGTCTCTATTTACCGCGAATGGCTATACGGCTGACTTGTTGAGCTCGATCTATTCCAAAAAGGTCCTGCATGTATATGTACATGTTTGTGTACATGAACATGTAGTGGGTCAGGATCAAGCTCAGTTCACTTCGCCGTTTCGGTTTAAAGTTCATGTTTGCACTAGTTCTCATAAAAGTTGTTGCACAATTCATCTTGTAGTGAAAGCGGATTGGCAGCATTGCATTGTATAATTATGACCCCTTTTCGGGGCTTTATGAGAAATTTGAAGATCGTAGCAAATACCTTCAGGCACACTGCTAGCCCGTTGTCCATTCACGCACGCATATGCATATAGAAAGAGTGCATGGGCTATCTATAAATAGACCCCATTCAAACTAAGGGAAAAATATAAGTCCGAAAATTTGGGACTCTCAATACTGGGTATGAGAGTCCCAAAACTAAGGTATTGAAAACATGCAATACAAGACAATTAATAGACTCATTGCACCTGGAACAACAGTACAACTGCATGGGGAGTCCTGTTTAAAAGGAATAACATAGGACGTTGTGTCGCCGCTAACCCTCGGCCATGACCGCTTCCCGTACACATGGGAACCCATGCGTACGGGAAGCGGTCATGGCCGCGGCCGCTAATCCTCATTGGAATGCAGTTGCCTTATTGTTGCCAGTTGTGGTATGCCGTGACACACGGCTAGTGGGTAGTTCCACAGCTGCTGCTTTTGTGCAGTCCCGCTACCACACAAAGGCTGTGCAGTATGCGGGCCACTTGCTCTATGTGTGGAGGAATCATTGTCCCCATTTAACCCCTTCTTTAAGGGGTTAAATTTGTGGCTGTAATGCACAGGAAAATACAATAGATAAAATTTAATTCAACTCAAGTAATACAATACAATGACACGGATTATATGGTATGGTATTATGAAAGGTGACACCAGCGAAAGAGTGAACAGCTAAATTGTTGGACTAAATGTCCGTAAATTAATGTCACGGTGGAAACTGGAAGAAATTCAATTCAATTGCCATTGAAAAGTACACACTACATGTATATCTCTATTTATGCTAAATAGACGCACTGCATTAATCCAAACGATCGAGAATTGTCCATAACGAACCACGCATTATACAATTAATTTGATCGTAAAATACTACCCTACCAAAAAGCCACGACTGCGATTGTATTACTAAACAGCCTTGCGCGTGCTGTATAAAGAAAATAAATGGTTAAGGCCAAACAAAAAAGTGGTTTCTGGTATGCACGCGCTTCGTCGTAGCCATGCGCGTCGGCAAAATGAAAAAAAAAAATTTCAATGAAAGATGATGTCTCAAAACCGCCAAACTCACTGGTTTGACTGGAATCCTGCAGCCGCACAATTTTAACGTGTTTATAGATTGGGTTATGGTCGAGAATAAGCTTTATGTGGCCTCTCTGGACTCCCATATATATTTGCACTAAGTTTAGTCGGGCACCATTTACAGGCATCAGCCGACATTTGAAGCAAAAAAATCAGGTAAAAAAAAAAAAAAAGCCGCGTCGCCGCACCACTTTTTGGGCAAGTTCCATACCAGAAACCGGAGACTTTTTTTTGGGGGGGGCCTAATGATTACGTTACAGAACTTAAAACTACGACTTGTATATGGCCGATCGGAATTTCGGATAGTGTGACAGTACGCTAGTCTTAAAGTGACTGACCACCGTTGAAAATTTATACAAAAACACCATTTTCTTGAAAATGACTTCACACCAGGTGCCATAATTTTACAGGATGCTTAAGATTGTCATTAACCAACATCCTAGTAAGGTATTTCGTAAAAACTTGGTAGTTTTATTTGTTGAAATTTACAAATGTTGTATATTCCCTTTAAGTACTACTTTGACAGAAGTATTTATTCTCAACATACCATTACCAGCCTTCGATATGCAGGAGGCCATGTAACTGCTTCAATCGGCCCTCCATATCAAACCATTGTATACAATCATTTCAAACGCGTCAAACCGCCAAACTCACTGGTTTGACTGGAATCCTGCAGCCGCACAATTTTAACGTGTTTATAGATTGGGTTATGGTCGAGAATAAGCTTTATGTGGCCTCTCTGGACTCCCATATATATTTGCACTAAGTTTAGTCGGGCACCATTTACAGGCATCAGCCGACATTTGAAGCAAAAAAATCAGGTAAAAAAAAAAAAAAAGCCGCGTCGCCGCACCACTTTTTGGGCAAGTTCCATACCAGAAACCGGAGACTTTTTGGGGGGGGGGGCCTAATGATTACGTTACAGAACTTAAAACTACGACTTGTATATGGCCGATCGGAATTTCGGATAGTGTGACAGTACGCTAGTCTTAAAGTGACTGACCACCGTTGAAAATTTATACAAAAACACCATTTTCTTGAAAATGACTTCACACCAGGTGCCATAATTTTACAGGATGCTTAAGATTGTCATTAACCAACATCCTAGTAAGGTATTTCGTAAAAACTTGGTAGTTTTATTTGTTGAAATTTACAAATGTTGTATATTCCCTTTAAGTACTGCTTTGACAGAACCTTATACTAAATTAGTAAACCCTTCTTGTTTTATGTTATTTGGACAGGCCATGGAGCTTCAAACACGCGAAAACGGCAACATGGAGGCTACGCAGGAAGATAGTCAGGTGCCTTCTCCAATGGAGACTCCGCCCAGAGGTTTGGCAACTCCAGAGGAAGCGGTTGATGCCGACGGTGACCAGCAACCAGCGAAGAGCAGGTTTACATCCCACCAGATAGCCACCATCGCGGGCACCGTTTTGGCCGCGCTTACTAACATGATGGCTTTCTCGGTCATCGCGGTGTTCTACCCTATTGAGGTAAGTTCAACCCACGTAGCCACGGGGAGGGAGAGGCATGGGGGCCCCACAAATTGGCCGTGCCCCCAGGTCCCCCACCAAAATACTGATAATGCCCCTCTTCCTTCCCCAACCAAAAAGGCTTTTTGTAAGTTGTATTTTTTAGTTAGCCAAAGGCTAACTGTTTACAATTTCTTATGTCAATGGATATAGCGAGGCATTATGGGGCCCAACTGGGAAAACTGCAATAGGACGTTTGCGATATGTGCCCCCGTCCCCCAAATAAAAAAATTCTGGCTACGCCACTGAATTCCACTCCTAAACTAGTCCATGTCAATTATTTTGCCTATGAGAAATGTCCTAGGAAAAGCAAGAGCGGATCCAGAACACATAATTTTTTTTTTGGGGGGGGCAAAAAAATGTTGGTCCCCACAAAAAGTCATGGGTCCAAAAAATTACGGCGTGAGGTTAACTCGCAAATGGCCTATTCCTCTATTCTGCTGTTAAAAGCTGCAAGCTTCAATAACACAAATTTGTTAGATACATGTAGTTGATTGAAGGTTGAAATCCACTTTTTAGGGATTCATTATATGGATTTCCTGTCACTTTGCAACAGGCGAAGAAAAGGGGAATGTCTCAGACAGTTATCGGGATGGTGTTCAGCGCATTTGCCTTGTCATACAGCATAGGATCGCCCCTAATAGGCAAAATGGTAAGTCCCTGTTTGGTCTACAAATTCAATAAGACTATCATTATTTAGGGGAACGGAATATCTCGTGCTAATCTACAACATCTTTGAATGAGGAATGTAACAGTGGATTCAATAGACCTAAATTTCTTTTGTTTGTAAACATCGGCGCCATTTTATATAGGCTGTCGCAAGCGCATAAATTGAAGCCGTGGTTGGCAACATATTTTTTCAAAAAAAAAGTCCCCATAACGCCCTCAATACACAGTAAAAAAGAATGTGTAGGAATTGTGTTGAAGCTTTGTTGACAATGTCGTATTTCCAACAATCTAATAATATTTTGGTTTTCTGTAATAACTCTTCTTCATTTTTGCAGTGTTGGACCTTCCATAGTTTTGCATCCCGTGGTTGGCAAAATGTTCAGTTTGCCAACCGAGCGTAGAAAGGTCTATAGGAACAACTTGAAATAAAACCGACCATTTCTTTCACAAAACTCTGTTTTGTACTCTTCACAAGATGGCGCTATTTGGTTGTTAGCGCCCTCTACTGGCTCATTTCCCCCTTTTTGCTAATCCACCGTAATAGTTACTGACTTTAACATTACATGTACATGTATTTGCTTCGTAGATACCAATCGTTGGTGCCCGTTTCGCGTTTCTCGCCGGTTCGTTTATCACGGGAGGATGTAACATTCTGTTCGGGTGAGCATCAATCTCTTCATGTTCTCTCTTCTTTTTCTTTTGCTTCATGGACCGTATTCACGAGGTAGCCATTTTTGTCATGTTCCCTAAGTGTATTTCATAAATTGTTAACTGTTGAATAGGGTGGCGCCAGACTATTTATGTAGCCTTATTTTACTTTAATTTTTTTTAAATCTGGTTAAAAACATTAGGAGATGTTTAATTATAAAGTGTAAATTATTCGTTTAAGCAGACTTCAATTATTAATGTTCCTGCTCTCAATTCTCTGCCCAAGTTCCAAAGATTTTACCTCACTTTCAATTCAATAAGGCCCATTGGGATACAGTTTAACATTTGACAACTGGGGGAGCACTAACCGTTTTCTGTCCTATGCTATAACACAGGTTTATTATCGACATGCCCACAAACGCTACTTTCACTGGGTTCAGTTTCGCCATTCGCATTTTAGAGGGGCTCGGCTCGGCTGCTGTGCTGACGTCATCAGCGGCCATCGTAGCTTCTGTATGCCCTGACGATGTTGGCAAGGCTGTGGTATAAAAAAGTTACTTTCATGGGCAATTATACTACATTTGAGCGAGAGGGCGCTGGAACAAAGCCACACTATTGAAGGTCCCGCGTCCGATTTGACCCGGAATCCGAGTCATATTTTGACCCGATACTTTTCCGGGTAAAAACGACATGTTTTCCGGGTCAAAATGACACTTTTCCGGGTCACAATGACCCGAAAGATGACCACCATACTAATTAAAGGACATAATGCGTGCATTTATTGAGGAATAAATGTGTGCCTGGCCGTTTTAAACACTATGTTTAAGACCAATTCGTTTCTGGATGCTTATTCATACCCGAGCCGAAGGCGAGGGTAATTTTCAGCATCGGTCAAAAATCAAAACCTTTCGGTCCAAAAGTCAAAACAAGTCCAAAATTAAAAATTTTCAACGATTTTGTTCAACAATTTAACTTCATGTTTTTCGGACACCTATCCAACTGTATTATGGTATGTCAAGTCTCGCGAGTCGTAGTACAAAAACCCCTCCTTATACGGAGTTTGGCGAGCAGGTCGCGCGTAGTGCGCGAGTGGCGCAGAACGCAGCTGTGCCAGTATATTGTGCCGTTTAGTACTCACTGGTGGTATTGCGCATGCCTACGTGAGGATTGTGAACGCTGAATCAATAAAACGGTAAAAAGCACCTGATATTTATGAATATTTATGAATGTGTATTGAAATATTCTGTCCTGCAAGGGGCAAACATAAACTTTGATTTCGGCAGAAAAGTGACGACTTTACGATAGGAGTAAATCATTCGCACGCGACCCACGCATGCTTATAGTTGATTATTAAAGCAAAAATCACTGAACGCAAGTTTACACTTCAGAGCACCTGTTTAGCTCCAGGTAAACTTAGCTTTTTCCATTGGTGCCTCCTTCTTAAATCAACAGAGTCTGGTTGAGACGACTAGCGGCTTTTCTTTAGCAATAGGGCCAGCAGTAGGCGGCTTGCTGTATGAGGTAAGTATGGAAAAAATTGCAATCTGAGTTTATGAGTTAACGCTATGAGTGCAGTTGTTTTCTATACAAAAAGAAAATAGTAAAGAGGCAAATACCTACCCCTTTAATTTCCAGTCATTGCAATTGAAAGAAGCTGCATGTTAAAAGAATTGCACATAACAATATATTTGCCTTGTATGACACCAAGAACATTCTTTTCTTCTAATCTAATTTTTAGATTGAAGTAAAGTTGCCAAAGTGCTTGAATTTTTTTATTAAATGTGATATTTTGTAATTGTACCAAGAAAACGATGTCTTCCCAGCGTCTTAACTTGCTCAACATACGGTGAGGGGAATGAGGCGCCCTCAGCTGTTTGCATAAAGAACCAACTAACATCCCCAACAAATAAACACATTTTCATTTGTTTCGTTGATTCCCTTACCAGGCTGCAGGATTTAGAATTCCTTTCTTCGTCCTTGGTGGTATCGTTCTGTCGACCGTTGTCGTCAATTACTTCTTGATGCCTAATCAAGGTTTGAATCTTTAAAACCAATAAAATGTCCATATTAAAAAAAGCTGACAGAGGCCATCTTTCAGGTTTTTGTTTACTCAAGCGTATGGTCCCTGTTTAACAAAAGCACACACCGCAATAGATGGACTGCAACTGACGAAATATAAAAGATGATACGAAATGGGGCCAAACTCGTGGACGAAGATGCAATTCCCGAATCACTATAATTTTTTTACGTAAACTTACCTCAAGTTATCTTGGATTCACGTCTGTTTTTTTTACCGCCCAAATGGGAAGACAGCGCCCTGGCCTCATTAGCTGAAAAAAAATGGCCAATCAATGTCAAGTTGTTGTAAGCATCAGATTCTAACCCCGGACATCAGTGATTAAATAAAAGTACACAAAGCACCAAATTTGTACATGGGGGTACCAGACCAAATTGGGCGCCAGATTCAGATTGTTGTTCCCTGCTGACTCCGTACAATGTTATTTACCATTTCTGATCAGGGAACGAGGCTGAGGAGTCTGGTTCTGTGAGACAAGTGCTAAGCATACCTGCCGTCTGGGTCGCTTTAGCCGCAAACTTCGTTGGTTTTGCAGCCACCGCATCCCTGGAGCCGACTCTTGCAATTTTTCTGGACGAGGTAATGGAAACAAATGACATTTTCGTCAAATAACATCTTTGGAATTAAGATATGCGAGGTCTGTTTAAGTGGCAAAGTTGGAATGGGCGGTTCAGAGTTTTGACGATAAGCCCCGCCCACCTTTGGTGTGTGTACGTGTCTGACCTTGTGACCGAGTTTAACTGCGCTGCTGTGGTCACGTGACCAGAAGTCGTGATCTTATTGGTCAATGCGCACTGTTTGATTAACAGGCAGGAAGGGTCCATCTCAACTCCAAAGTCTCCAGTAAAATACTTTTTGACGATAATTATTCCTATACACATTTTATTTGATTAACACCTTCTTCTTGATAGCTTAATTTTAGTGTGATGGCGATAAGTCTGCTCTTTGTTAGCTTGGGTTTGGGCTACGGCTTATTCTCATTGATCTGGGGTGCCATTGCGGACGCAAAGGTAAGAGCAAACATTAATCGGCAGTGCTTGTGTGTGTTAAGGAGTTACTTTCAATGAGAATGGAAAGACAATGCATCGCTCCGAATTTCACACAAAAATGTTCGAGATTATTTTGTAGCAGGATATAACTTCACAACTGATAATAACAAATTATAAGAAAAAGCTCAACGTTAAAACTTTGACTTTTTGTGTCTATTAATTTGAAAATTTTGATTTCCTCATGTCAGAAATGCACTAGAATACTGATTGTAGTAGGTACATCCGGCAGCGGGGGACTGTTTCTGCTGTTAGGGCTACCGCAGATTTTGCACTTGCCTGTGTAAGTTTACTCTTCAAAAATCGGTCGATGTTAGGAACGCCCCGAAACGCCTCACGCAGCGTTCCGTCCAGAACTGGTGCGTTAAAGCAAATTATGAAAAAAAAAACTTGGTTTGTTCAGGTTGAACCAAGTAAACGTTAGATTCTCTTTAAGAACAAAAAACCGTCAGCCCCAAAACGCGGAAGAGTTCCCAGATCATTGAAGCCAGAACCGGTGCATTAGCAAGTAACGTACCAGTGTTAATACATTTGCGAACGTTCCTGTATAATTAACAGTCGGAACAGCTTGTGATCCTTTAAACGGACTCTCAGCGGAACGTTGCGTTGATTTTCGTTAGTCCAAAAATGGTGAACTACTCGAACTTGCTCACGACTGCAAACTCCACTTAAATGTTTGTAGTATAGTCAACAATAATGCAACAATTCTGGTACATGTACATCACTGTAATAAGGTTCTGGCTGTCCCTTTGATTTGCAAAACGTTTAAACACCTGAAACGTTTATCCTACAGGACTGGGGTACTTCCCGGCGTTACCATACCCATCGCAGCCGCAACGTTTTCCATGTTAGGTACTCCAACGTTTGTAGACATGTTAAGTTCTGCAGAGTAAGTGCAATTACTACACTGTTCGTTTTTAACTCTTATAAACGTTTATACTAACGCATTATTGCAACATTGCTGAAGCACAGAAAACTGCCTCTTCTAAAAAAGAAAAACCACAACCAACAGCGTTTTACTGTCAATGAAACCAAATTGGACTTAGTCAAAGAAATGATGCACTCGTTCAGATTTACGCCAAATTGATATGCATATTTTTTGACATAATTATGGAAAGCCTTTTTTTTGGGTTAACTTTTATGTTTAGTCCATACATGTATAGGCTGCTGTTTTTTTGTTTAAAAAAATACAAGTCAAATAGCTCAGAAAAGCTTGTATGAGGGTACGCATTGTACTTGTTAAAACAGAAGTTTTTAATTGATTGGATTAATACAATCTATAACCTCAATCCTACAGGTGGTATGGCATACCGAGTGGATTAGGATTGACTGCCTTTATATCCGGCCTTTGGAACAGTACGTCCGCACTTGGGTAAGAGAGCCAATAAGCTACCGTTGGTGGCGCTGTTTGCTGAATGCCTGAAAGCGAGGTCCTAGTGCTCTCTTTTTTTTCTGAGGATTTACCAAACAAGGAAAAAAATCGCCAGTGTAAATCAATGGTGAAAGCTTACACAGCCTCGGTTTGGCCGAAAGTTTGAGCCAAAGCCCGCTTGCGCAGTGTGTACTTCCTTTGCAAGTTGGCAATAGCGCCACCTACAGTTCGTGCACTGAATGCATTCTGGTCCTCCTGCTCGTAGTACATGCATAAGTAAAATTAACAAACATGCGGAAAAAGGAAGAGTTGATACGATAGTTTGGTTACATTTTCTTCATTGCCCTTTAATATGTCAATCATCCCACAAATAAAATAATTTCTTTTATACTAAAGATGGTGCATATCTCTCGAGTCACCACCAGAAATGAACTGACACAAATCATTTTGATTTTTCCGATTAGCGGATTGGCCGGCCTGTTGCTAGGGAGCGTCATCACAGAGCATTACGGCTTCGGCTATTCGATTATGACCATCGCTTGTGCCTGTTTCGCTCTTTTGGTCATCACGTGTCTTTTTGGCATCTGGGAGTTTCGATGCGGAAAAGGGTAAGTTGCACATAAACACTGAGAACGTAAAAAGGACACGTTTGTCAATATAAACACAGACTTGAAATCTTTCATACCTTTATCCGCAAGCAAAAAGCCGAATGCATGATGACGGTATATACAATGTAGCGGCTGATAGCGCCCTCATGAGACAAATGGAGAACGAGGTCAGAATGGACCGCCGTGATTGAAAACAACGTATGACTTCCTCAAACAAAGGTCACTGAAGCCGATGAAGTGTGAATTTAGGACTCTTTTATGAAATAAGCTCCGACAGGAGCTTCTACGTTAATAATTGGTGGTCGGGGCGCGGTTAGTCTGATCTGTCTGTCTGTCCCGACAATTGACCAGAAGTATTGTTCCATAATGTACCACCGGCGTCGCATTTTTCGGCGTCGCATTTTTCGGCGTCGCATTTTTAAGCTCTGGCAGGGATCGTTTTCGGATCGGTTTCTTCAGTGCAAGACTTTCCTGCAATCATGCAAGACTAATTCTTGCAACAGCCAGAGCTTGTTGTGCACACGTACACGCGGGGTTTAACCAATGGGTATAAAAGGAAACCGACTTTCATTGGAGTATGATTTTCATATGACACAGCGTTCATTTCCGCACGCGACACTTCAGTTTGACTCGCCCACAATGCTTTGCGTTTCCGGAAGAATATTCATATTTGGCACAGACTTGAGATTTGTCTGCAATGTACACATTTGAGTCACGAGTGTCACTCAATATTTAATATCCACTAAAATAACTCTGGAAAATTGTAAGTTAAAAATCTTTTTACCAAGAGAAATATTCAATCTCGAACACTAAGAAAAAGATAAGTCTGGCTCCTCTTAAAAACTTGTACCTTTTGTATTTACCTTTTAGGAGGCGGGAACCACGCGAGGCTTTTTCTTCGGAGGACAACTCGAATGATCAGGAGATGAGACTACTGCCTTCAAAGTAGATTGACAATTGGTATAACTGTATACTACCATCTTGCTGCAATGTCCAGCGTAACTGGAATGTTTTGTTTTGTTTCTTTTCATTACATACTTTTATGGTCGAGTTTATTTGAGAGCCAATTGAACTTCCAAATATGGTTGTGCCCAAACTTTGGAGACGACATGGATTCAGGAATGATTATAAGCTCGCCTGACAGGGGTAGTAACATCACACGCTTTAATCCCCCGGTCATTAACAACTGTATTATTTAAATAACTAGCGGGGTGGAGTCAAACACACTGTACTAATGTTTACTTTGACGTCAATTTGCATGTTGACCCCAAGTGGGCGTGGTAAAAAAAATATGATAAAATAAATAAGGTAAAATGTTATCCACGGGATAAAAAATAAAAATAAATTGTAAAAATTGAAAATAATAATTTTAAGCTGTGGTTGGCAACAGAGGTTGCTAAAATTGTATAGTAACATCCTCATTATGTAAGAAAGGGGCATTTTGATCAAGTCTTTGAAGGCATTTGTTGGTTATTTTGTATTTTCAAACATCCAATGTTTGGAAACATTATAAGAACCATTTTTGCAGCGTCGACCTTCCAAAGTGTGCCAGACCATGGTTGGTATAAAACAGTGCCAACCACAGGTTGTGGCACAGAAAGTGCTACAACTTTAAAGGCTGAAGTTTCTAAATCTATAGGCTGAACTTTATTAACATTTAAAGACTGGAGCTCGAACTGTAAATTGAATGGAAGTGCGATTTGAACCTGCGACGTTTAGATGTCCATACCAGTGCTCCACCGACTGACTATCGTGTCAGAAACCTGATAGCTCATTGGTAGAGCACCATTACGGCGGTGTAGAGGTAGCAGGTTCAAGTCCCGACCCAGTCAATGCCTTTGTTAAACCTCATAGACTTTGAGAAATTTCACTGCTCTGTTTCTGGAAGAAGATTAATACCCGGCTCGTCCTCAAGACAGGTCCCTTTTGTGCTGCAAACGAGGAGAAACAATTGCATCAAAAGTGTTTTCAAAAATGTGTAAATAAGACAAAAAGTAACAACCTTCACTAGTAACCTGTCGAACTGTCCAGCGTAGAACATTGTTAATTTGCTTAGAATGAGTTTTCAAAAATGTGTAAATAAGACAACAAGTAACAACCTACACTATAACCTGTCGAACTATCCAGTGTAGAACACTGTTAATTTGCTTAGAATGAGTTTTCAAAAATGTGTAAATAAGACAAAAGTAACAACCTACACTAGTAACCTGAACTGTTCAAAGTAGAACATTGCTAATTTGCTTAGAATGAGATGGAAACAGTAATAAATGCTTATGTTCAGTTTAAAAAAGTGTATCTTCTGCTATAAAGGGTACATGTAGGTTTATATCACTCCTGTACAGTCTGTCTAGTTTAAAACCAAAAGAAATAGTTTTGTGAGTGTGGTGCCTTATGAGGGGCGGGGCAAGGATTGCTTCTTGGTGGGATGTCAACTAAAAGATTGATACCTACTTTAAGAAGTTGTAGAGATAGTTTCTGCTGCAATTTGACCAGCCCAGCTCGGCTTCGTTGTCCTGCATGTAAGGACACATTAAGAAACCTGACTCTGGACAAGAGTTGCCATGGTGACCGTCGTGATGCATGCCCAAACTGACAACAGAAAACAAATATCACAACCTTTATAAACTTTTTATCTGTATATCTCTGAAAGAAAATACATGTTAAGAGTTTCTGAGAGTGATGAATGCGCATGTACTGCGGTCAAAGAATTGTCACGTGCACGCAATGTGCCACGTGCACGCAATAATCCAATCGGATTCTAACAGATTATTGCATATGCATACACTGAGATCTAAATAATGCATTACGATCGCCCAATGGTCCAATCACGATCGCAGAAAATCTTGGGCAAATTTGCTAAGTCTGACGCTGTCATACAAGCCGCGTAGTTGTTGATATGGCAGTGTCCGTCGGTGGCCAGACCTACCTGTGTCCTATCTCATGAGCGGTAGAGTAAATGGCGTCCTGTTCTAGAAACTCGACCAATGAGCACTGCTTCTTGCGTTGACAGGCGCCACCTGTCAGTGAAATTCCTTTAGTCCCGTCGCCATGGCTACCATGAATGTTAAATCTAAAGACGGGAGCAAAATATGTTCGTCCATTTAGTAACTGGCAGATATGTGTATTAAAGCTGCGAGTCTTTTCAAGGTACAAAGGAACATATTTTCATTGACCTGTTAATTTCAAATGACACTGATTCCTTTTTGTTTTCACTCCTGAATTTCCCACACTTATTTGATCAATGTACTTTTAATGTTTAGCTGCGGGATAGCTGCTCAACACATCATTATTGTCTCTCCGTTAGTTAGTTAGTAGGTTAGTTAGTTAGTTAGTTAGTTAGTTAGTAACAAACGTTCACATTGTCTATTGCTCCTACAAGTATATTTAGACCGATTTCAACCAAACTTTGTCAAAAGTATCAGTAGCCCAGCCCCAACATGTCACATGACCAAACTGGGGTCAAAGGTCATCATAGGGTCATTGGGGTCATAACCTTATTTTTTTTTTACTGGAAACACTACTCCTTCCAGAAATTACATGGCACAATCACGTGACTCATGCATGGACACGAACTCGTTGGCCCGCAGCTTCCGAGATTTTTCCCATCGAGCTCGTTTTCTGTTAAACACTCCAAAATTGACTTAAAATATCTTTCTGTTTCCCGGTTTACTTTAATTACCAGTAGGCCTAGAATATTATTATCGTTTTTCAAAAAAAAATAAATATCAGCAGAACTCTATACCCGGTCAGCAGAGTTGCGATGTCGTGGTGGCGTGGGTTCGCCTCCGAAATCGGGTTGCTCCTGTTCTGCCATTTGCAGAAATGGAACAGCGTCCAGTACGCATTTTCGGCCGTTACTAGATCACCCTGTGTGGTCGCCATCGGAAACAACAAATTCATGAGTTCTATTAGTGAGGTTGCCATCGAAACAACTAATTCTTGAATTCCATAACTTTTGGGGGTGCTGTGGGCCAATGGTTACGGTGTTCGACTCGTGTGCCGTGGTGCGTGGGCTCGAACCCTGGCAGGGAATATAGTGCTTGTGTTCTTGGGCAAGATACTCTACTACGATTGCCTCTCTCCACACAGGAGTATATAAATGGGTACCTGTGAAGGTATAGAGACCAAATTGCACTTATCTCGAGCTGCTCCAGAAAAAAATTGTCTCATTCCTGATGAACAGGGATTAGCGCTTTATACACCACATTACTAATAGTACATTATTATTATACTATTATTATTATACGACGAAATGGTGCCTTATAGGGAGACACGTTATCGTAATTCTTTCGAAGATAGGGAGACATCGGATATTAAGGAGACATTTTAATGCCTCCCTAAATATCACAGTCCCCTCTAGAGGCAAAATGTTATTGTCAAAACGGGTTATATTTGTTGCTCGTGGTCTAATTAGTAAACGTACCGAAACTCGTGGAAAATGGATAATGGAATATTGGATTAGGGCACATTAAAGTTTGAAAAATTTTGTGCACAAGTCTGTGGGAATGTCTAAAAAAAGGATTATTATTATTAATATAAAGGCATATTGGGTTAGTGCACATTTAAGTTTGAAAAATGTTGTGCACAAGTCTATGGGAATGTCTCCCAAATGTATTGTTATTATTATTATTTTATTGGGCAAAGGTGCGACTATATTACAAAAGTCTACGTCACAATTGTGTCATTAAGTCCAACGGTTACCAATAGGAGCACCTCTGTCAATTGAATATATACAATAAATAGGTGGCAAGTTTGTTATGTCTCCCTACGGGAATGTTGTGGTAGACTTTGTTTCAAAGATGTCTAATTCGTCGGATGATTTGGAATCGTATAAGGGAATTAAAGAACAAACAATAACGATTCACACAGTGTTGTTTGTGTAGACCCTCATGTCAACAACGACAAGTTTCAGCTTGTCTCCAATAAGACTTGGTAAAGCCAGGACGTGGGACACCTGTGTGAAAAAAAAATCACGACAAAATAGAATAACAAAAAATATCAGGCAAAGCAACACTGTTTTCAACAACAGTATATGGGTAAATATGCATGGGTGTATACCTATGTTCCCCAATACCTATGTTCCCCGGCCAACCCTAACCCTAACCCTAAGGATTTTAGGGAGACCCCGGTGATTATTAGGGCCTTCCCACGTTAATAAGACTGACCATAATGATACCTATATCCGTAAATAAGGAAATTTAAAGATATTTTAAAGGGTAGCCTGGCTCAGTTACTCTGATCAATACTCTTAATTTATCCACACTCGCTCAAAATTCCATCTTTAAAAAAAAAGAGCATTGCCTATACGTACCGCGTTCATCAGGGCCAAAATGTTGGTGGCCGTGTTGGCACCTCGTATGTCGTAGAGGGCGCTGTCACCCACCACCATCGTCTCGATGTACCTGTCGGATGGTCCTTCAGCTGGATGTACGTGTACCGGATAATCTGCATTATAAGAATTTGTAAAATTAGTTTTAGTTTAAATAAATGAAGAGTATACCTCTTAAATACCACACTATGCACGCTAAGATACTGACTTGAAAACGAACTACACTTAGTCACATAAAAACCTTTTTGGCAACTATTTTGACTGACCCATTTCATCATCATCGATGACGTCACACGACCCAATCAAGTCCTCTTGCTTGCTGCCCTTGTACATGATGTGGGGCGCCCCCACTATGTCATTTGCGGGGCTCAGCTCAACTGCATCTTGCTCGTCCAGAGGTTCGATGTAGAACGTTTCGGAGCCTCTCCGAATAAAAGCAAACTAAGGAGAAAAGGTGTAACATATAAAACCAGAATTTAGTTGGAAGTCGCCAGAGGGGCATTTTATTTAAATTAAGGTTGAATGTGAGTCACGGTGATCTATCAAACTAAATGATCAATCTGAAAACGAATCCTAAAAAAAATATGTCCCTGCAGATGACAAACTGTGTATACTATGCAGTCTCTAACCATTGGCGTCGCGAGGGGGGGGGGGGGGCACTTGCCCCCCCCTGGAAAAGCCAAAAAAAGGGGGGGGGAAGGAAGAAAAGAGGCGCGAAGACAAAGTGGTGTCAATTTAATGAGTTGGGGGGGGGGGCAAAATGTCCCTGCCCCCCTCTAAAACTGATAAATCGAGAATGTGTTGAGAAATACAAGCATTTTTGGGTAAAAAATTGTTTTGCCCCCCTCTAGAAAAAAATCCTGGCGACGTCCATGTCTCTAACCAGTGGTTCTCAGTCCTTACGCGACAAATTGATGACAATTTCACAGACAATGGCAGCTCTCAATGACACTGACAATTATACTCAATTCATACAATATCACTCACTGGATGGATGTCAATGTGAACATTGGAAAAAATATTGTGTACAAAGTCTATGGAGAGTAATTCCTAATAAAATTGGAAATGTTTCTTAATCCCAAATTCATGTTTTATCATCATTTTTTTGCAATAAATGACGTTCTTTGAGATGGTATTTGAAGATAAAAGTGGCGTCAGGTTGCAACATTTTTTCCAAAATGTCCTCCCATATAATGGGAACCGGGTCTTAAACTACACTATTACCACATTTTCAACAACAACAGTGGCCGTAAGTTTCAATGCAACGACAATCTTCCTACCATGAACTTCCTCATTTTTTTCATCATGTATCATCTCAATAAAGGTAAGTCATTGAAAGAAATGTTGAAAAGACATGCATCTGGGACTGAGAAACGTTTCCAATTTTGTTAGGAAATACAAAATTTTCTTGACTCTCCATAGGCTTTGTACACCGAACCGCTGAAGGGGATTGGATACTACATTCTTTCCCTTTTATGTCCCAAATCTCAAAGCAACACCGACAACGAACAGGACACCAATATAACACTGAACAGAACAGGGACTTACGATGCCACTGCAAGCACTAATCGTCACCACTGACTCCCCGTCTCCTACCAGAGTTCCCCGGTAGTAACAGTCGGAGCGGACTGCTTCACGACCCGTCAGTGAATCGCTCCCAGCCCCGTCATATACCACCTCCAAACCGTCAGCTATGAAGGAGGAATCCTGGTGAACCTGCTCACGAGAAAACATTACATTTCTTTCAATTATTCCTCAGTTTCGAGTGGAAAGTTCACAGCAACTTTATAGGCATAAGCACCAACTTCTCCGTGAAAATTTAAAACATGGCAGACAACTCCCTGGTGTGCAGTCATTCGGGTGATGTTGGCTCACGCGTACCAGCGAGGCACGTGTAGTCTGGTTCCCATTTCCCCTTCATTCAATGTCTGCAGTAAAGAGGGACGGGGAGCCATCCTTATTTACTTTGATCTCATTGGTCAACTAAACCTCACCTTTCCCGCTTTAAGTTGCTTCCCAAATACATGTATTTTGCGTGAATTTGCGAAGACCTCGGACAAAATTATAGGTCCTCCAAAATTACTCTCCCAAAACCGATTCGTTTGCTTCGACAAATATCTTTCTGCTAGGATGACAAAAATCTGTATTTTTTTTTACCGCGTTCCCTTTGCAATCAATACTAAAGACCTTGTTCTTTTCAAAGACAAAACATGTCATGTTTTTTAAATTAACATTTTTGAACCTTTACCGTCATGTGAAAGTTTTCTCCGAAGGCCGAGACTTCGATGGTCATTTTCCCGACAGCAATCGCGTCTGTTGTAGCGGCCATAGCTTCATAGTTGTCGGTTGCAACCACGGGGTAAACTAACATAAATTCCGGAGCTGATGACGAGGAAAAAAACGACAGCCAATATAATTTCAAACTTTGATTTTAAGGAAAAGATTAATGGTATCACTAAGATAGATTAACCAAAATAAAATTGTGCAAACTAATAAAAAAATAATTAGGCTTATGACTGAAAAACATTTCCAACTGTTCTCGCCCCTTATTTCTTTGCAATTGATTTTTAACCTTATTATTTATTTCCCCATCCCTTCCCTTTAGTAAGGTGATAAAAGGATGAAGTTTGGCACTCAGTCAGAGTATGTCACGAGAAAGATATTTGGCTTTAGGGCCATCACAGATTTGGCCTTTGAAAAAAATATAGGTAGAATATAATAACAAACAATGGCAGCCATTTTGAAAATTTGGAAAAGTGCTTGTTATTCTACCTACATTTTTTTCAAATCTGCGATGGCCCTATGTCTTTCTCATGACATACTCTGACTGTGCCAAATTCCATGCATCAAATGAACAGTACCCCCAAATATTTCCCCCATCTGCCCCACTACGCAGATCTTTACCCACTGCCATGCCGCACCCCATTGATCCATCCCCAGTTTAATCCCTCTTTTGTGTGTCTGCTTCCACCCTTGCACGCTTGTTCGTCCCCTACATGTTTGTTTCTTGTGTAGCACTGCGTTTGCCTCTGAAGAAGTTCTTGTTATAAGACTGAAACGCCAGACCAGCTATTTTTTTAAAGCAGTTTGCAGCAGTTTGATTCATTTTCGTGTTATTTACTGGATGAAATTGTTAGAATATTAAAATTTTTAATGCACATGTGAGGAGTATAAAGTCTTTTTTTCAAAGAATATTTCAATGTTTAACATAATGTATAAACAGTCCTTTTAAAATGATTTCTGTCATATTGAAAATTGTAAACAATCGCAAATCAGTCTTTGGACTGCGAGAATGGTATGAACAATAAAAACCTTCAATTCAGTTTGCATGCAGGAGATGTATATTATCTAGTGGTGTATCATTTGCCCTTCATCGACGTATTTTATAAACAATTTACAAATAAACGTATGTTTAAGAGTTTGTGCAAAAAGAAATCGCAAGTCTCACCCGAGTGAGCTTTTGTATATACCTCTTAGCCCCCCCCCCCTTGCTGGCTACGCCTATTTATCATGGTATGGAATATTTCAAAACTATTGTATTCACTAACTCTATGTAGCGCGATTTATATATCTTATACAATTATATTATACACCGCTTACACTGAACAAATATATACACGAAGGCTTCTGCCCGTACCTTTTAAAGAAAAAATCCCACACATATTGCTTGATGAAAATCTATAAATTTGAGCATGTCTACATACCTTTTTCTGGTGATTCGACGCCAAAATACCGGACAAGTTGTTTTGAGCTCATCTGTGTGGCTTTCACCATCACAACGATTGCCAAACAAACGAAAAGTTTGAGATATTTCATAGTTTTGGTGAGGAATATTACTATGGACCTACTATTGTATACCTAAATTCGAGTTTTGTACATCATTCTGTACTCACTGCTTCAGTTGCTAGCTATGAAGGTCGCGTGAATGTTTTCAATACACCATAAATTTAAGTGACTAATGGGATTTTTAATTGATATGAAGATGCGGGTTTATTTTGTCGTTGACGGGAAGTACTTGGGCCAAGCTTTATATTTGCACTTATGACGTTGAGTGAATTGCAAAGCGGGCATACTGGCTCAATTCATATCATGTGATCATCGCTGGTTGTCGCAGTGTATCGCAGCCAACAAAAACTAACCGGGCATATCGCAGATAATCGCAGATACTGATCTTGTTCTGAACGCATTAACTTCGTCCAAGACATGTCTTAGAGGCAGCAATCATGCTGCACAGCAAAACGTAAACGATTTATAACATACACCCACACTGCAAAAACTGTTATGTTTAGCAATTGCACACTTAAAGACTTTCTTGCTATCACGTAAACATGTTTAAATGCTAAACATGTTTTAGTTCAGTCGGAAAAGGGGGGTATCGTGCACCCTCGGAAATCAATTTCTAATCAACGTTTCTAGGTCAGAAAAAATGCGTAGAAAACGATTTGCTATGTTAAAAAATTCAAAAAATGTCCCACGTATTGTTTTTATGCAAATTAGTGCCGCCATTACCGAAAAATCTATTTGTAACTATATCTCAGCCAATATTGCAGATAACTGAACGAACTAGGTGTCTAAACCCATGTTTTCAAGGTCAGAGATCACAATAAAACTATACTGGAAGTGACCACATGTGTCTGTGGCATAGTAATATGCAAATTAGTGCCGCAAATACCGGAAAGTCATGTTTTTGGCATATCTCGGCCAATAGAGCACATAATTACACCAGTAAGGTGTCTAAACTGCATGTTTTGAGGGTCAAGTATCATTAGAAGACCATTCACGAAGTAACTATGTGTGTCTTTGGCATGAAAATATGTAAATTATAAAGTGTCGGTTTTTCAGATATTTGATTTTTAGCCAATATTTCGGCCAATATTGCACATAACTACACAAGTAAGGTGTCTAAACCCATGCTTTGAGGGTCAGGTATCATTAGAAGACCATTCACGAAGTAACTATGTGTGTCCTTGGCAGGTAAATATGTAAATTCTAAAGTGTCGATTTTTCAGAAATTTGATTTTTAGCCAATATCTCGGCCAATATTGCAGTTAATGTTGACAGAAGGGTTTTTGATAAGCAATAATGTTCAAAGTTTATTTTAAGCCATCTAGTTCAAAATAAACTGTAATATTGGCTGAAATTGAATACAATTTGGCTGAAAATAATTTTTTTGATAAACCGGCAATTTATAATTTACATATTTTCATGCCAAAGACACACATAGTTACTTCGTGAATGGTCTTCTAATGATACCTGACCCTCAAAACATGGGTTTAGACACCTTACTTGTGTAGTTAAGTGCAATATTGGCCGAGATATTGGCTAAAAATCAAATATCTGATAAACCGACACTTTATAATTTACATATTTTCATGCCAAAGGCACACATAGTTATTTCGTGAATGGTCTTCTAATGATACTTGACCCTCAAAACATGGGTTTAGACACCATACTGGTGTAGTTATGTGCTATATTGGCCGAGATATGCCAAAAACATGACTTTCCGGTATTAGCCGCACTAATTTGCATATTACTATGCCACAGACACATGTGGTCACTTCCAGAATAGTTTTATTGTGATCTCTGACCTAGAAAACATGGGTTTAGACACCTTGTTCGTTCAGTTATCTGCAATATTGGCTGAGATATAATTAAAAATTGATTTTTCGGTAATGGCGGCACTAATTTGCATAAAAACAATACGTGGGACATTTTTTGAATTTTTTAACATAGCAAATCGTATTCTACGCATTTTTTCTGACCTAGAAACGTTGATTAGAAATTGATTTCCGAGGGTGCACGATACCCCCCTTTTCCGACTAAACTATTTAGAGTTTTGATGGAAAGTGTTTAGCAATTGAACATTGATGCTTAGGAATTGGACACACAATGTTTAGCTTCTAAACATGTTTACAAAGTGATGCTAATTAACATTGTGTTTTGCTACACACAGATTGAGTTTACTGCGTATTAAGCCTTCATGCATTGTGCGCAGATGAAAAAAAATGCATAATAATCTTCATGAACCAGATCAGGGTCCCCCCCCGTTTTTCCCGTTTAGACTGCCTTTGTTGTCTGTACCCTTGATGATTCTCGTCAAACTTGTTTATGGAAACTAACACAAACAGAATCGGCTCTAAACAAAACGCTAAAGCTAAACAAAGTCATTCACATTCAACAAAGCATAACGTGGCCAAATTTTGTGTGCTTCTTGGAGCGAAAATCACACAAGCTTCATAACTTTGAGAAAAACTCATAACCACATTTTCGACGTGTCTGAAACATTTCACGTTTGTAGTATTTCGTCACTCCATGAAAATACGCAGTTATAAACACATATATGTCAGACGAACAGGTACAAATACAGTTACCCACAGAGTAAACCCAGACTGAAAAGAACACGGTTCATTGAACAAAAATGGCAGATTTGGGGAGGGTTTATATAACGTAACTATTGTGTAGAAGAATGGGCAACGGGGAACGCAATGTCACAGATGTAATTAACTCAGGCACACACTGGGCCACCCGGGCATGCGCAAAACGATTTCCTTTTGTTGCGAAGAGGAAATGAAAAACACAAATAGGTGTTGCCCAGTAAGAATTTCACAAGTTCAATATCTCCCTTGCTTGAACAGGACGGGTTCTGGAGTTTGTAAAACTAATTCGTTCGACTTACTTAGTGTGGATAGATAGGGGTGGCATGATGGCGACTTTGCGTATCAAATACTTTGTGGCTTTGTGCCTTGTGTTTCTGGCAGTCCACGGTCAATCCACGTCTGGACAAACTGGTAAGTTTCCCGTCATTTTACATGGTGGTCGATGGCTGCTACATTGTTCAGTCCATCGGGGTAATGTATGCATTATTGTCTGATCATGTTCTTCCTCATTTGGACGTGTGCACCTCTTGGGCTCAATCTCTAAAAGGGAGAGCGTTTACATGCCAGAGTTCGAGGGTGAAGCCCAGTGAAACCCATTCATTTTTACCCCCTGGTTTTCAAAGGATACGAAACCGATTTGAGATAACCTTTCTATCCTTTTAATTTTGTATTGTACTAAAAAATCTAACATTTTATTTGATTATCATTGTAATGATTTGTCTTTTCAATATTCAGTAAACCTCAAGCCCTCTTAAAGAGGTTGTGGAATGCTCGAAGACATTTCCGTCATTTTTCGGGTATATGTAGCCTAAGGTGTGATGAAATAAAAACGACTATTGTGTCTGTCATGAAATGAGTGGACTCCCGATGCAGGACTCCCGATGCAGCGTAGCATAAGCGAGTCCTGTTTATTACGTCACGATTTACTATGTTTTGTTTGCTGCCCCCAACGACGACTTTTACACAAATTGCACGTTTGGGTCGAAACAGGACCTGAAAACCAGCTCTCAAAAAGTACCTTTTGCACTCAGTTCATGACAGACACAATAATCGTTTCTATTTCATCACACCTTAGGCTATGTATACCCGAAAATGACGGAAATGTCTTCGAGCATTCCACAACCTCTTTAAGTTTGGATATACATGATATATATCATTATAAGCAGTCTTTTGTGTGTGTGTGTGTGAAGCCAATTAACTGGGAACTAACGAGGGTTTCTGTCACATATGGCGGCTGAAAATCAGTTCACTTGGAACTTTGAAGTTCTGTTTGTAAGCAGACGCCGTGCGATACATTTGCTATCACGTTCTACCATTCATACGGGGCCGTCATAAAGTACGTACGCACGAAATGCTGACTTTTTAACCCCCCCCCCCCCCCCCCCCCCGTACGCATGACATACACATTACCCTCCCCTGTACGCATACGCATTTCGGTGTAAAATGTGTATGTACTGTACATGAACATGAATTAGAAAGTATTATCAATGCGCTATGCTTGCCATAGGCGGGATGCTCCAAAGTCATGAATAATTCAACAGTTTCGATCAGGACAGTATGTTTATTCATGAACAGAACAATGATATCAAGAGCATTGTTGTTATTTAGTCAACCAGATACATTTAAAGCATTTTAAAGTACCGACGTCTTTTTTTTGGGGAGCTACCACAGTAGCCTAGTGGATAGCGTGAGCTATATACAAAGATCCTTGGTTCGAATCCACATCCTCACTGCTCATTTTCATCGACTGCTTTTCTTCTCTGAATTTATCGTCGAGATAATTATATTTTAAGGGTAAAAAAAGATAACGTAACCCTAAGTGTCTTGCAACGATTCAAAGGAAAACTGAATTATGCATACTTTGGAGCATCGATCCCGCCTAAAGAAAAAAAAAACCGTTGCCGCCGGCTACTTGAAGCATACTTTTTATTGGCGATTGTGAAGTTAGGTTAATATTGACCTTATCAAATACTTAGCGACATTTAAAACCAATAAGAGTGTCGTGGACCAAAGGGCAGGGTTTTGATATTCTTTTTATGGGAAGTTTTTGGGTAAAACGATGACGAAGACGACAAAATGCAACGCCAAAATAAATATGGCGATCACCATGACGCGCCCTGATGTGCAAAACCGCGTCGATTCACACATTGCATGAACTGTAAAATGCATACGAAAATCGCATTTCTACAATGATGTCAAATAATGAAAGGTTTGCGGAAACACCATGTGCTAATAATTTCTCAACTAAGAGAATGGTCTGAAAAGAACCAGAGGTATAAACTCTCCTGAAGACGGTCAGAGCATACTGACCGGAACGTCGAGTTTATACCTCTGGTTCTTTTCAGAACCATTCTCTTAGTTGAGAAATTATTCGCACATGGTGTTTCTGCAAACCTTTCATTATTTAGTATCTCCACCATGCAAAGCCTCAAATCTTACTTACAATGTTGTCGTTAGATTAAAAAGAAGTCGATCAGCGTGGGTTGAAGAAGTTGTTTTTGGAATAATGAAAAAAAGTCGTCTCTATTAAACTACTTGACCAAAACTAAAGAGGGCCGGGCTCGTATCACTATATCGCCGTTTTATCATTTCGCGGTCTCTGAAGTTTTATGAATTGTAAAGAAAACGTTGGCGGTGACACTTGGAAGAAATCTAAATGGTGGAACTGAATGGTAGTGTTATATCGCTATTAAAATCTGGTCCTTGTAGGTATTAAATATGAGCAAGTACATTGATTTAATGACAGTTTATTAAAAGCAAATTATCGCTCTGCGTACGTAGGCATTGGCTCGGACACCCCTCCCGTTCCGTGTACGCATGGTGTACGCAATGTTACCCTCCCCCTTCATGCGTACGTACTTATGGAACGCACTGTGTACGATTAAAAACTAATACGTTGACATATCGCCGTTACCTTTTGCAGAGACGGTTCAAATCACTACAAACATTACAGCCGAAGTATGCAATGAGACACATCTCTGCCAGCATATGGGCTGCGCCACCCACTGGAATCAGAACAGCGCCTGTCAGTGCGACTGGGCATGCGTCTTCTTCGACGACTGTTGCGTGGACTTTGCTGCCACATGTTCTGACCAAGCTGGCCTGGATGTTCTGGACGGTTTAGGCGCGTCGTCCTTTGAGTGCGTGACAAATAGGTTCAAAGGTCAATCTGGCTATGCGACGACCTATCACCACTGGATGCTGAGCCTTTGCCCTAAGGTCACAGATGCATCTCACACCAACCGGATAGTTCACCAAAACTGCGAGACACGAACAAACGACAATCCAAGCACTCGTATACCCGTCACGGACACCAATGGCGTGACCTTCAGAAATGTCTACTGCGCCCTGTGCCACGGCCGTCCAACTAACAAACTCGTACCCTGGACGCTGAATGCAACTTGCGAGAAATCCGTGATTAACAGGCTACAGAATACCAGCCGAGCAACTTACCAGAGGATTGTGTGGAACAACTGCAGCCACTCCTTCCAGCTTCCCTCGGTCTTGTCAAGCAATGCCGTCACTCGCAGACCATGCCTGCCATCACTCCTACGTGACTGTGGTTCTGACGGTAGTATGAGCACTCATATTGCAGAAGCGTGCCGAAGCTTTACAGCTGTCGTATGCTCTAAACAGTCACATTTGCTGTACAGGAACCCGGCATGCTACGCCATGTGTGAACTGTCAGATGGTAGATACACACTGACCTGCCCATCCAAGTCTTCCTTCATATTTGAGCAATACGCAGTGGCAATGCCACATTCGACGGTTGTATCACGCTTCCCTAACATTTTTAATCGGAGGGAAGAACCAGATCGTGGGGAAGGACCAGTTCTGACACCTTTATCAATTATCTTCGATTTTGGCCCAGATAACAGTGATGGCCAAGAGGTAGTGTGCGAAGACGGTGATCTCTACGATTCTACCACACAGGAATGTCTTAGTCCATCTTGTAGGCAAGGGTTTATCTTCATGGCTTCTGAAGGCAAATGTGAACCCATCAACAGTCTTATAGTAGATACTACATCTGAAAGGTTCCACTGCCTCGACAGACACTACCAAATGAGGTCCAACTTCTCCTTGCAGGTGACTGTGGAGACTGCGAACATGACCAGAAGAAACATCTCAACTTCTCAAAACGAGTCCTCTGTGAGAATCATTGAAAGATCCATTCAAGACTCTCTGCGCGTGATGTATGAAGAACGCCAAGATGTAACGGCAGGGCTGTATTTCACAACACCACACCTAAACGCTAGTGCAACGGTTTTCAAGATTACCTTTCAAAAGCGCGAGGGTAATGAGAGACTTACATTCAATGACACTGGAAATGATGACGCTGACTTCTGGCGGAGTCTAGTTGACTCGATGGTCGAGGACATTGAAAAATGGCTCCTTGCATCGTCAGACACTGGCGGTAGATCCTGTGGGATTGAAACTGTACAAATCGTTCAACAGTGTGGAGGCGACGTTATGACAGACTTCAGCCAGATCGAAAACTGCCAAGAGACTCTGTGGCTGCCTTTAGACGAGGATGCAACCACCACCACCACCGACAACCAAACCATCTTAATCTTTGACGAGACAACAGGGTCCTGGTTTAATGTGTCAAGCTACAGCCTTCGGATTGGCTTCCAACAGGAAGGAACTCATCCAAACAGAAGCAGCACCGAGATCGGTCTTTGCAGGGAAAGTGCCCTCACCTTCACCTGCCCTACAGTGGAGCTACAAGAGTCCCAGTTCTCACCGGTTGAGGATATCGACATATCAGACAGTCACCCGAACGGAAGCTTGGTATACATCGAAACAGGAGAGGTCCTTTCCCCAGACGAGTTTGTCCGAATGAACGAAGGACGCATAAAGGTTTGCTCCTCTCTGTTGGCTAACGGGACGGGCCAATCGCCATTTTTCAACTTCACCCATGCCCAGGCTATACTCAGCACAGTTGGACTCTGCATTTCGGTCTTTGCTGGAACCATCACTCTCATCACCTACGTAACGTTTCCGAGTCTCCACAGCCGCACAAGGAAGGCTATCATGGGCATGGTGGCATCTCTCATCGCAGCTCAGCTCCTTCTCCTTACAAGTGGCCGTGCGGCTGCTAATAAAGAAGCTTGTACAGCTGTCGCAGTTGCTGGACACTTTCTCTGGATGGCAAGTCTGACTTGGACCAACGTGTTGGCATTCTTGCTCTGGCACACCTTCGCTGCAAGCAAACCAGCTCCCTCCGGCGGCCAGGTTCCATTCATGAGCAAGACCAGCCTCCTGGGTATTGCTTATGCTCTTGGGATCCCTTTGGCAGTGGTGATCCCGTGCTTAGTTATCCACTTCTGCTCCTGCACCGAGATCGGCGTCATTTACAGCACCAGCCGTGCCTGCTGGGTCACCTCTGGCTTGGTGAACCTTGTGGCGTTCGGCGTCCCGATGGCTTTGTTCCTGGTCATCAATATCGTACTGTTTGCTCGGACTGTCTGGGCGATAAGAAGCTCTCATCGCAGGTCTGAAAAACAGCTTCACAAAAAGCGAGAGAAAAAGCTGAGACGAACCAGGAGGGAACTGATGATATATATCAGAGTGAGCTTACTTTATCCACTTCCCTTTTTCATTCCCAATAACTTTGGAGAGCCTGGTTCATGGGGCAAGAATCAATTAAAACTGGAAACTCCTCATTTTCAACACATCAATTTTAGGTCATTCTAGTGACTGACTAAATTGTGATTCAAGTTTGCTTCATTACAAAAATCTGAAAGTTATAATCGTTTCAGCCAACCTCAAATTTTCCATCTGTAGAAGCAGGGATATAAGTTGACTCTTGACATTTCTACCTGAAAATTTAAGGTAAATTCGGAAAAGTACACACACATGTATTGTGCCAATACGTTCTTTACAATTTGAAAAAAGAAGCCTGAATCAGGCAATTGCAGGATGCACTGATACTTTGAATAAATTTTAGCAATAATTGTTGATTATCTTTCAGATTGCCAGTCTGATGGGCTTTACTTGGGTGTTTGGTTTTGTGTCCAGCGCCTTCCCCAAGGTCCAGGCTTTGTCGTACATCTTCATCCTCCTCAACTCTCTCCAAGGCCTCTTCATCTTCCTCTCATTCACCTTCAACAGTCAAGTCAAGGTGATGTGGCAGAAGAAACTGTCTCCGGTGGGATCCTCCATCTGGAGCAAGACCAGTCTAGCGACGAGCAAGCTGAGCAAGTCCTCAGTGACAGCGTCGAGCGTGAGTGCTGGTGTCGCAGCCAGCGAGTCAATGGAAATGAGTTCGAGTCCAGCCTGTGAGGTATCAACCAACCACAGTGACGATGGACACAAGGGCCAGTCAAAACAAGCTGGAAGGCTCAAGTCATCTTTGAGCGGGTTCTGGGCTAAGAAACATGGTCATGAAGGTCATCAATCTGAGGATTATGAAGACAAGACAAAGTATCAAGATGGCCCCGTAGATGTAGATGAGTGCAACAACCTCCAAATGAAAGCTGCAAAACTGAAGGCACGTCCGAGTGGCATCTGGGTGAGACATCTGCCTCCCTCTCGACAAGATCCCAAATCAAAGGTTGCAGAACCTAAGAATCGATACGGAGATGGCATTACAAGAATGAGCGACATCGAAACTGCCAAGGGCATTCCACATGGGAAGCCACTCCCCCCTAAACACCCAAATCCTCAACAGAGCACGGATGTTGAGACTCTGAGAGGTATCCTAAACAGAGGCATCTCAGAGGACCTAGATATGAAAGCTCCCTCCCGACCAAAGCCCCTTCCTCCTATCCCTCCATCAAAACCTCAACAGCAGCCTGAAGTGCTGCCAGGCACTAACATGATGGTACCTCACGTCAGTTGCCAAGGTGTTGCTGCTTCTAGAGAGAACAATCGATGCAGAAGCGAGGGTCCATTTTGTGGAAAGCCTCTTCCTCCCACCCCTCCATCGAAACCTCAACATCAGGCTGAGGATCTGCAAGGTTCTAAAATGGTGGTACCTCAAAACAAATGTTCAGGCATGGTTGCTTCGTGCGAAGACGTCTCAGGTCCATCTGGCGAGGGTCCATCATGTGGGAAGCCTCAACCTCCTGTCCCTCGACCTAAACCTCAACATCAAGTCAGTTCTCCCGACTTGTCTGCATCTCAAAAAGATGATCAAGACATCTTCGGAATTGAGGTTCTATCTCCTGGAAAGCCTCTTCCTCCACCAAAACCTCAAAACCAGATCAAAGACTTGTCAGGTCCGGGTGACAATGTGGAGGTATCACAAGTCAGTTCTCTGGTCATGGCAACATCCCAAGGAGATACCCAAGACATCTTGGAAAGCGAAGGTCCATCATGTGGAAAGCCTGTACCTCCTCGTCCAAAGCTCAAGAAGACTGGGCATCCAGTTGGACTGGAAAACCTCTGCAACACTCCTCCTGGCCTCGCATCCCAAGACATTCAGGATCAAGATCTGTCAGAAGATCATCCTCCTAGGAAACCCACTCTTCCTCCAAAACCAACCTTGGGATAGCTTCTAGGAATGAATAAGTATCAGTGTCTGGGTAGTTGAGCCCTGAAAATCATGTTAGACAGTTAGTATGTATTAACCCACTTTAGTCATCCAAGTTTTATTTAGTCTAAAAGACTTGACATTTTAAATAATAGTTTAATTGGTGTGCATTTCATGTCATTTAGAAATGTTAAAATAGTCCAACAAAATATGGCAGTATAAATAAGAAATCTCTAGAGCATGTATCATTTTCTTATGCAGAGTAGAAATCAATGAAACTTTAGAGGGAAAAGATAATTATTATAATACCACATGTATTTGAATGATTTGTTTGCTTGTTATAATGAAGCTTTACTTAGAGATATGCGACTGTATAAACTGTACTGCAGCGTAAAAACAAAAAAATGTAACATATTTTGGGCTCAAGAGTTAACATACTATAAAGAAAGATTTGACATACATGTACATAGTAAAACAAATATTAAAAAGTAATACAATATATAACATATACTATTCCATCATTATTCCATCATATCCGTATTTTGTAACTTCTGATTTCAACAAAATTATCTCCAAGAAAATTAAAAATACTACTACTAAATCATTCTAAATTTTAGTGTACGATTCAAGTATGATTACATCAATAGAAATATTAAATCCTTTGATTTTAAGTAAACCATTTTGGTTTTTTTTTGGTGTTGGTAACAATATACATATAATTTAGGATATAATTTCTCTTTAAGGCCCAAAAAAAAAAGTCGATCTCTGGTCAGCGCGCGCGTTGATTTTAATCATGCGCGTCAATCTTTTTTTTTTTCCAAAATGTTCCGCGGTAGCTCCAACAGTGCCATCTATTACCGCACCTCCTCAATTTTTTTTACCAAAGAGCACCAAGGAATGGGAAATTGCACCAAGGCAAATGATCGAGGGCAGCAAGGCAAATTATGGAGGACACCAATGTACATGAGGACACCAAAAAAGCAAAATAGTACCCCACCTTGTCTGTACAATCCAAGCTTGAGGGAAAAAAAAAAAGCTGTGTCGCCGCATCAATTCCGGAACTTTGGTCTGACCAGAGACCGATCTTTTTTTTTTTGGCCTAAACTATGATGTGTTTAATACAATTTACTCCCACTTTTTTCCCCAGAAATTACTTTTTATACAAAAATGTTCTAAGCTGCATTAACTACTGTACATGTACTGATATTAATTATGCTTTTGTAGAAATCATCTTCAACTTTTTCAAAAGCAAATATTTCACTCTCTTAATATGTCACCATAGACGAAAACCCTAAATGAATACCTGCCGTTGAATCTTGTCCGAAATATATCCATTTAAGTGTTGACGCCATCTAACAGCGGTCTGCGTTCCTCATCAATGGAATTAGTTTGTAAGGATGCAAGTCTTGAGGCTGGAACGCGCTTCCTGAAACGAAAAAATAACAAATAATATTAATTAAATTCAAAAATAACCCCATCCCCCCTGCCACAAAAATAAAAATCCAAACCAAATAAGGAGGCTAAATCGCACAGGGAATTAGAAAGATTTCAAATGTAGGGCCCTGACACTTTTACGGTTTAAATAAATTTTAGATTTAAATAAAGTTTTCTTTAATACAGAGATCTGCTGGTAAACTGCAATAAAGAGAAGAAAATCAACACTATTTACGTAACGGAGTTTACGACTTTAACCCAAAAATGTCTTGATGGAAAAATTAGTGTTAGAAAATCCCCTATACCCTAGGTCCTCCCTCTACTGAGACTGCAACCCTACTGTTCCACTTCAGTGGGCAGTAAGCTTGCTCTAGGATCCCAGCTACTTGGCATCCACACAGGATTCAACTTCACACTTCATCGATTTCGCTTTTGCTACTTAAGTGTTTACTTTCTTAGAGTTTAGGCACTCTCCTGAAGACGGTCAGAGCATACTGACCAGAACGTCAAGTTTGCACCTCTGGTTCTTTTCAGAACCATTCTCTTAGTTGAGAAATTTTTCGCACATGGTGTTTCCGCAAACCTTTCATTATTTAGTATCTCCACCATGCAAAGCCTCAAATCTTACTTGACAAAAAGAAAGAAAATAATCCAAAGAAGCAAATACACTTGCCTACACTTGTGGGGTTAGCAAAGAGTATAGAAATGTTGCATTTGAAATCATTTTTGATTTCTAGAAGACCTGTTTTGGAGACTCACCCCTTTCCGCATTGGTATTCCCAGACCCCAAACAGACTAATGACGAGCATGGTAAAGATACAGCTGCCGGCGAGAACAGTTGTGGCATCCGCGAACCCAAAACCCTGCTTGAGTGTACCACCTATGATAGGCCCCAGCATCGAGCTGTAATGAGAAAAAAAGATTTAAAACTAGATTTATGTTTGTGGACAAACACAGGGCTGTTTCGGTAATTTTTTTGTGACGTGTCACATGTAAAGTTAAAGTATAAGTTCCATAAGGAAGGATGTGTAGTTCTGTTTATAATAAATAGTGACTCATGATGACGTCACGATGATGTCAATGTTCGGCACACAACTTTAGCTGCTGGTCTAAGTGTGTGCCAAGTATAAAGGCAATCGGATTGACTTTAGTGCCCAAAGTGCCGGGGACAAAAAAAAACATGTACAAATGCTATGATGGGCCTTTGACTGAAAAATAAATATAAAGAATAAAACAAAAAAATCTTAACGAAAACAAAGGCTGTTTCGGCTGGTTGCCAAAACAGCCAATGAAAAAAAAGGACAAAAATGAAAATAGATGCTAAACAATGCTATAGGATGTAATATAATGCTATACAATGTAATACAATGATATACAATGTAATACAATGCTATACAATGTAAGACAATGCTTTACAATGTAATACAATGCTATACAATGTAATACAACACTATACAATATAATACAATGCTCTATACAATGTAATGCCATCCAATGTGACATTATCCTATACAGTGTAACATTATGCTTTACACTGTAATACAATGTAATACAATGTGCTTCATGTACAAAAGGACCACAAGTTATCTGGCACTTACCCAAGAGAAAAAACTCCTGTCCATAAACCAGAAATCATGCTGTTCAGCCCCAAGTCATTTGGCACACCGTACCACCTAGAGGGGAAAGGGTAATTATCAAGACTATCACTCAAAGACAAACAGGACTCGAACCCACAATATGCTGATGGTGGGTTCACTATCGGGGATAGGATTTGAACCTATGACCGCCAGGTTTTGGTGTGTAACATACTCTCATCTGTTGTACTGAAACTTAATTTTGACAGTATTAAACACACAATGGTGACAAAAAGTCAAACACATGTACGTTTTGTAAATGGTCAATGTACCCACAGCCAAATTCCACACAGTAACAGGATTCGAACCTGGAAGATTTGTACTGCTGGTCAAGCATCCTACCTACAAAAGGGGGACTTGGAACCATGTTTAACAGATGACGAAAATGATGAAAAATAGGTCACTGCACCCACAGAGGTAGCAGGAACACAAAAAAATGTCACTTTTGAACCTCGGATTCGAACCTGCAACGTTTGTACTGCCGGTCAAGTGTACCACCCAGTAAAAAAAGGACCAGTGAGCCACGTTTTGAATACTTAGCAATTCTTATGACCAAAAAAATTGCCCCTGCATCTACAACTATATTTCCTGCATTGACAGGATTTGAACCTTGAACCACCTGAATAATTTTCATGAAAATACTTACAGAGCCGAGTTCAGCATATCTAAGAATGACGGCATGATGAGTAGAGCAAAGGTTATGCAACCGACCAATAATGATGACAGTACAATGGGTTTGGTGCTGTAGGCAGAAACCATAAAAAAGGTTGACATTAGTAACGAACAATACAAACTAAAACATATTGAGCCCTAACTCCCTAGGGGGTGTTCGAAATCGTATTCTAAAAATTCTGTTTGTTTCTAAACCGGCCATCACAAGTCATCTCAAGTCAATCACAAGTCATCAAAAGTCATCAAAAGTCATCAAAAGTCACCACAAGTCAATAACAAGTCATCACAAGTCAATCACAAGTCAATCACGAGCCATCAGAAAGTCATTACAAGTCATCACACAATGTCCACACGCCATCACAAGTCGATCACAAATATCATAAGTCGATCACAAACAATCACAAGCAATCACAAGCCATAAAAAGTCAATCAGAAGCATCATAAAGCCATCAAAAGTCACTCAGAAGTCAACACAAGCCTACACAAGTTGTTACAAGTAATCAGAAAGTCATTACAAGTCATCACAAGTCCCAACATGCCATCACAAGTCAATCACAAATATCAGAAGTCGATCACAAACCATCGCAAGCAATCACAAGCAATCAATCACTAGACATCACAAGACATCACAAGCCATCACAAGTCAATCAGAAGTCATCACAAGCCATCACAAGCCATCACAAGTCATCACAAGTCACTCAAAAGCCATCATAAGGCATCACAAGCCATCACAAGTCATCACAAGTCAACCAGAAGCCATCACAAGCCATCACAAGTCGTCACAAGGCAATCAGAAGTCACCAAACGTCAATCACAAGCTAAGAAGTCCATTCAATGATACTTACAATGGCAGATTGAGGTACGGTGAAGGCCCAAGAAAAAGAAATGCAATGCAACCCCCGAAAGAACCCAGCACAAGCATGATGCGTGTAGCTTTCTGCAAAGGATGGGAGAAAAAGAAGGAATTAGGAAAGGGAAAAGAAAAATTACCACATCGTTTTAGAAAAGTTGAACGAAGAAATTGACTGGAGTGGGGAAATTGACAAGTTTTGTGATGGGACTCTAAATTTTACTTGTTTTTCAACTTACCGTCTTGTCTGCAAGATATCCAAAAATGACAGACGAGATGGCATACGACGCAGAAAATCCAAGAAACACAAAGCCAATATCGTTAATATTCAAACCCAGCTGTAAGGGATTAAAAAAAACATTATTCCAATTCAATAATGCAACAAATTTTCAGCAATCACATGTTTGAATAGAGTCCGGAATTTCAGAATGATAGAAATCCCGTGATCCTGTGTGTTGTGTAATGCATGTTAAAGAACCCAGTAACACTTATCGCCAAGAGAAAGGGTTGGCTCCTGTGTTTCTGGCAGTGGCTTAAAGAACCCAGTAACACTTATCGCTAAGAGAAGGGGTTTGCCCCGGTGTTTCTGGCAGTGGCTGCAATATGCGCCGCAGCACCTTGTAAACCGTTATAAAGGTGCTACATAATGGCTCTCACATTTCTCATAAACTTCATTTACCTGTCTTTAAAAATAGACATAATTACCTGTGCCTTGAGGACCTAATAATTGTTAGATAGGTGCCATATAAGACGCCGGTATTGTAAGTTATACATTTTTTTCAAAACATAACATATGGGTCTTCGGTTATACTTTGTTTAGGTGACACAAACATGACGCCACCACAACTGTCTTCTGTGCCAACTCAATGTATCTCAATTTATTTGAGGACCTGGAAAAGGTTTAAATAAATGTTGGTGACAAAGAAAAGCCTACTTCAGTAAGGTGAGGTGAAAGTGTAGGATCCAGGAACCCCATGGCCACAGACCCCTGAAGAATACAAATCATCGTCACCCAGATTGCGGGAATCCTCAGCAGCTGAAGTAATGAGCCCATCTTATCATCTTTGGTACCTGGGAAAAACAAAAACAGATTTCGAGCTAGGAATTCAGTGGTATGTTCTTAATCCATAATTTTGTTTAAATTAACTTATCTGTTAATAATCTTATCCTAGGCACTATTTTTTGATGATCCACATCTCACAGGAAACCTTTCATAGAAAAGTAGCGATTCAAATAGAAAGTCTATTTTTTTCGGACGCCACACTGCAATGAACAAACGGTATAACTTGAAAGAATCACCTGAAATTTGGTGAAGTGTAAAAAACATCTCCTTAGGCCCCCCCAAAAAAGTCTCCGGTTTCTGGTATGCGCGCGTCGTCGTAGCCATGCGCGTCGGCAAAATGAAAATTTTTTTTCCAATGAAAGATGATGTCTCAAAACCGCCAAACTCACTGGTTTGACTGGAATCCTGCTGCTGCGCAATTTTAACGTGTTTTTAGATTGGGTTATGGTCGAGAATAAGCTTTATGTGGCCTCTCTGGACTCCCATATATTTGCACTAAGTTTAGTCGGGCACCATTTGCAGTCATCAGCCGACATTTGAAGGAAAAAAATCAGGTAAAAAAAAAAAAAAAAAAAAGCCGCGTCACCGCACCACTTTTTGGGCAAGCTCCATACCAGAAACCGGAGACTTTTTCTTTCTGGCCTTACTTACCATGATCAGGCATCAGAAAATAGTTGACTCCACAGAAGGCTAAATCAACTGCTCCAAGGACTATAAATGGAAGTTTGAAACCACCAGCCTAAAAAATACAAACGAAAACATTGGGACCTGAATTTAGTACCTATATGTTCAGTTTATAACTAAAGATAGCACCAAAGGTCGGAACCTGGAGTTAGTACTTTAATACTGCAATTACATTTGGTACTTAAATTATTGGTAGCTGAAGTTGGAATCTAAACTTGCATGTGACCTATCCCATTTAGCTCTTGATCTTTGACACGTTATACTCACCGAGTACAGTACTCCCCCGATGGCCGGTCCTATCATGGATCCCACTCCTGCCACCATTTCATTCACACTCTAAAAACGAAATGAAAATTTGAAAATATTATTCCCCACAGGTAATAGACCAAAATACCAACTCAAATCTGATTGACTTGTGACTGACTTATGATTTGACGTAACATTTGGCTTGCGATTGACTTATAACCGGCCAGTGATTGACTTTGTAACTGACTAGTGATTTGGCTTAGGGTTAGTGATTTGACCTGTGATTTGACCTGTGATTTGACTTGTAATCGACTTGTAATCGACTTGCAATTGCCATGACTAACGATTGACTTGTGATTGACTTGTGATGGACTTGTGATGGACTTGTGATTGACTTGTGATTGACTTGTGATGGACTTGTTATTGACTTACGATTGACTTGTGATGGATTTCTGATGGACTTGTGGTGGACTTGTGATGGACTAGTGATGGACTTGTGATTGACTTGTGATGGACTTGTGATGGACTTTTGATTGACTTGTGATTGACTTGTGATTGACTTGTGATGGACTTGTAATTGACTTACGATTGACTTGTGATGGATTTCTGATGGACTTGTGGTGGACTTGTGGTGGACTTGTGATGGACTTGTTATTGACTTGTGATTGACTTATGATTGACTTGTGATGGACTTGTGGTGGACTTGTGATTGACTTGTGATTGACTTGTGATTGACTTGTGATTGACTTGTGATGGACTTGCAATTGACTTACGATTGACTTGTGATTGACTTGTGATGGACTTGTGATGGACTTGTCATTGACTTGTGATTGATTTGCGACTGTAACTCTTGACCAATCCTTACCGAAGCCAAGCCGACATTGTCAGGGAATGTATACGCAATGATTGCCGACGACGCAGTCATACCCGCCGCAGCAGCAATGCCCGTCACGGCACGAAGCAGAAGACAGAAAAATGTAAACCATAATCCTGTCGGCATCTCATCAACAAACCTTTACATTTAAGAAGAAGAAAAACGACATACAAACATAAATGACACTGGGAAAATGGTCTGACAATGCAATATATTCAATTACATGTTTATTCAACTCAAGACTACCTCTTGAGTGGTGGGCTTGCTTTGTTTTTGGAAATTTTCATTGAAACAGTTACCACAAGGTGTTAACAAATTGAGAGATTGCCACGTGACTTTTATTGCACAAATTAAGGATGTGACGTTTCTAAACACGTTTAAACGTTTAAACGAAAACAATTCTAAATTCCTTTACAAATTTTCCGAAAACGTTTAAACGAAACCCAAATTATAACAAAGGACCTACATTCATGCAGTCTTCGTTTGAGTTAAACCTACATAGCACAAATTACTGATTTTGTTTTTTACATTAGGGTGACTGTGACAAAATGAAGTAAAAAACCAGAGCATTTACTATTTTATCATAAGGTTTTCCAGATTTATATTTAAAGATTTTTTTTCAAAAATAAGGTCAAAATGTGACAGAAATACCCAAATAAGATACAGCCTCCACCAGAGACAAAGGACCCTGCAAGGAACATGAAACGTGCTCCAACGACCGGTAGCTGGAAGAGAAAAAAAAGTCAATAAAAATTGACTCGAGTGGGATTCGAACTGTGACTTCTGAAATATCACTCCAGATGCTGGACTAACAAAGTTTACTGGAACTACGTAGGACTATTGTTCAATTCACATTGGCCTTTTTTTAAAGGGCCCATGTAATGTAATTTTTTAAATGCAATCCTTGAAAATGCACATTTGGTGCCCATAAAACCTTTTTTTCAATTTTTGTTTTGCCATTTTCAAGGGTATTTTGGTGCCTTCGGGTGTTTTAACCCTAAAGGGGCCGGGTTATTTTGACCATCTCTCAGCCGGGGGGGGGGGGCGGATTCGGCCCCCCCCCCTAAGATCTCGGCCATCGAGTGACGAAAAATTTTGAAACTCGATACATGCATAGAGCAACTCTTCCTTGACATACCCAAGAAATTTCATGACTATAGGTCAAAGGGTTTTGGAATTATGGCTAATTAATTATTCATATGTACGAATGGCAATTCTGCTCTGTGTACATGACGTATATGCGAAAATTCAGTTTTCACGGCGCGTAGCGCCGGAAAATTTTTCGCTACGCGGCAACCCGTGGTCCGATTTTTATGTTTTTGGTATCAAAAGATGCGCAAAGCTCGAGGCTAAAAAGTCATAACAGCTCGGGTCGCGAAAAAATTTTTTTAGAGGCTATCACGGAAAATGTTGAGGGGGGCGGATTCCCCCCCCCCCCCGGCCCTTTTAGGGTTAAGCTTAGGCCAAAAAAAAAAAAATATTCGGTCTCAGGTCAGACCAAAGTTCCGGAATTGACGCGGGGACGCGGCTTTTTTTTCTTTTTTTCTTCAAGCTTGGATTGTACAGACAAGGTGGGGTACTATTTTGCTTTTTTGGTGTCCTCATGTACATTGGTGTCCTCCATAATTTGCCTTGGTGCTTTCGATCATTTGCCTTGGTGCAATTTCCCATTCCTTGGTGCTCTTTGGTAAAAAAATTTGAGGAGGTGCGGCAATAGAGGGCACTGTTGGGGCTACTGCGGAACATTTTGAAAAAAAAAAAGATTGACATGCATGGTTAAAATCGACGCGCGCTGACCAGAGACCAACTTATTTTTTTTTTGGGCTTACAGCTATTACAGCACCAACAGATGCCAAAACTTTGGAGATTTTTTCAGTTGTAAATTTTATGCCCTTTGGTGATTCGTTGTTGTTTCCGGCTTACAGTAAACCGGTGAACAAACAATTTTTCGCAGATGTTTTCAATGAGCAAATTTTTGGTTCACAATATGAATAGAAAAACCCTAAGCTGAACAGTGTCTTCCTGAAATGACATCACATCAATAGCGCCCTCAGTTGTCTGGAAAAGCATGGAAAAAGTGCACATTTCAATAAAATTAACCAAAACACGGATGTCAAAATAGTTTTCATACATTTACATGTAAGAGGAGTAGAAAGCGGCACAAAATATTTTCCTGAGAAAAATTCATTCATGGACCCCATAAAACAAAACTGTAAATTCATCTAACTATAACCAGCCAGCTGTTTCTGATTTTTGGTTCTTTATTAGTCAATTCATGTGTCTTGGAGTATTAATTTGCCTACAATGTAATTTTACGAGTTTCACCAAAAGTGTATTTTTTTTTGGGGTAGGGGCAAAGACTGCTGAAAGGCTTGAAGAAATGTGGGCAAACTTACAATTTTACCAAAAATCGGAGAAAACACGAAACTTGTAAAGGAGAAAATGCTGAAGGTGAAACCAACGGTGATTGCGGACATTCCCCGTGCTTCGGCCTGAAAAGAGAATAAGATACAAACTGCAAAGTTGGGAATAAGGTCAAGTAAAAAAACATGAACCATTTTTTTAACCCCGCCCGCTTCCTTTTTTTCCGACTGCCTCTTCTTTTTTTAAATTCATACATTTGCCATATATTTTTCAAATATTTGTTCAATATATTGTCTTCTTATTAATTTACAACAAAATTGTAGCTATGTAGAAAGGGTTAGGGCTCATTTGAACACAATTTTGTATCAGAAAAAGAGTAAAAACAATGGTAGGATTAATCTGCCATCTTGGTTAAAGGGAATATACAACATTTTCAAATATCAAAAAAAAACTTAACTACCAAATTATCACGAAATACCCTACTGGGCTGTTAGTGAATGACAGTCTAATGCATCCTGTAAAATCATGGCATCTGGTGTACTGACATTTAAAAAAAAAAAGTGGTATTTTTGTATCAATTTCCAATGCTAGGCAGCCGACCAGCGTTGGAAAATAAACTGATTTTGTTTCAAATACTGCACCCAATATATTATATTAAGTTAGTCCCCATTTCCTTTGCAATCGACTACACACCTGTGAACGGGTACAAGCCAGCTAGACTGATTCCCTGACCTTACAATTCCCCGACGTCTATAAATTGCTCTGTTTCATCCTAAGTGGGGTCGGGGAACCAGACTACAAGAACACGATTGTTTATCTTGTTTTTCCCAGCATCTTACGGGTAAGAAACCAAAACTTCAAACAAGTCAGTGTAACAATATTTGCTATAAAAACTAAGCTCCCAAATCCATCCATATCTGAAAATTACAGCGAAAGCAAATGTTGTATATATTCCCTTTAAAAAAAGCCCAGACGATAAACTATTTTCCTTTTTTACTCGGCCTTAAGAAACAAAATTCCTGCACTGGCTTAAGAAAAAAAATCGTTGTTGTTGACCACAAGCATAGGGGATTCAGCTTTAATGGATCCGTCTATGGCATTGAACGACAAAGGAAAAAAATCCAAGTTTCAATTTTTCCATTTCAAAATCTAGAAACTTTCACAGAAATGAAATTATTTACCTCGATTGGAAAAAATGGTGTCATGAGGGCGAAAGCTGTGACATCGGCGATGGTTGCCAGGACAACGCTCAGAAAGGTCACTTTTTGGTGCGTTGTGAACTTCGAGAAGCCTGTTGTGGGTGTGGTCGAGCTCTCTGCTCCACCCTCAGCATCTTTGTTTATGGATGAAGTGGGCGGGGCAACCTGCACAACCACTTCTGATTGGTGGTGATCAGTGTCATTGACAGCTGAAGTAGGCGGGGCTTTGGCATCATCCTCTCCTGATTGGTTGGTTTGGTCTTCAGTAGCATGAATAATGCATGTTGTGGGCGTGATCCTGTCTTGGCTGGTTTCGTCCATAGCTCTGAATAATGCAAAGAGAGAATTTGAAGAGTTATTTTCATGAAACACTACGTCCAATTCTCCAAGTCCAAGTCATGAAAGTCACCGTTTGGTTATTTGCCAACAGCTTGTTCTCCGAAAAGACCTTAAGAAAATAATGGAAAGGGTGGGGGGGGGGAGATTTTTATGAGAGTTATCGAGAATTTAACCTGAGAGTGAAGCCAAGCGATCAATTTGAAGCCTTAAAGGGAATATACATCATTTGCTTTTGCTGTAATTTTCAGAAATGGATGGAATTGGGGGGTTGGAAGTTTAGAGCAAATATAGTTACACTGACTTTTTTGAGGTTTTGGGTTCGAAAATGCTATAAAAACCAAGAAAAACAATCATTTTCCTGTAGTCTGGTTCCCTAAATCCATTTAAGAAGAAACAGAGCAGTTTACATACATTGGGGAATTGTAAGGTCAGGGAACCAGTCTAGCTGGCTTGTACCTGTTCATAGGTGTGTAATCAATTGCAAACTAGTGCGATGGTCAACTGGGGCCAGTATTTGAAAAAAAGGCAGTTTTTTCCAACGCTGATCGGCCGATCAGCGTTGGAAATTGATACAAAAATACCACTTTTCTTGAAAATGACAGTATACCAGGTGCCATGATTTTACAGGATGCTTTACACTGTCATTCACTAACAGTCCAGCAAGGTATTTCAAAATGATTTGGTTGTTTTATTTTTTGATGTTTGCAATGTTGTATTTTCCCTTTAAACTACTGGCACTAGCTAGGATGATCCTAGCGTCAATGCTTCTTCTAGACTGGCAGATGGCAAATGTCCAACTTTTTCTTAGAAAGATCGGCCCTTCAGAAATTCAGTAGTCTAGTGGCCTGACTATGGAATTGCAAAAGTGTAAAAAAAGAGACTGGGAACCTGATGTTTTGGAAAGAATGGTGCAACCTGATGCTGCTTTTTGCCTCATATATCTTCACAATGAAGGTCATTCGGGAGGAATTCCATATACGTACGCCACTAGTATTTCCAGCAGAACGCGATAATATGTCCTAAAAAGTGAAATTTAACAGGGAAAATATTGAAGCATTTTGTGAGAAAACATTTAGAATTTTTCAGACCAGTCTCATTGGGTTTGTACACAGTGTGTCAAGTGACGTCCGTATATGGAATCCTTCCGGTCATTCTTGCAGAATTGATAAGACATGAATCGGGGATTGAGAAACATTTCAAATTTTGTCAGGAAAAACTTAGCAAATTGTGTTGACGCTCCATAGACTTTGTACACAACTGTTGAAGTAGTGTCAGGTTGCAACATTCTTTGGCTGATGTTTTTTCGACACACTTGATTGGTTGATTTCATGTGCCAGTCGATTTTCCTAGCATGTGTCATGTAAGTGAAGGGCTAGTAAAAATAAACACATCCCAAATGGCAGGACCAATTTTTGCCTGTCATGCCTGTGCCACTTTCAAAATCTAGGATACGAAAGCCCAATTCATAAGCTTTCTTTACTATTAAACTTCATTTCGATCACTCATGTACTTTTTAAGTAACAGCATTTTGAACACAAACACTGTCTTAAAGTTCGTTCCAGGGATCACAAAAAAAAAAAGTTTTCTTTCAGCAAAATGAAAAGAATACTCATACTTCTTACTATGCATGTATAGCAAATATAAACAAAGTATGGAAAAATGTTGCAATCTGACATTGTCTGACGCCACTTTTAACTTCATAATCATAGATATATCCATCTCAATGAAGGTAATTCATCGTGTTCATTGTTCATACTTCATTGCCAAAATGATGATAAAATTAAAACATGAATCTTGGACTAAGAAACACTTCCAATTTTGTTAAGAAATACTCGAAATCAAATAGGCCCTCGTCCCCTAGGGCTTACTAACTTAGAAAATGTTCTTGACTCTCTACATCTAGGCCTACATCCATATCTACGCAGGTACTCAGCAAAGTCCACTTCTGGATGTTAACGCTGAGGTTAACCATTAACGGGCCTCTATTTTGTACACAATCATTGACAATTGCAGAAGTGGCGTCAGGTAGCAATATTTTTTCCAAGAGTGTTATTTTTTAATAAGTGTTATTAGTTTTAAACCAATTACAACAGCTTACCTCACGTGTATAAATGTCTGTTCCTACATGTGTTATGACTGGCGAAAATGAAGAACACCGGTAAGCGATCAACATGAACGAATGTTGCACAATCGATGGTAAGATAACGCAAAAGGACGCCACCACGTGGTGCTAATCCCGTTAATTTTTATGAGGCTGTGAGGCTGTGTCCAAGAATTACTTGGCTACGGCTGACCGCTTCTCTTACTCATAGAATCGTGTGTAATTTCAAGTTGTAGCCAAGAATCAATTCGGACTTATTTCGCGGCAGGAAGGGCGCCCCCACTCATACCAGTATCATTTTGTGAGGGGCGTGGCTAGTTGGTTGGTTTTGAAAGAGGGTACAAAGCATCCCGCCGCGCCAGTTGAATCGCATGAAACACGCTTGGGGGGGGGGGGGGGGGGGGGGGCAGGCGCAGGTCTGGGGGGGGGGGGGGGGGGCAAACCCCCCCCCCCCCCCCCAGCTCTGTCAAATTTTATTTTTCTTTTGCATAGAAATTCCTAAAAAATAATGCGAACCACCCTCCCGGCCCCCTCTGACACCCCAAAACAAAAATATATTGGTATAATGACCGCCTGTTCAAAATACGGACAGACGCAGCTTAGATAGGGGGTATTTGTACACCATTCTGTAATCTAGTGTTAATAATCGTCGAATTTGAACAGCCCCCCCCCCCCCCCAGTTTTCGATTTTACGGACGCCAAGTGTACGGGGAAAAAACGGTCCACATTTCACGATTGTTTTGCTGAGGACCCCCCCCCCCGTAAACATTCCTGGATCCGCCCCTGCGGAGAAGCCTATTCGTTATTTTCCCAGGCTTAAAACAACAATTGGGGCCTCTTTTCAAAACTTAAACAAATTGCCAGTGTTTGTTTTTAACCGGGTAATTATTATTTTCAAAATCAATTTATAGATGTTACTTTATAAGCTTCGCATGTCACGATGCAAAATGACGTCACGATTCGCACCTGCGCAGTGTGCATTTGAAGGTGTATAAAACTGGCGCTTGGTGCAATGCGGCAATAAAAACTCAACTTCGTCCCAATGTGGTCGTGATCGTCCATTCATATCGTTCGGTCGCCTGCAACTTGACGTATTAGTAGACTTTAATTTGGTGCGCGCGGGAAACCGGCAGCATGGCCCAATCGCCTGCTGAGTTCAAGTTGGTGGTTTTGGTGTTCGTCTGCGTGTGTCTTCAGTTACTTCGGGACGACGTTACCGCGCAAGAAACCGAGGGCGATTGCGAAATATGGAGTGAGTATTTTACAGTTTTAGAATTATTGCCTGTTTTGTTTTGATTTTTTTTTCTAATACAAAAAAGTGAGGAAATGCAGTCCAATTCATTGTTGGTGCCGAAGAAACGCATTTTTAATATTTTCCCGTGTTTCTGCTTATGGTTTCGCTTAGTGCATGTGCTGCCGATCACAGCTTTGCCAGAAACACGACATTTACAAACCTTTTGCTCGTTTAGTTGTCCAAACCCTTCAGATTATTTTTATTCGAACCGACATGCCAGTTCAACTTGCTGAAAGTAATCTTAATATTCACAGGACAGTTTGCGCTTTAGCTTGCCCCAAATCTGCCCCCTTGAAAAAGAAGTGTGATAGGCTTAACTCGAAATAAATAACAATTTACCGGTGCTGGAAATATTTTTGCTTTGTGTTTGGATTGACTATAAATACCTACCTTGCTGAATGTGGCCCGCTCATAAAAGCCTACTGCGGTTTGGAAAAAAATCATTCGAGCTAGCATATTTCTTTTTAAATCAATGAGTAGGAATGCGTACAAATTCGTCGGGAAATCGGCAGTAACCACGAACAAATGGCCTTCCTTGAAATTCTCACACCCCGGTAATAACTGGCATGGTTGTGTCCGTTGAATTCCCGGTCGGCATCGGCGAAGTTCATGTCCGGATAAGTTGCACGTGTACATGCAGTGGATGGTGTATCGCTCTGTTTCACTTCCTCGGTACCAAGAAGTGTATAAATATCTTTCGTGAAAACTGCAGGGCTTCGCAAACATCGACGTGAAAGCAGGTCATACGCGCAACTCTTCAACATTCGCGGGGCATTTTTACAGTCACATAAACATTGGCAATAAGTACACGACTGTTTTCCTGTTTAGCAATGAAATTTCTATCCTTATTAAAAAACTTTAATTCTGCAACGTTCAATTCTGGCTCAAAAATTCTAACAGCCATCTGATGTCTGGAAAAAGTAAGAAGCTGAGAACGTTTAATTTTACGTTAAATTTGGGCCAGAAAAAAAACATGCACACAAAGGTTTATCTGATTTTTCCAAAGTTGGTACCAAATAATCAAGTGGCTCATAAACTCTGTGCGCTTTGGTCCTGCATTAAAAAAACATCAGAGATACATGCAAGAGATACATACAAGTTAGTAAATCGGACAATTTTAAAACCAGTAATTCACGCGACCTCCGCCCCCCCCCCCCAACGTTTTCCGCGATAGCCTTGAATTTTTTTTCCGCGACCCGAGCTGACTTTTTAGCCTCGAGCCTTAACGCATCTTTTGATACCAAAAACATAAAAATCGGACGTTTCAGTGTTCACGGCGCTATGCGCCGTGAAAACTGAATTTCCCCATATACGTCGTGTACAGAGAGCAGTATTGTCATTCGTACATATGAATAAATAATTAGCCATAATTCCAAAACCCTTTGACCTTTAGTCATGAAATTTCTTGGGTATGTTCATGAAGAGTTGCTCTATGCATGTACTGAGTTTCAAAAATTTTCGTCACTCGATGGCCGAGATCTTGGGGGGGGGGAATCCGCCCCCCGGCTAAGAGATGGTCAAAATAACCCGGCCCTTTTAGGGTAAAATTTAGGGGGTCGGAAAATTGTATCATTAGAAATACAGGCGACCCCCCTTTTTTAATTTAGGGGGTTGGACAATTTCATCATTAAAGAAATACAACCGACCCCCATTTTCTGATTTTAGGGGGTCAGACAGTTTATCATTGGAAATACAGGCGACCCCCATCTTCTGATTTGAGGGGGCCGGACAAACACCACGGCTGGCGAGGTGTGGCCATGGAAGGCCCAAGCTCGCGAAGCTGATATTAAAATGACCAAAAGCATCGAGGCTTTCCCTGTATAATGTGCACATAAAGATTGGCAGTACCCCTTACAAATGGCTTGTCAGTTTTGTAAAACTTAATTTCCGTGCAAACTATTAGTCAGCCTAATCCTATCGATGGTTCGAAAATCAAACTAGAAATCATATAGCTAGTGATCGCTGTGCTCGTGTTGGAATTCGGAGTAATGCTCGTGAGTACACGCACTGAGGAACTTTGAGCCAAGCTCTGTTGCCTGATTTCCCGAGAGAAAGTAATTTACTTGCTACAGCCTAATAATTAAGGTATATGATTAAAGACAACATACATAGGATTTCCTACAAGCCTAGAAGATTAAAGAAAAACACGAGTCGTGTTTATCAAATGTGTGCCACGGCCCTTTTCGTGCAAATTACATTCGATCTGGTATTTCAATAACAATTTGACCCCTTCTCAAATGGGATTGCAAGATTTCCTTTACAAAAGAATGAAGGTGGGTATGCCACTGTTGTTTGCTTTGCTGGTATTGTACCTTGACAGCAAGAGAAATGAACAGGATCTTGTTGATAATGAAACTGGTACGCAATAAGCCTTTTTGGAGTTCCAACTGCGCGCATTCATAACCAGTGACAACGCACATTATTTGTCTCAAATGCCCTTTGACAGTACCCACAATGCGCACACAGCCTTTTTGTAAAGTCAGTGGCGCGATGATGTCAAAGGCCATTTGAGACAAACAATGCGCGTTGTCACAGGTTATGAATGCGCAGTTGGAACTCCGAAAAGGCTTATAGACTGCTCCTATATAGCCTAGCTGTGAACGTGAAACATTTCTTTTTAACACTTTAATCATTACATGTCATCAATTTGAGCTTTTTCGCTGCCGATTCCTAGAGGGCCAACCTGGAGTCCTATTTGCACCTATTTCACCGACTGACTATTTTGACTGACTCCCTGACTGAATGAGTGAATGACTAACCAACTGACCGACTGACTCCCCAATTGACTGAGTGACTGACCAACTGACTCCCCGACTCCCAACTGACTCCCCATACTGATTGACTGACTGTAAAATGACCGGGCAGTGCCATCGTATAGGATTACCCAGTAACGCCAATGGCTAAATCCGGCCCAGGGTGTTTATAAACCATTTACCCGATGCATGAAAAGACTTCCAGTAAATAACCATTCTGACTCAGTTGCATAGAATTTCTGCATTCTGGCCCAGTTTTACTAGGCCTGCATTGTCTTAATTTTCTGTTGAATAACGGTCAATTGACGCCATCACGAGTGCGAACGGGAACTTGTGACGCCGCCACCGAGGCCCGCTGGGAAACAAAATAATATAAATTCGTAGTAGTTGAAACCATTTCAAAATCGCGGCGAACTTTGATTACGGCGCTAATGTTTCGTGACGTCAATTTTTCTCTTTGCTCCGCATTCGCACGGAGTATAATTTACTTTCCTGTACATGTAGAGTGGAGTGTTATCATCCGGCGAACATAGCAACCTTTTCGAGAAATCCATTACGCTCCGTTAACATCGTCACATATTATGCCGACAGTTTCGCCGCCCGGACGCCGTTTAGATTGAACGGAAATTACCAATGTCTTTTGTATCACTAATTTGTCAATGACTAGTGTTTTTTTCAGAGTGAATTTCAAAAGCTCCTGTCGCATATAAGCCATGTGTAATTCTGTTGATGACGTCACCGACATAAAACGTTTGTATGTGGGGGAGGGGTACATACATATGAGCATATTTGCTGGTCCCAAAGGGCCAGCCTACTGACAGAATGACTCACGGATCGACTCACTGACTGACTGTCGACTTGTTAGGATTACAAGATTGACAATGAATGGTATGGGCTAAAGTCGACACACTTTGTGTAAACAGATGCACAATTGTATAGAACTGCGTGTAATGTGGAACAAGATTTACTGGGGTCCGCTCATAAGTCCGACGCCTCATAGGTCCGACGCCTCATAAGTCCGACAAAATGGCATCCCCTAACCAAATAAAGGCCCATAAGTCCGACGCCTCATTATGTCCGACGCCTCATACGTCCGACCCCTCATAGCTCCGACGCCTCATAGGTCCGACGCCTCGTAGGTCCGACAAATTAAACGCCTTGTTTTTCCGACGTCGGACCTATAAGGCGTCGGACTTATGATACGGCCCCGATTTACTAAGCTTGCTTTTCTTGTTGATCCCGTCCAAACGTTTCAATAAAGTACACCGAAACACAACAATAAATTCTCTAAATTGTTTATATCTTCATTATTTCGGAACCATTTTGTGGCATTTTCATTTCATTCTGTGTAAACCCTCAAAGGGTACATGGAACATAATTCTGTGCAACTTTCTCCTCCTCTTAAATGTGTAAAAACAACATCCCTTTTTGGTTAAGTTTATTAAAAAGTGCACTCTTTAAACATTCAAACTTGTCCATGTTTGTTTCCGGACAACTGAGTGCGCTGTTGGCGCGATGTCATTTCAGGAAGACACTGTCCAGTTTAGGGGTTTGGTGTTCAAAAGTGTGCACCCAAAATTTTGCTCATTGAAAACATTTGTGCGAAAAGTTTGCACATTGGCTTACTGCCGCGTACTGACACAACACCGAATCACCACAGAAAAGAAAATTTACAACAGCAAAATATCCAAAATTCCTGCAACTTGTGGTGCTGAAATAACTGTAACATTTGAGTTCTCTGCCAGAAATGACATCACACTTTTGCTCATGAGTATGGGTCTTTGCATTAGCATCAAAACAAAAAGGCATCAAAATATTCTCGAAAATGGCAACACGAAAATAATAAAGGTTAAATGGGACACCAAGTTGCAATTTCAAGGATTGCATTAAAAAAAAACATTGCATGACCCTTTAAAATAAACATACAGGCCTACGTGTAGTTTCGTCTTCTTTGAGTTTTTAAAATCTCTTTAAAATGTACCATCCTATGCCTCGTTAAACAAGCTTGATCGAATCCCGGGAACTGCGGGCCAACGAATTCGTGTTCATGCATGAGGCACGTGATTGTGCCGTGTAATTTCTGGAAGGGGTAGGCCGAGTGTTTTGAGTCGAAACATCAGGTTTTTGGCCCCAATGACCCCATGATGACCTTTGACCCCAGTTTGGTCATGTGAAATGTTGGGGCTGGCCTGGCAACTGATACTT